GTTCGCCTTGTGCTGGGTAACACTGACGGGAGGTAAGGCTATGGATGATGGGATTCGCTGTTGTTGTCGTGAAGATTTGCGGTGAGCTAGTTCGGGTAGGTCGTTAGTCTCAAGATTTGGATACGACTCTGCGTGTGCCTTGATTGATAGCTGGTGACCCATGGCAATAATGCCAGCTGGATTTGTTTGTTGTTTTTGGCGACTCAGACGGTACTCTGTAGTCTGTACGGACCGTAAGCGTACTCCATCCCCAGTAGTCTCTTACGCCCACCCGATGGCAATATGGGACGACTCGAGCTTGACCGCCGCAACTGGACGTGGGTTGACATTGACAATGCATCGTTGCCAATTGGGGAGAAGCGAGAAATCTAATGGTGCGTTATCATCGCGGATGACAATGAATGGCAGATGACAGCAGCAGCGTCACATTGCGGCGAGCTTTCCGCGGAGTCCAATGCAGCAGGCGTCACGGATGCGGAAGTGCCAAAGTGCTTGTGCCTGCGTGGCAGGAGCATCAAATGCGCCTACCTCACCTAAGTGCCCAGTTTATGAAGGTGCCTTGCTTTACTGAAGGACCTGGGAAAAAGTGGCAGTGACGATGCGGAATGTGTTGCCGTGCCTTTTACCTGCTTTGCCAAGGTAAGCACTGCCGTACTGCTGCTTCTTTCCTGTTGGAACTTGAAGCTGTGGCTGATTGCTTCGTGCCTCTTTCTTGATGCAATCAATTGCGGCTGGCCGGCACTCTCGCGGGGCAGTAGGAAGATGCCGTACACTACCTTAGGTACCTATCACTGCCTGCATCTACACGGTACAGTGCTGCAGGCGCATATGTACCCACGTATCTTCCTCAAAGGTGCAGGAAGTTACGAATCCGCGACTCACGCGGCCCCACTCCCCAGCTGCTGATGACCTCAGTGGCGTCGATCCTCGATCTTGCATTCGTGGCATTGGCTACAGCCAGCTGGACTGTGGATGCCGACTTCCCCACACCTTCCCAGTCGAGGTTTCCAATCCCCATGTGTTTCTTTCCCTTTTCGCTCATGATTCCTCGGTCATCAGTCATCAGTCAGCATTTTGTTACTCTGCCGTGTTTCCCCCCTCCCATCGTCACTCTATTGTGTGTGTTCGGTTCCATCTAGTCCCGAAAGGCATCTGTCAGCTAACTATTTTTTTTTGTTCTGTTCTTTCTTTCACCGGCTTCGGAAGACGACCGACCGGTAATGTGGAGCTTCCGGCCCTGCCGAGCCCTCTGAAGTCCGTTCTCGAGGAGACGAGGGATACGGATAGACTCTACCTCCTACTTCACGTGGGGAGCCGAGAAAACGAACTCGAACCATGCGATGACTTCGAGTCAATTTCCAAGAAGCCTCGCTCGGATCCGCGTCTGGATTCTGCTTCGGTTCACCCGCGAACCCTCAGACCCCTTGCCCGAACTCTGCTCAGCATTCTCCGTGAATGCAGTGACGCACTTTGCGTCGGCTTGTCCTTGATTTCCTCCCCGGCTTAGGTACACAGCACGAAGGCACGGCGTGGACGCCGCCCAGTTCATGGAGGCACTGGAGTGGAACACAGTTCACAATTTGATCTATTCGACTCTTGCTAGCTCAACCTCGACCTTGCAGACTCGTCCTCTCACACGGTTACACATGCACTTACAAGACACAAGACACCACATGCTATGCTACTTGCGGTACTCCCAACCAATTCACAACCAGCTGCATGCCGCATAACCGCGCTACTGTTTCTTGTCGACCTCCAAATCTCGCGCTAGAGCCTTGTTTCGTCCATGGTCAACCAACCTGCCGCAGGCTTGCTCGCACTCACCCACCCACCACCTCTCTGGGAAGGCTCTTGAGGCTGCTCTGTGCCTTGATCTGATGGCCTCGCCAGACTGACCCGGACACGAGACTTGCCTTACACGCACATCTTTGGTTGACTCGCACTCTGTTGCAGTGATGCGTCTGCGGTCTGTTAGGTCATAGCCAAACCCTCCCTTGCGAATTCGCAAAGGCCTGTCGACCAAGTTGCGCGCAAAATACCTGTCTTGGGCGCCCTCAGGATGCTGTGGCTCTCGAGACTCTGGCCCTTGACTGGCTGCCATGTCAGACAGCTGCACCCAGCAAAAAAGGTGCCGTCATCATCCCCATCTCCCTTTTTAGGGTCGTCTATCAGGCACCGGCCCGCCCTGGCGCGCTGACAAGCTTACTGTCCCTATCTCCGCCTCCCCACACTGCCGGGTGCGAATCTTCCGCTGCCTCCCAACCCGGAACTACGCAAGTGTCTCTTGGCGTTTTCGTTCAACGGCTGCCGTAGTAGCTGCTGTAGGGAACTCACGGTTTTTCGAGCGAGCCAGCAACTCTTGATAATACGTGGGTTCGAAAATATCGCGAGAGCACGCAGAACAAAGACTGTAGCATAGCAATCCGAGCTCAACAAGGAGCTCCATCGAGGCCTCGTCGTCGTTGGGCCCCAGTCGAAGAGCCTACAGATCGCAGAGGATCGCACTGGAGCCCGCCAGGATATCCTCGATACCCTTTTTCAACAGTCATCGTCAGCCCTGCAATTTTCACCGCCCGCAACTCGCTGGCCAGTTCGTGGCATACTGTTGCCCTGGGGTTTCCCATGTCGAGAAGCCAAAAGACCCCCCTTCCGCCATACGTACTCCTCTTTTCCGATTAGGCCTGCTTTGGAACAGCTTTCTTCCAAGGAACAGCGCCAGTGAAGACCTTGGACTGCACTTTCTGTGCTGCGTGGCCCCCTGTTGATACCCCAGCCACTAGGCTCAATGCAATGAGCCCTAGGTTAGCCTGGCCAGCCCGGATTCTACAGTTTGGAACACCAAAGTTGAGATGGCAGAGATTGCGTCTTAATGCGAGAGGATAGGAGATGGAGAAGGCCATGATGCAAACGGGCGTGCGAGTGAAACATGGCCGTTTGGCGCCACACAGTTGGGAACTGGTACACAGGCACACAGGCAAACAATCAAAGTCCCAGAGTCACGACTATCTGAGCATGCGGTAATGTCTTGCGTTGCCCTTCGCCGCATCCCATCATTTCACACACACTCTTCGAACTGTCAAGTGTCAAACCTTCAGACCATCAAGCATCTCAGTGGGACGACACCCATTATTCTCGCAAGATGACTCGGACATGGCGATTTCCAAGAGAGTGTGGCGCATGACTCTGCAAAGGACCAATGAGGGTGGCGTGGGGATCTCACAGGACAGCCAGGGCACGCAGGGTTTACGGGGGTTTGGTCTTGGACTTCTTGGAAGTCTCGGCGCCGTGGCAGCCATCCATTGAAAGTCAGAGACATTTGATACTCATGCCAGGCCTCCAGGAGTCCAGCCATCCCATCAAGTCGCGTGTTTTGGCACTACACTACCTGCGGAGTACAATGGCAAAGGATACGTGCCTGCGAAAACACCACACAGCGTCTCCGTGGCTCCGCAGCTGTGAATTGGGGCCGAGTCTTGGGATATGGAATCATCGAATTTCAGCGTACGCGGTCTACACGGAAAGAAAAATTGCCCCGGCCATTGTCGTTCGCCGTTCGTCGGTACCTCAGTCTTACGTCTGCGAATTGGCCAGGACAATGTTGCTCAGTAACCAACATTTGATTATTTGTCAATTGGCGGGCAAAAAGTCCGGCACGTATGCCGAAGCTCGGCAGACGGGGGGATCTGCTCATCGCCTAACTTATTTGGTGCCAGATCACGTTGATCTGTCAAAAAGAGGCAGAACAGAGTTGAGACTACAACGGCACTAGGACGCAATAGACGCGCTGACACGGCACATTGAGACTTTTGGTGGCCGCGGCACGATACGTCGTGACGACTGTGCTTGAGCTTGTCCCACCGTCGTGATTACCGAAGCATTTCTTCTCATCTTCCAGAAGGATATCAGCAATAACGGCCGGGGGAAAAGAGGGTCGCTCTATTTTTCGACATTTGAGAAGTAGTGTACTTGCCAACGGATGATACGCAACATAGGCGCATCATTGCCCGATATTGCTTGCGGCCACGCCCTTGGATCGCGGCTCATCGCATAGACCTGCCAAGGTCTTGCTTGTCAACGAGTCCCGATAGACAGCAGACGGCAAACATGGTTCGACAATATCCCAGGTGTGCCCTGGGGAGCGACCAAACGGATTCGAGACTGTCACACTTGTCTGTACCGAATACGTCGTGCTTCATGTCAAATATGAGAAAGAGCCACAGAGCTATTGGCGGAACGGTAGAACTGGAGGTAAAGATGGTATGTACATGCAAGTTGCCGATACTTGGCATGTGTAGGGAGTAGAACGCAGGCTGCTGACACTTTTGTTTGTCGAATATTCGGTACGGAGTTGAGTCTCTCTCTTATCAAGCACCAGCCACACTGCCACGAATACAAACTCCACCACCGCCGACCACTCGCCACGCCAATCTGCATTTCCCTCTCGCATTTGGCTGGATTCCCAGTCATCCCCGGCTATGCGCAGCCACTGCTTACTCACACAACGCAGAGGAGAAAGACATTGACTTTGACACCGTCATCACTCTCTGTTTCCCACCACTCCCTGCATCTCCAGCAAGACATGGGCAGATGCAACTTTGCAAGTGCAGGACGCCAGACAATTGGTATCCGCCCAGGAAAGCCGAGCCCGGCCCAGCGCGGAGCCACAATTCAGAAGTCCCTTGCCCTTCTATTGGAAACGAGCAGCTGCGGACACTGGAAATTTAAAGAGAGAAAAAAACAACAACCAAAACCCCAATTTCAGAGGCAGCAACCAGGGTCATACCAAGGCCTTGAATACATCATAGGTTGATCATCCGTTCACGGAAGCTTTGAGCAGGGACTTCCTGAACATCCGGCCGGCCTGCGGATGCTTGGAAGAAGACGAAGAAAGACTGCTCCCAATTGCCCACACACTCACTCACTGGATTGGACTGGATGGATCGGATTGGGCTCTGCCTACCTCTTACGGATACCTTACCTAGTTGATTCAAACCACCTTACGTACCGAGGAAGGTCTGGTAGGCAATAGTTGCGCATGCCGCCAACTTTCATGGTTGCCAATGCCGTCTCTTCCATCGGTTCCGCGCTACGAATACCTCAGCTCATCCTGCGTGCCGTCCTTTTCCTGGTGTCTGTAAATAATACTCTTCTTCCTCTTACAACTACCTACACACACATGAGTTACCAGAGCCGTCCATCGCATTGGAATTCCTCAACCGTCCCGTCTTATCCTTCGTCTCCCGTTATACCCGAGGCCAATAGTCCACAAACCTCGACATACCTTCAGTTAGAAACCTACGTAGACATTCGCTACTAATCGCCCACGCCACTCAGACGTTCAATTCCATCTCGTCCCGCCTCGTCCGCCATTGTAAGCTATGCCTATTGCCTACGTCCCCCTGCCCTGCTCTTTTACCTTATTCACTACTTTCCTTCTTCCCCTCTTCCCAAACGTCCCATCTCATTTCAACCCATAACATACCCCCCGTCGCTTCGTCTTTTCTTGCGAAAGCCAGAGCCAAACAGAAGAAGGAAAAGAAGTCCATCCGTCCTTCTTTGGCCCCTCTCGTCCTGCTCCTCCCGCCTCAAATCAAGCTCGCAAGTTATCCATCCTTGGAAGAGGGGACACACAGGGCGCACACCGCACACACCGCACACCACTCACCGCGGTCGCGTCGCAGAGTCTCTTCCCCCGCCAGACAACATCCTTGCATGCTGCTTGAGTCTGCCGTCGCAACCAATCCCACTATTTCGTTGGATACGCTGCGCGACAAAGCCAATTCCCACTGTTTCCATTCGGGCATCCAGAACTTTGAGGTCGGGATACCGTCGCAGCACTGAACCATCGCGACCGCTTTACCCTGCTGTACCTGGTCTTCCGGCTTGCCTGCCCACGCCTTTCCGCCTCTCACTCTCACATTCACACACTTCTCTTCACCGTACGTGCGCTCCGCTCAACTGTACCTCTCTTGCTGTTCGCTCGCCTTGCTGGGACTCTCTAGCTCTCGCCTACCATTTCACATCTCCATCTTCCCCCCGCTTGAACAGGGGCAGTTCCCGGGTCATCGACTCTAACCGCCTCGCCTCGCCCTCGCTTGCCTCTCCCTTCTTCCCCCATCTTACACCCCTCATCGTTGTCGACATCTTCCCTGTCGTCAACATCTCACTCGTCGATTATCGATTCTCTGGCCCATCTCATCGCTCGTCCCCCCACCAGTCACTACAATCACGGAACCCTCACTCACCCCCCCCTCTGTACCTTTACAGGTCTCTCAGGCTTCAGCAGTTCGAGTGGCGTTGCGCGCGGGGCTCCCCATCTTCACTCTACTGAGGCAGTCAGAAGGTAAAACGTGAGACATCCATTCAACACGGACGGAGCCTGACTGGTCCGGACTTGTGAGAGTGTCCTGCGGTATCTTTGCCGACTTGACCTGGCCGCCCCGGGACTGGATGAGAATTGAATTTCGATTGGAGACTCTCGATGCTCGTTCCCACCTTGCTCTCGTCTATCCCACACTTTCTCCCCTCCTTCTGATCTCTCTTCCCTCCCTCCTCCCACCACGGCTGCTACTTGTTCCTGTACAAACACACACACACACTCATACTCACACACACTCACACTCACACTCACGCACTCACACTCACGCACTCACACGCACCTCATCCCGCACCCGCACCCGCATGCCGTACTGATCTTCCCGTTGTACCTAGCAACTAGACTTTCTTCTCCCGCCAAACAAGACGCAGAGATCTTGCTTTTCCTTCAGGAGGTCCGAGGGTGGAATGTGATTAAGCCTCCACCCGGCTCTTGTCACTGACTGATCGCATGCACGCCTGACTCTGACGCTGCTCAACCGGTACGTCTTGCATTTTCCTTCTAGTACCTTTCCCTCACATTCTGAGGCTGCCCGTCCCGCCTAGCGCCATCTCCATCTCGTTGTACCTTTCCATACTCCATACACCTTTCTTTACCTTGCCTTACCGGCCGTTAGTCTTGTCTCCCAAGACCAAGACGACGCATTTCTTATGCCCCATGCCTGTCTCTCCATGTGCAGCAAGTGCTCGCACCGCGCCGTGTCCCATCACCGCTGCACATTATCACGGGCAACCCTGCATCCCACCTCAAACCCCCAACATCCCTAACTCGCCTCGATGCCCGACACTCCTTGACCCGACCTACACATCCTCGTCTCCTCTTCCTATGGATACCCTCACTTGCTTTTTGCCAGCGCATAGAGCCATCTCATGCACCTAATCTGCCCAGTACCCCAGACCACTCTCCTATTGTCTCTGACCGTAGGAAACTTCCCTTACACACGCCCTTTCTAAAACTCCATACCTTAAACTTCAACCTCTCTCTTCTATTTCTTATACATACTCTGCATACCGCGCCCACTTTCTGGCTGAGTGATTCCGGACTCTTTGTCACTCGGCCACACGCTACATGTTTTTTCCAACCAGTGGTGTCTAACAATGCCGGCCACCATGACAGATTCGGAGCGATCTCGGCGTACGGAAAACTGGATTCCCACATCCACCCGAGGCGGCGTCTACTACTGCCCCAGATATCTTCTCGATCCTCCCGCTACACAACAAAATCGCCTACCGACGCCGCCCATCCGTGCTCGCCAAGTAAGACCGCGATCAATACACATCACCTCGTGGCCATCGGGCTTTGTACCTCACGAATTACGGCCACAACCAGAACGTCCTGTTAAGAGGAGGAAACCGTCAAAAGCAGTATCCCCAACTACAACAGCGCTGGGCAAGACGTCATTGAAGTTCAGCATCAAGCAGTTCTTCTCCCTCTCTCAGAAACAAGTGCCAAGCCGTTCTACGTCGCGCGCATCCACACTTTCCAGGCCTACGCTTTCGAGGCCCCCGAGCAGAGCCGCGAGCATCCTCAATCGACTCTCTACCTATCGTGAGGTAGATTTGGTGGTTCCGGACGAAGACACAATGGCGCTACCATCTGCCGCCATGAGCGAGGCCTTGCGGCCGCCTCTCATGAGCTCTACATACAACACACCCGGGCAGCGAAACAGCTTGATGTCGGTACGGAGCGCAAAGAGCAACGTAACATCAATGGTCACCGAGATCCCCAAGCCTATCGCCCATGGCAGCGGCGTTAGCTGCTCGATCTTGATGGCGGAACCAAATATCTTCTTGACTGGATTTGACCACGACGGCCACAGACAACATTCACAAGGCGGCACAGCTCTCCTTCGCGGAAAGCTGCAGTTGAAGGTCACGAAAAACATTAAGATTAAGGGTGTGAGCTTGAAGTTGGTGGGAAAGGCTCGCACGGAATGGCCCGAAGGAATTCCTCCCTTGAAAGTCGACCTCTATGAGGAGGAGTCGCTGCGCACGCAAGTTTTGACCTTTTTCAACGCCGTAAACGACGGATGGGAGACCGAGTATGGGAACCAGTGTGTCTACACATTGAAGAACAGCTCCACGAATTCTTCTTCTACCAATCTCGCCTCCAGCTCTCCCCGCAACTCGATGTCGCCCTCGCTACTCTCGATACCTCCTAATCGACAGGGTCTTACCGCCAAGGAGCTGAAGCGCCTGTCTCTACAGTCAAACCAGTCGAGGAGCTTTGGCAAGGGCGACAACCCGAGCGGCAACCAGGCAAAGGGTTACAAGGTGTTTTACCCAGGTACTTACGAGTACACCTTTGAGCTGCCTATCGACCACCATCAGTTGGAGACAACTAAGCTTCAGTATGGCTCGGTGAAGTGGGAGCTGCAGGCAACCATTGAGCGAGCTGGCGCTTTCAAGCCCAATCTTCACGGTTCCAAGGAAGTCGCCATCGTCCGCGTGCCAGATCAGCTCTCGCTCGAAATGACGGAACCCATCTCAATTAGCAGGCAATGGGAGGATCAGCTCCACTACGATATTATCATCTCGGGCAAATCATTTCCCTTGGGCACCAAAATCCCGATTGCTTTTAAGCTCACGCCGCTTGCCAAGGTTCAGGTTCACAAACTCAAGGTTTTCGTCACCGAATCGATTGAGTACTGGACCAACGACCGCAGAGTTACCCGTAAAGATCCGGGTAGGAAGATTCTCCTGCTCGAGAAGACTGCTGGCAAGCCACTGGACCCTGCCTATGCGTCGTCGGATGTTCGCGTACTCAATGGTGGTGAGCTCACGCCCCGCCAGCGCCGGGAGGCCCGAGAATCTGCAGCCATGCGGCGCGCAGCCGATGCCTCTCGACACGGTGTGATGCCCGAGCCTCTCCCCGAACCAGTAGACAACATCTTGGGTGACTTGGATCTTGGACTCGAGAGCTACTGGGGCTCCACCGAGATTGAAATGAACGTTCAACTGCCGACTTGTGAGACCATGGCCAAGAGCAAGGAGATGCGCTTGCACCCCGATTGCAGTTGGAAGAATGTCAATGTGTACCACTGGATCAAGGTAAGTCTTTTTTTATATCCACTTGATAACTCGCAACGACTAACAACCACTCTAAGATCGTCATGCGGATCTCTCGCCTCGACCCTGAGGATCCCACCGGTACCAAACGCCGTCACTTTGAGATCAGCATCGACTCACCGTTCACGGTACTCAACTGCCGCGCTACTCAAGCAAACACCTCTCTTCCCGAGTACTCAGGCCCCGATGTCGGCTTAAACCAAAGCCGTCACACGTCTTGCGGCTGCCCCGATGCTGTCACCATCTCTGGTCCATCTGAGGGCTCACCCAACAACCTTTCAACCGGCGCCCTCACCGTAATGGAGGCGCCTAGTAACCTTCCCGCGCCCCCACAAGCCGCCCACCTTCCCTCCTCACCGCAACCTACAACCGGCGGCACCGGTCGGTTGTCGCCGCCAAACTCCCAGACGTCGGTGGACCCTCTCGCCGACGTACATCCCCGACCCATTCACCTACTTCGCGTGCCGTCCTACAATCCGCCTGCGTTTGATGCTGAGACGCCCCCGCCGCCCGCTGAGAACGACCAGCTCCCGCTGCAGACGCCCCCACCTCAGTACGATGTCATTGTCGGCACGCCGAGCGTCGACGGCATGGCAGACTACTTTGCTCGGCTCGCAGATTACGGCTACGACGAACCCGAGGAAGACTCCGACTCGGATGAGGGCCCGGCTCGCATCACTGAGCGTGGAGGGCGCGTCAACGTGGCGCACCCTCGCACACCCGGCGGCAGACGCGCTCCCAGCCGCAGTATGGAAATCCAGCGCCCTCCCGTCGAACTAAGAATGGACGCTCTACCTAACTTGAACTTGCGGAGGGATGGTGTCCACCCGCAAATCAACTGAACATAATGCTGTAATATCACAGAAAAAGAACTGTCACAAATTGGAGGAGATGAGATGATCAGACGAGAAACTTGGACGATGAAGGCTTGGAAAGAGGATACATTCGAATTACTTTTGCATCATGACTATGGATCATCGAGACGACATCTAAAACACTACTTGGCAACGCATCCTCATCAGGATTGGTCGGCGCATTCACGAAGGGGAATGGGTTTCGGTTGGTGAATGTATGCTCGTTAGACGCGAGCAGGACTGGGAGGAACACAGTCTGGCGTTCTTGTTGTTCTTTTTGGGATATATACCTGGACTCTACGTCTACTGCTATGTGTGAATATTGATTCCCTGGATGTGTATTGGACTTGAAGACAAATACCTTACATCATGCATACGATTCTCTTCTGTGATGGTGATGCTTCATGAACTCGCCTGACGGCACTCAGTGATTATGATGTTATTTTCAGCGGACTATTCATTAAAAGTAACTTGGTCACCTGCATGTAACATCAACACCCGCTGAAGGGTGCAATACATTGAACCCGGCGTGGCATGGCACCTATCAGACCAGTTCAGCCGGACCAGCTATTGAATTACTTGACTTTTCGCCTGACCGACGTGCTTCTCGCCACATCAAGAACTCTATTATCCCTGTAAAATCGGCTCTGTCCCAACCCATCGATATATATAATGTCTCACCGACGGCTATTGGTATTAGAGAATGCGGCGGAACCACCATAGGAGACAGGGTAAACGATAGAAAAGGGGGCGCCGAGGACTGCCGTGATTTGAGTTTCTTCAAGGGTGGTATTGCAAACAAGAAAAAAAGGGGCTGACGGACGAAGATCGATTGGTGGTCTTTTCTTCGGGGCACGTGGAGGAAAGTCAAGTCGATTGGCATTTAGGAGGTTACCGGAAAGCGCCGTCCATCAATCGAGAGTTTGACATTTGGTGATGGAGGGGGGGGGGGGGGACAAGGGGGTTCCGGTAATCACTTTAAAAGCCTACGTTCGAATTCGTTTGGCTGTGAATCCTGTGGGCCATGAGTGAGATGTCTTCATCGACGGGGGATTCTTTGGGAAGGGGTCCCTTGAGAGCCATAGGATCCTGGTTCCGTGTTTGAAGGGTGGAGGGCATGTATATGAACGAAGTTACCAGCGTGAAGACTGTCTTTATTGACCAGCGGCAAGCGAAACCGTAGCCGGAACTTTAACGTTATCCTGTCCATGAGGAATGGGAGGGGAGGCAAACGTCTTTTTCGGCTGATGGAGGGGGGTGGCGTTTGTTTCATGAGCGGGAGGGAGTGTGACCTCACCGGCGACACGGGGTTTTGAGAATTCAGGAAATATTGAGGGATCGGTTTGCGAAAAGCTGAAGGATATTTGTTTTGACAAGGTTCATGTTTGGAAAAAGTATCTACCCTAGCCGACACGCATTTCCGAGTGAAAGTAGCGAAGGTTGCTTCTGGAATTGCCATTATGGTAGGAAGAAGGGCTCTCTGAGTTTGGGGAGAAGAAGGAAGAGAGAGAAGTTGTTCATGGCATTAACGGGAACGCTCGTGCGGACGGCGGGATCGGAATTCGGGGGTTCTTACTATTGGATTGGGAATTTGCTTTTCCGATGGTGGTGAGAAAGGGGGATTTGGATACCGTGCGGTGTGATTGCGGTGTGGGTGGAGGCTATTCTGCTTGAGTTGGCCCAGGCTTTTCTGGAAGAGAGTTTGAGAAGGATGAAGTGAGTTTGCGTCGCTCAGAGCTGAAATGCCGGGATAAGATTCGGATATGTTGGAGTTGGATGGAGAGAAATAGAGAGGAAGAAAGAAGGCCAAGGCTCGAGGCCGGCTGTGGGTTTGGTAGGTAGGGTATCGTTCTGCAAATAACTTCAATCTCGATGGCGGAAGAATGAGCTTGACTGCCATGTAATTTGCGGAGTGATTCTTGTTGAAGAGACTTCGACGCTAGAAACGTGGTCACGACTTGGTCACGACAAGACGCTTTGCGGGAAGGAGCAGGGAAAACCAAAGCGACAGTTCCGTCTGATGGTTACAACCAACCAACTACAAGCCTCAAGGCAAGGCTGCTTACTCAGATCTCTAAAGAGCCCGGGCTCATGGTTGGACAGGAATCCTGGAAGCTGCACGTGTTGTGGTCTAGAATTGAGGCAATTATACGGACAAGGGGTAGTGTTGTTGCTTGACAGGCTATGCAACCCTGGCGTCTAACGTGGCCAGAGATCTTTCAAAATTTGACATATTTGTAGGAACAACTCATACTTGTCGAGTTTGTGACTGGACATGTATCTGGTGACCGACCCTAGGCTGGAAGAAGATTGTCGTCTAGGGCTTCGAGGTTACATGTAGACTTGATTGTGGACTGGGAAGATTTGATGGTGGAATACCGGGATGTAGACGGGATTGTGGCACCTGGTTACTCACTGTCAGTGCGCGCATCGTGACGTGCTGGTTGAATGCTTCGATTCTTCCAAAGTATGAACGTGGAATACTTTTCCCTAGGTAGGGGAGGGCGATCGGTGCACGATTTCCTTACACGTAATGTCTTCCTTGACATGACATCGAGGTTGAAAGATTACTTATCAATCTTCAAAACTCAAGAGTCCTCGTCTAGTGACTAGAACCCAGAAGTCGATGTCAAACCCTGCGAACCTTGGCTGTACCATTCCCAAGAACAGGACTAATACTTGGCACCATTGGAGGTACAAGGCGATCGTTTCTTTACGCGGATCTCACTTACAGACCTGTTCGCGAGGTTGATGATATTTCTATCTAAATCTATACTCTCTACATAAGGTACGTATTGCAAGAGAGCAGTACATCAGTTGTGTGAACAAAGCATTGACAGGTTCAACCGGTGCAACAATGTGCAGCAGATTGTGCGCGGTGGTCTCTTCATGTTCCTTAGAATACGACAAAGGCAAGAAGATCCGTCAAGGAACCCAAGCAGAGATCCATGGACTCTGCCTCGAGCTCATAGGGACTGAGGGGCACAACTTCGTTGAGCTGTGGTATGAGTAGAAGCTGTAGTTGGACCGCCTCCCTGAAACAAAGCATGACGTCTGTTTCTTTAGGATCTGAGAAATATCATACCAGAACTCGTGCGTTTCGATGTCTTTGATACAGAGTCCGCATCTACAATACCGAAGGTAAAGAGAGTTGATGATATTTATGTCGACGCAGCCAGTGATCCACAGGCCACAGTGGCTGTAGTCCTCATATTTCAGTGGATTTCAGCTCAAGGTCTTACACTTCGCGGCAAAAATATACTCATTTCGTGTCTGATATCACCTCTAGAAGAGGCTATCCATTTGGGAAGGCTTCACAAACAGGGGTCAAATATCGTGCGTCCTGACGTCGATTGCACCGGAACTGACTTGAGATGGCAGCCTCAGGAGCTGGTGGGAACTATTGCTAGCCCTGAAGTAGGTCTGGTTTTCTAATTGGAGATCGTCTGCTTACTCACAAAGTGTTTTGTATCAAAAGGCATTAAGTCATCGAGTGACTATACCATGTGAGTATCGTCGGAGAAGTCTCAAGACTAACATGCGGTTCTGCCCGCGACCCCACATCCATGCATATCCATGACTAGTTCCGCCTTAAGGGTTCTTATGAGCGGGGAATGGGACGAACCTCTGCCCTCACAACCTGCCTTATCATGACTGAGTCATTCTTGGTTTCTCTTAAATAATGCCTTGCATCCCTCTCACGATTTGTCCTCTCTACTTGTTCAGTATTCGTTCTTCACTGCGCTCGTAATTTCGGCTTGATCATGAGTCACGACCTTTCGACTCGCGGCAGCATCGCAGCCAAGCCGGACGATGGCATGCTTCTATGGAAGATCGTCCAGGACCTCTGGGACCCGGAAATGAATCCCAAAGGCTACGTGAGCTTGGGAATCGCGGAAAATACTCTCATGCATGATAGACTGTCGAAGCATATTCACGAGAACCTAGCAGTTCCGAACCACTCGTTCACGTATGGCGATGGCATGACCGGCTCAAAGCGTCTGAAGGCATCACTCGCGCGCTTTCTCACAGAGCGACTACATCCAGTAACGGCCATCGAAGCGCAACATATCTCCGTCACCAATGGTTGTAGTTCGGCAATCGAACATCTCTGCTGGGCGTTGGGTAACCCTGGCGAAGGCTTCCTTCTCGGCCAACCCCACTATGGAGCTTTCCTTCCCGATGTTGAGTATCGAACGGGCTGCAAGCTCGTTCAGGTTCCTTTCCACGAAGTTGACCCTTTTGGTTTGGATGCGGTCCGGAAGTATGAGGAAGCGTTGCTGTCCGCTAGGGAAAAGGGGATCAAGATTGCCGCCCTCATCTTGTGTCACCCTCACAACCCTCTCGGACGTTGCTATCCGCGGGATACCATTGTCGGTTTGATGCGGCTGTGCCAGCAGTACGATATGCATCTCATCAGTGACGAGATCTACGCGCTCTCCGTCTGGAAGAACACAATCGATACGCAACCGGCGCCGGTTTCTTTTGAGTCTTGCCTCTCTATCAGTACGACAGGCATCATGGACGCCCATCGACTGCATGTTCTCTGGGGCATGTCCAAAGACTTCGGCGCCAACGGTATCAGACTTGGCGCCATCATTTCACAGCACAATTCGTCGTTCCATAGCTCCTTGACCCCGGTCGGTATCTACAGCTCACCTTCTGGCCTTACGGACCACGCAACGGCCAACATTCTCGATGATCGCGAATGGGTGGATGGCTACATCGACGAGAATCAGCGCAAGCTCCAAGAAAACTTTGAGCTGGTGGCCCACTGGGTCACAGAGAACGGGATCACATACGCACCTGGGGCAAACGCTGCATTCTTTCTGTGGGTTGATCTGGGCAAAGCCTACCGTGAACGACGGCCGGGTGTAGAATTTGAGGAGATCAGCACAGAGGTGATGCGTGCGTTGCTTGACAAGAAGGTGTTTTTGGCATCAGGAAAGCAGTTTGGCGCCGAGCAGCCGGGGTGGTTCCGGATCGTGTTTTCCAACAAGAAGGAATTGCTACTTGAAGGCCTCAAACGAGTTGCTGCTGCGTTAGACCACTGAGCTTGATGTGATATCATTTGCTTAGGTTCTAACTTTACTTTGCATAAGCGCATAGAGACGGCAAGGGGTCTCAGATGCTTGGTTTTTCCTCGGACAAATACTAGTCATGATAACTGATATTAGCTACTTATCATTAAGAGAAGGTTTGCGCAAGATTACTCTCGTAGAATTTCTCCTACCAAAACACCAAGCTTAAATAATCCTTGCGTTGATCGTCAAAAGCCCCTGCACAATGATAAGATCATGCAGCACGGGGCATGGGTAAAGACCAGATAAAGCTGTGAATGATATTCTCCCTTACCTCATCGTTCAGTTGCTTCATCTCCATCGTGCCAATTTAATTATCTCGGGCGAGGCTTCTTATGTAGCATAGCCCTGTGGTGTTTGCCAAGGGAAATCATCGGTTGGTTGTCTGTACGTTTAGTCATTCTTGACTCGCTTAGCGTCCCTGCTGTTGTGGTAGAATGGTACTGACGACTGACGCGCAGTGCGGAATGCGCGGGGGCCGTTGAGTGCTTGTGGTTTGAAATCAAGCTCTCTACATCTAAGCATTGAACCTTGAACAAGAAGTATCGCGTGCCTTACCAAACTCCCATTTGCAATGATGAACGGATTCAAGAATTCAAATACCACAGTCGGCGTGGGCGACAACTTACATAAGAGATGGGCCAGTTTAGTTGCTTATTATTCTTCGGACGAAGGTTGCCCCTGAGATGTCACAGTGAGACATTGAACGTTCACGGATGTATTTTGACTATTTCTTTTTCGAAGATGACCAATACCTAGACGGATTCGTTGAGTAATGAGAATAAGAAAAATGGCACAGCTACCAACTTTGACGACACGCAAATGCCCGGATTGCACGGTGTCCAAGGCCGGCAGTCTCTGGATAGTTTTGCCAATTGCGGTAAGGCCTCGTTCATCTAGCTGGGCTGCAGGGATCCTCGATCGCCATCAACCCACATCTGCTTAATGCCTCCAGACATTAGCACAAGATCCCTGCGAACGCGCGCGGTTCCCACCGGCGTGCTAGTAATGCCCAGTCCTGCGTCAAGATCATGTGTTGATGTGATCTTGAATTTTTATTTAGGGTGTTCTCGGCGTGCGCGGTTCATAGCAGACTTAGATCTCTGACGATTTTACCGATAAGGGTGACAGCTATAGCCTCAACTCTAATGTGTGTACTAGTAGTATCACTCAGTTCCCGTCATCACAAGTCGGAACCACATAGCCTATGTAGAACATTGAATTATATGCTAAAAAGAGATGGCTTACCGCTACGGTGTAGCCGACATCTTTCTCACTTCGCTCATACCAATGACATAGTACACCGTTGCAACGGCATGCTAGGAGAGTATGGCCATATGCTAAGGGGCGATGTGACCTAGAGCTGCAAGAACTCCACCGTCTGAACCATGGTCATAATAAGCGTAACCGAGAAAGCATACATTGCGAATCCACGCTAAAGAGGGCTGAGTGGTTACCTTCATCCGAACGCTGGGGATTAGCTTGGCCCGGGGTGCAGTGACGTTGGGAAGGGGTAGGCAGTCTGACCGGGATATCAAAGATCTGGATCGCGTCATGTACATTTACCTTACCAAACTTGGATGAAAACAGCCAACGTCAGTCTACATGAGTCGTCTAGTCGTCTATTGTGGAGTTCGGAACGTGAGGCCTGCTCGGCTTTCGGAACGCAGTGCACGATGAGCCCCTGATGCCAATACGTGCAGTCTCAGGGACTGAAAATATAAGTAAGTACTATTTGCCGATTCGAATACACTTCTGAACATCACTTCAAATCACCGTCACTCTTTTGTACACACAGCCAACTGAAGTCCCAATTCAAAATGGTTCTGCCCACATTCGTTCTTTCGGCTGCTCTGGCCACATCTGTTGCAGCCTACGATACCCTCCTCAACTTTCACGGTGCCCCCGAAGTCGAAACCCGCAGTATTGATGAGATTCACAAGGCTGCTGTCGCTGAAGGTGGTGTCGTTACTCTTTGGCACGGAGGTGATGAGAAGACTCAACAGGACGCTCTGAAGGAAGCTTTCGAGAAGCGCTTCCCCGGAATGACCCTTAACCTCACCGTCGACATCTCCAAATATATCGACGGCGACATCGACCGCCAGCTGTCGCAAGGCAACGTTTACGTTGACAGCGTCATTCTTCAGACCCTTCAAGACTATCCCAGATGGGATCAGGAAGGTGCTTTGCTGCGGTACAAGCCGTTGGACTTTGACAAGATCCACCCTGGCTTCCGTGATGTATGGGCTTCGTGGTATGCGGTTGTTGTGTTTGGTTGGACCAACATCTGGAACACCGAAAAGGTTTCCGAAGGCCCCGTCGAGTACTCGGATTTCTTGAAGCCTGAGTACAAGGACAAGTTGGTCTTTACCTACCCGAATGACGATGATGCCGTTCTTTATGCATTCGACCTGGCGTAAGCAACAACCTCTGATAAATACCTCTTTATGTGTGAATACTAATTGGAAGCAGTATGCAGCAGAACGGGTACAGCTGGTTCGAGAACCTCCTCGCCCAAAACCCTCGTTGGGTCCGCGGCACTGCTACCCCGACCACCGTCATGGGTCAGGCCAACAACTCATACGCCGTTACCTTCACCGGCGCTCTCGGACTAGCACCCACTGCTCCTTTCAATGTTTCTATCCCTAAGAATGGCTTCTTCGTCACCTGGGGCCAGCGCGCTGCGATTCTCAAGGACGCCCCCCACAAGGAGGGAGCAAAGCTTCTTCACAACTTCTTGCTCAGCGAGGAGTATCAGAGCCCCAACAACACCGGCATGTGGAGCGTCCGCAAGGACATTCCTGCCCCCGCTGGCTTCCCGGAACTGATGGACGTCAACTCTACGAACCCCATTGACTTTGAGCGTTTCATGGCGGATCGTGAGCGTGTTGAGAGACTGAAGCTTTTCTTCGAGAGCAAGATTGGCTCCGCCCAAGGACTCAGCCCCTTGGTTGACGACTTGTAAACATGCGACTGAATACATAGAAATATAGCATAGCATGTTGTTTCTTCTATTTAGATCAAAAGAATGAAAAGCTCCTAGTTCGCTACAAGTTGTTGTTCTCGCGTAGTCAACACAAAGATGTCGTCTTAGTCTATCCCACCTCCTTCAACCATCACATACGACCATACCCATTGGAAAATTCGGGATCCCGTCCGCTCTCCCATAGACAAGCCAATGAGGGCCAGAGTAGTAGTCAGGTCGGTGACGACTGGCGAATGCCTGGTGTTGTATGTTTTTGATGAATTTATGGCGATATTTCGACATCGTGAAGTTTTGGTGTTGTGGTGGGCCACGCTCAAAACCTGACTCCACATATAGTTGATAAACCCATAACCCTGGTCGAAATCGGCCTGTCGAATCTACTGCTCCCTACTTGCAATGTTGACTTATTTTTGAACCACTGAAAACTACATTACAAATCTAGGGCGAAAGCATTCGTCGAGACTTTGAGATGATCTCAAACAAGGGCCGATTCTTTGGCTCCAAATACATTACCCAGCTTTTCTTTACATACCGCATGCGATGACGCAAGTGATCGGCTGAATTGTCAAAAGTGGGAAAGGAGGCAAGCACATAATATCTCAAGTTGGGATCTGGATTTCTTTCGAATAGGTGGTTGTTATGGTTGGGGTATTCTTAGAAGAAAAAGGTCAAACACTATACCGTCGCATAATCGCATGGAGAATACATATGACGAAATTAAGATTATACCAATCCATCAAATCGGTCTTCAAATGACCCCATAAACTTTAGTACCCTTAAGCTGTGCCTTCTCTATCGCATGTCGTTACTACCGTCAGACCTCGACAGGACCACGACCGACAAAATCTGCTTAGCCGCTGAGCTTCAACGGCACTTCCCTGATAGGCCAATGTCTTCAAATTCTTTTCTAACACAATTTTGTACAGAGAGAGAGATACAGTGTGATTAATTTCTCCGTGACAAGAGTCTCTACTTGACCAAGACATTTAACAGCAACCAACTAGGTAATCCTCCCTTGTGTCTAAGGCTGGCTGGACTGACTCCGCTTCGGGTGATGTGAAGCCGGACGAGCAGTCTGTATAACCTCAACTACAGTTTGTGTAACCTGAACCATTGTTTTTGGTATGAGACGGTCTAGACCTTTCATTCTCGTTACCTCACTGCGAGCGGCCAAAGAAGGTATGTCGCCACCGAGAGAAACTTGGCGACACACAGCTCCGTTGTTCTCCAAGCCATGGTGTATGTGCTGCCAAGAGCTATGTACCGCCCAGACACCATCGATGGAATGGAATGATTGGAAGAAGTTCCACATGCCCGGCGACTTGTTGGGTACACAGGCTTGGAGTCCGGGACTGGGCCATGGCTCGGCACTTCAAAGAAGGTATGCGTCTGACCAGACTGCCGAGCTGATCAGTCGATCCCCTCGGCCCGGCTGGTCGGATGACTTCACGCGACTCTATCACACGCCGAAAGCAATGCTTGCCCCTTACAGCACCCCTCTCGTCCGTTGAACGCATTGTCTAGGCCCGATGTTGTGGATGCAAGGAATAGATTCTGTGGCTTGCTGAAAGATCAACCTTCCTCGATGTGATACGCCATGAAGCATGCTCAACGCATCTAGGGAAAAGATGATCCAACGTCATTTGTGTGCCTATGAAATCAAAATGACCAATCGTCGTGTGGCTCGCCATGACACTTAGGCCGGAAGCATGCAAAGGGAACCGGGGAAGTGTCTCAGAGACCGGCGGGAGGCAACATCCAGCACCACGGAGATGGAAGGTGCTCCGTCTTTGAGAACTATTGATCTTCGTTTTGCACTTTCATCCTCTTGAGACTGTCTCACAGATTGAACAAGCAGTGTGATCTTCCTTCCCGAGGCACAAGAATCGGATAGAGGGGAAGGCAGTCAAATTTCTCAACCAATTCTTGGGGATGACATCACAGTATGACCATTGGAACATGATTCATTGCCTAAGCAGAGTAGTCGATTTTGTGCACACATACTTGGAGCTCGAACACATGGCTACGCTGTTGTTAATTGGCGGTAGAGAAGCCGGAGAGACGCGCTGCACGCGCGCCAAGAGTGCATTGTTAAGGCCGTGAAGCTTAGTCCAAGGCAGTTTCTTGGTGGCTTGAAGCACATCATGAGCAATGAAAATAGTAACGAGGCGTCCAAAAAACCACAAGCCCCCCATCAAGATAGTGAGAAATGAGAACTTTCGGCACCATGTCACAGAGCCAACGTCTCTAGTCAGAGTGCTTCTGCAATGAGGTCTCTTGATTTGAATTATCCTAAGTAAATCGACCTGAGTCTAGACAAAACACCACGGACTTTGCATTGAAAACGTTATTCTACAACTTGGACTTGCCGATTGAAGATGAACACCAAGTCGAGAAACGTCCACAGATCGGGCCGCATTTTGGCACTACGATCGGAATGCAATCTCTGGGGCGGTTGAGTCATCTCGTTCAGTTGCCTAGCAAGCCCATGACATGGACTTTCCTCTCCGCAATGTACGGCCGCAAACGTTGTCTCGGACAGTGCCATTGACGGAATCTCCCTTAGGTAATTGCTCAAGACTCGTCGTCCCGCTACGGAACAAGCTCAGTCCGATGATCGAAGCCGGCTCAACCACCCCGCTGTCGATGAATGCGGCCCGCTGGGAACTATCCGCTGACATATTTCCCGTAAGCCTAGCCTGCCCGCCAAGCCACGGCTAGGCTAGATCTAGCTCTTGTCACTATTGCCTAATAGCCAGCTCCCATAACGTCTAAGTGGGCTCGAGCTTCATGAAAGGGTTGCTCCCGTTGAATGTGGGGTTGGAGGCTGTTTTGAACAGCAATGATTCGTGGATACTAGATGGTCTTAGACAACGACCATCGTCCACGGGAAACTCCAGTAGACCCTGAGACATCACAGACCCAACCACATCCACTCCCGCCACATGCGGTGACAAGTTGAAAGATTAGCCAACAAGCTGTCCGTTCCCAGCTCCCTGCAAGGGGATTGAGGTCTTTTGGGGAGGAAACTGGAAATGGGGCTCTCCGGGAATGACAGCAGAGGAGACGCCTCACCCGCTCAGCATTCTTGTGAGGAAGATTCCGTGCGACTTGTGTGTCTTACTGGGCTTTCAGACTCCTTTGACTCTCTTCAGCTGGCGCCCGGGCGGGAGTGTCTTGCCGCCCAGAGGCGTTTCCAAAGAGATTCTGTGTAGGTTTTCTTTGGCTATGCGGGAGCGTTGCCGTGTCGTCATATCACACCGATGAACACTACCATCACTGCGAGCCTCGCCCCGTTACACAGAATATCGGACAGTGAAAACTTCTCATCTTAACACAGGAATGATTTACAAGATGACGGGGCAGATCATCACCTCATCTCAGACAGGCACAGGCATCGGACCCGGCGCCCGGTGCATCTCGAGAAGATGATGGAAGGCCCCGTTACCATGGTAAGAGCTCAGAGATGTACCTATGCCGAATCCACCATCTCGATGCCGCGCGGTAGTTCAGCCCGGGAAAGCCAAGATGCCTCGACGTTCTTGGGGTCTAGCTTGGCGCCTTGGCGGCGCCTGACATCAAATTGAGACAAGCGGTAATTATTTCGAAGACTTTGCCTGTTTGCCTGCTGACTGAAGGTCTTGGAGGTTACGGACGAGGATAGTGGGATGCCGAGGAACGCGGCCCCTTCTAGATCAGCCCAGGCCTCCGACGTCAAGATCGGAACCCATCCCTTAGCGTACCTCCACCAGTTCGTCCGTCCGCCTCGAGCCTTACGGAGAGGTTCTTGTTGTCTCGTTATTTCTCTGCATACGGAAAAGAGGCAATCCCTTGCAGTTGATGCTCGGGAATGATATTTTGTTGGCCCACAAAGAAGAAGAGCGTTGTGCAAATCGAAATAGCCGGGTCTTCGAATGGAGCCCCTAGTTCGCGGAAGAAGCCATGCCCAGCAAGCCACCCTACGCTTACCCACCGCCTCTGGTAGAATGATGCTCGTTTTCAGACATTTTGAGAATCTCTCAGTATCGAACCTCCAAAACGTTGATATTGTGGGTATCGTGGGCTCGAAGACTGCATCTCAATTCTCTATAAGAAGCGTCAACGCCCTCCGTCTTGTCACAAATTCTCTCTCCCTCATCAGCTCACACAGCATCTCAACACACAACACTCAGACAACAATATTCTGAACACTTCTCTTCACTACTACCATCTTGATAACACATCCTATCCGCCTTAATTCAATCGCCAACATGCAGTCCAAGATCTTCACCGCCGCGCTCGCCGCTTTCTCCTTCGCTTCAGTTCAGGGAGCTGTTCTTCCTCGCGCTACCATCACTCCTGGCACCATCGTTACTCCTGGCATCTCTTTCAACCCTGCCGAGCTTGGAGCCAACGAGTTGGCCTTCCGCACTCTTCAGGTCCTTACTGGCCAGATTGCTCAGACCACCGCTCTCGCCAACAGCCTTGCTCTTCAGGCCACCGGCACTGCGACAGCTGTAAGGCTATCACCGCTCAAAAAATGGAAAGAGGATACATGAAACTAACCTCGACATCTAGGCCGCTGACCAGGTCCAAGCCGTTGTTGCTCAACTGAGCTCCAACGCCGCTGCCATTGCTGCCAACGTCGCCAGCATTGTCGCTGCCGCTCCCACCGCGATCCCTCCTGCTCCCAGCCCTACTGCCCCTGCCACTCCCGATGTTGGTGGCCAGGCTGAAGCTGTAAGATCAACCGTCCACTTCCACACTGTTCATCACTAACACATCTATCATAGCTTGTCCGCCAAGCTCAGGCCCTCGCCAGAGCCCTGACTGCTCAGATCGCCGCTCTCCAGGCCCAAGTCACCGCCAACGCTGGAACCGTCGCCGGAGTTGCCCAGAACGTGATCCTCCTCCCTGCTTTGGCTCAGGCCCAGGCTGCTGCCGCCACCACTCTTGCCACCGTCGGAACCGCAAGCAACCTTGCTCTCAGCACTGCTGCTACCCTGACCGCCAACGCCCAGGCCATTGTTGACCGTGTCCGCAACGCCCAGGTCAAGCTCAACCCCGTCCTCGTCATCGGCGCCACCCCCGATGTCCAGTTCTAAAGAGCTCGATAACTTTTTACAATACTCTTTTGCCCGGTCTTTCGATAAGCAATTATCTTAGTCGGTCAACAGCTTGAGCAAGACTCGCAGAACTTTCAACAACCGCAGCCGAGTATGGAATTCGGAGGATAATAATATGACAAAAGGGGGGATTGGACTTACCATTATTATGGGATACTAACGATCGCAAAGTCTTTAAACAAGACCTACTACGCTCCTTGACGGATGGCTTCTGAATAATTAGTAATATTTTATCTAGCGATAGGACTATCTTTAATATACAATAATCAAGATGGTACTCAAAAAAATTACTGGTTTCCCATACTACAGTGGCCTTTAGTGGCATTTGAGGTGTCTTGATCAAGACTTTAATCCTCTCTCTAACATTGACGTCTTTTGTGGGTAGGTCTTAAGCTAAGTCTTTTAGCCTCCCAAGCACGGAAGAGAAGCTGCATTCACCTAACACGTCACCAAAGTACAAGGTATCCCATGCGTTCTGCACTTCCGGCGAGACCTTTCATTTGCACCAAAAGAACAGCCTTACACTAGCAAACCTGGCAGTTGTCAAGATGTCCCCTTGTTTTAAGGAACGGTGTCGTGAATAAGGTGATATGCTTGAAAGCGTAAAGATGGCGTGTTTCGTGTAAACAAATTGCCTGCCGGCGTAAAGCCCGAAATGGTCGTAAGTGGATACTCCGAAGCGCCGGAAATTCAGGGGCGGAGCGGGGCAAGCTCCGTTTTAACCGCTTTTGTTCGGATGGCACAATGTGACATGCATGAGCTGGTTCCGTTTGGCCTGTTTCTGTCCTGCTCATGAGTGGAAAGCTTTCTGTCGCCTTCAGGTGAAGGCCACGAGGCCACAGGACGGCCCATGTTCAACTCTTTTGCACCCGCGCCCCAGCACTATCCCTGATGCGACCGGTGGGATCCCCAGAACACAGCGGGAGATCCTCTCCTGGCCCTACAGTTCTGAACCCCTTTCATCTTTCGGCCGAGGGAAGCGAAGTCTTCTAGCCAATACGCTGATTCTCCGTTGCAGGGGATGGAGACTCCCGGATCGTCGGCTACTATGGTTCAAGCCTCCAGCATTAGGTAGATTGGGGCGGGATGGAAGCGAAGAGGGGCGTATGGAAAGGGTCAAGAGAACGAACATTGATAAACGACTCGATTCCCGCCAGTATGTGCAATGGCCTAGCTTTGAATTCTCTTCCGTCGTCTTTTGCCATTCACTTCCATTCTTTTCTTGTTACCTTGACGTAACTTTCCACGTTCTTTTTACAAGTCTCTCTCTACAAGTCTCTCATTTCCAACATCCTCGCCAACATGCGTTTCTCAACCATCACAGCAGCCGGTCTGCTCGCCTCCGGCGTCAGCGCCAACCTGCACGAGCTCGCCGTTGCGGCCGGCAAGAAGTACTTTGGCACGGCCACGGATAACTCTGAGCTCACCGACACGGCCTACGTCGAGATCCTGAAGGATGCAAAGATGTTCGGCCAGATCACCCCTGGTAACGGCCAGAAGTGGCAATTCACCGAGAAGAGCCAGGGAGTCTTCAGCTACACCTCTGGCGACGAGATCGCCGACTTCGCCAAGACGAACAGCAAGCTTCTCCGCTGCCACACCCTCGTCTGGCACTCTCAGCTCCCTACCTGGGTGTCTTCCGGCACCTGGACCAAGGAGCAGCTGACCTCCATCATCGATACTCACATCTCCAACGTCGCTGGCCACTACAAGGGCCAGTGCTACGCGTGGGACGTTGTTAACGAAGCTCTTAACGAGGACGGTACCTACCGCGACAGTGTCTTCTACAAGGTTCTCGGAACAGACTTCATCCCCATCGCCTTCAAGGCCGCTGCCGCCGCCGATGCGGACGCGAAGCTTTACTACAACGACTACAACATCGAGCTGGCAGGTAACAAGCAGAAGGAGGTCCTCAACATCATCAAGAACATCAAGGACTCTGGTGCCCGCATTGACGGTCTCGGCCTCCAGGCTCATCTCATTGTCGGTAGCGCTGGTTCCCGCTCTGCCCTGAGCGCCGTCCTCCAGTCCTACGTCGACGCTGGTGTCACCGAGGTCGCCTATACCGAGCTCGACATCCGTCACAAGGCCATCCCCGCCGACACTGCTGCCCAGGAACAGCAAGCCACCGACTATGTCAGCGTTGTCGGCGCCTGCTTGGATATCGCCGAGTGTGTTGGCGTCACCATCTGGGACTACACCGACAAGTACTCTTGGATTCCCTCGGTCTTCCCCGGCACCGGCGAGGCCCTTCCCTGGGACAAGGATCTGAAGCCTAAGCCTGCCTACACCAGCATCTCCAGCCTTCTCGCCGCCGCCGGCAAGGGCGGTGCTGCTCCTGCCACCTCTGCTCCCGCAGTTGCTACCAGCGCCGCTGCTGCCGTCACCACTTCCGCTGCCGCAGCCGCCCCTACCTCCGAGTCTGCTGCCGCCGAGCCCTCAGTCCCTGCTGCTGAGCCTTCCGTCCCTGAGAGCTCTGCCCCCGCTGTGCCAGTCACCACCCCCAAGGCCAGCGTCCCTCCTGCGACTCCTGCGCCTGCTACCACCCTCAGCACTGTTGTGAAGAGCAAGTGCGGTGGTGGTGCTACTGCCGAGGCCGCTTCCAGCGCCCCTGCGGCTGCTGCCACCGGCGGTGCCGCTCGCTGGGCTCAGTGCGGTGGCAACGGATTCACCGGCTCTACTACGTGCCAGTCCGGCCTCACCTGCCAGAAGCAGAACGACTACTACAGCCAGTGCGTCTAGACGAGGGTCTTCATGCAGCCGTGAAGGAGGAAGGATGAAACGTGGAGGGGATTGCTCAGGACAGCATTCCATTGAGACAGTAGAGGATTCGTGTACATATCTTTGAAGCCAATAGGTACATATACTTCACATATGTTGATCCCAAGAGTACTACTTCGTGATGTACGATCCTATTTAATCTGAGAAGCTGAATTCTACGCCTAGGACTGGTAGGCTTTTGCTAAAGTAAACCTGAAGTACACAGGGATTGCAAAACAAAACCCCATAGTGGCCGATTTGGGAATGCCGTGTATTATTATGCGGATCGTTGGTCAAAAAAGGGACACAGAGGTGCTCACCGGATGACTCACTCCAAGAGTCTAATAGTATGCCGAGAGCTCCAGCCGAATGTGTCATCTTCAAAAAGAAGACTAAATTGAAATCGGTATTTAAGACAAGTCCATGTGAGAAAGTCTTTCATGCACGAAACTACCATGTAACTCCCTAAGTCACCTTGGATCAGTCGTGATTCCTTCAACCACCCTGCCCGGCACCCTCTGGTGCTTGATTGCTGCTTACTTACCACCTCCATACTGAGCATACTTCGATTCCAGGCACCAGCCGCACTGCCACTTTTGCTACCAAACATTTAGTAAAATCGAACGTCTATGCGAATATATAAAATGTCAGGCATCCTGACAAGTTCTAGTCATGGCGTCAACTACCCATTCTCAAGAACCCAAGAACGGACCGGGGCAACCTGAAGCAAAGATGGATCACCTCGAAGCGGCAAAGCTCAAAGAAGAACAAAGTCACTCGACAGACCCGCCAGTCCAGACATTTCCTTTCGGAAAGCTCCCTTACGACCTTCAGTTCGAAGTGCTCCGCTTCTGCGACTATCCTACCGCAACTCTACTAGCATGCACCAACTGGCATTTCTACAAGGCACTTGGTCCAAAGATAGAATATGCGGTTCCCGCATCCGAACGACTGCAAGCAATCCAAAAAGTCGACCAAGACAATCGAACTGAATTTTGGGCTTGCTACAAATGCCTGAAAGTTTTCCCGAGGTCCTACTTCGGGGATAGCCACACAAATACGAAGAAATCCAGACAGAAGCGGGCATACACGCAAACGTTCCGAAAATTGCGCCACTGTTGGACTTGCGCCATCGAGAACAACTACTATGCGGACCTGCAACCCGTCAAAAAGGATGGAGTCTCGTACTTCCCTTGTCATGGTTGTGGATTTCTTGGTACAGAGTTCAATAGGTGTCGGGGTGATCGCGTATCAGGCATTGTCGTCAATAGACAATGCCACAAGGACAAGGACTTCTCACCTTTGGAACGTCTTTCTGAGGGAATTCTCAGACGACTCATTGGCCACTTGGATTGTCTCGATACCATCCACCTACGCATGGCTAGTTGCTCGATGATGCATCAAGTCAAGCTTGGTTGGGTAGCTATCCACAAACGCTTTGCCTTTGTCGCCACGAAAGAAGCGCCTCTGATTGAGTTGGTTTACAGAGAGATGCTCAAAAACCTAGATGAAAGTCCCAGCCAAGAGTTGGCAGAGACGCTTGAGAAGGAATACCCGTACCCTTGCTACAGCTGTTTCAAGGTCAAGCCTACTTCCAAATTCCTTGGCAGGACACTACAGTTCACAGAGGAGGAGCCGAATCGTTTCTGGCAGCGCCGGTGTCGCCATTGTTGCACGCTTGCGGCTGGCGAGCCCGAGATAGTGAATGAGTGGCAGAGGCGTCACCTGTGCTCCGACTGCGGGTTGGTGAGAGTCGAGGGGGAAGCTTGCCTCGGCTGTCTGGAGACCTCGGATGCTCGCTAAAGCGTAAATGTAACCACGATGACTAGTCGAAGTTCGACCGTCAACTACTAAGTAATCATAATACCAGGAACTGAAATAAGTCGACCGACACGATCGACAGAGATAATGAAACTGACGAGTAATCCACGTGACTCGATATCTACTTTATTTAACTAGCTTCCGAGAAAACACGTCCCGTCTGGCCCAGACGTGAAATGTGGCAAAGATCAACGCCAGCTCAACTCCGACTTTATACCATTCCCCCTATTATCGTACTGCTTATGACTGAGGCAGGTTTGGCGAGTGCATAGGACTGCCGTAACTATCATGCCGATGTCCATGTCCGTGTTGGTGACTAGGAGCCGGCGAGTCCCGTCCCTGCTGATGATGTTGCTGGTCATATGGCGAAGGCGACCCCATTTCGCTCCTCGCCACAGCTGCTGACGCATCCAGTTCCGAGTATCGATGAATGTTGCTTTGGTGATACTCTGAGCCTGGCGACATGGTTGGTGGCGGTGATGTACTGTACGGAGGCTTGTACCCTGTTGGTGGTGAAGTTGCTGCATATGAACTCGTCGCGCCGGTGTATTGCGGTTCCATCGGTTGACTTGGGGCTTCCGCTTTCTCGGCCAATTCTTGCTTTAGCTTTTTGTTTTGATTCCAGAGCCAAAAAGTTGACACCAAGCCGGCCAAGAGGCAAACACCGGTGACGACAGCAAGCCCAATGGTGGCGCCTTTGAATGCGGATCCATTATCTGTAGTTCCATCGGTGTTCGTCGTGTTCGCTGTACATACAGCCTCCTGAGTTGCGATGGTGAACGCTTCACTGGTACCACAGCACGTGGTGTTTGATTGACCACAGCAGTACTTGGCTGTGCCATCGTTACATGCGGTCATGAAGCTGATGTTACTCGGGTTTCCGCCGGTCTGAGACACAAGATCAGCCGTTACTCTATGTTTCTTATGGCAGTAGATAACGCCGATAGTTCATAACGTACCTGAATATCAGTGCAGACATGGTTGCAAGCCTTGCTCTTCCACGTCTTGTCGGTGCAGAAACCGCGTTGAGGCTGCTGTTGACGGTTGATACAGAGACCAGAAGAGGAGCAGATATCTCGTTGATCCGGAGGGCCGTCGAGAGCACAACAGCTTGAGAAGACTCCAGCCTGGTTGATACCGAGTTTGTTGCACGGAACGTACGTTTCGTTATCCGCGAGGGTGCCGTCCGGTGCGTAACACGACGCTTCTTGTGACAATACACCGAAAGAGTAAAGCGAGAGGCTCAAGACCACTCCTAGCATTGAGGCCAACATTGCGAAAACGTTAGTGGGCGGAATCCGAGTCGCTCAATATCGAGTCGCAAGCGGCATTGGTCGGGTGTTGTGAAATGAGAAGAAAGTCGGAAGAAGCAGAACCGAAACCCCCAGGGGAAGGGAAAAGAAAAGGCTCCCGCAGATTGAGGGGGACTTCTCAGCTCTATGAAGACAGGCCCTACCCGCGTGTAACATAATAGATGCATTTGCTGTGCAACCTTTTCCTCCTCATCTCAAGCCTCCCCGGCGTCTGACTGGCAGAATCCAGGACAAAGGGAGGGGGGCTCAGTCTCACGCGCATACGATATGCCTGCACTGTGATGTTTAACACCAACATGCAGCCAACGCAGCCCCCAAGCTATCTGAAATAGGAAGGCCAACCGAGAATGTTCAGCAATTGAACCCCGTCCAATCTGCGCCAGTCAGACGAACTGTTGGAAGCAGAATGCAGGATCCCGGTCGAATTGGATGCCTGGCCCACTCACCGTGCAGAGCTGACCGGCCAGAGACCACACCAACAGACGGACGAAGTGCAGAACTTTTACGATGAAGCGGTCGGCTGTGGCCGAGGAGGGGGTACGCAGCTTACTATGTGGTGCGGGAGAGGGCGGGATGACACGCTCTACTTGCATTTTCGGGTCGACCCATCTCCGGGCAACCGAACGATGCTGTGTCGGGAAATCGCCCGCTCAAGTTTTTGGTATTTGAAGTGACTTCATTGAGTGAATTCAACGATCGAAGTTGTCGATTGTTGGCCATGGCTTTGTTCGGCGCGGATGTGCAGTCGCAGATTAAAGCGAACAAAAGGATCCCAATCCCAGCGTCGAATCATGAGGCAATGCGACCGAGATTGCTCTAGTGCTGATTGTTGAAGGGATCAGGCTCGCCCCAAAGCCACAGGGCTTGGCAGGCCACACGAGTTGCTCTACCACGCATGTCAAAGTTTGCCCAGATTGTACAGCTTGTCTGTCAGCTTACACATCTGACAGGAGATCAACCCTCCTGCAGGACGTTAGCCCTCCTACATCTCCCACCTGGAGCCAAATAAAACCCACCTATCAGAGCTTGGGAGATCTAATACGAATAAGTCACAAAAAGCTGGACAGAGAAAGTTGAAAATGTTGATCTGGGCATCTAAGTAAGTAGTTGTCTTAACTTTTGGCCAAGGCAATGTCGGCTTTGATCGATGCTCACTGAAGTATTTACAGACCTGGGACTATTTACCAGTCCTCACCAAGCGCTCAGATTATTCATTACTTTGGACCGAGATCCAGTAACTGATTAGGAGAACTGGCAACAGTATGGTAACGTGAGGCCTTTGTTTTTGAAAAGGCTGGTCTCTGGCCTGCTTATACGAGCGGAGATGTGTTGCAAACAGTTCAAGACTTTTCAATTCTGTCATACCTCTTGCTCTCAAGTCCGGAAGAAGCTGACTAGATAATTTCGAATTTAGTATTGACACAAAAAAAAAGGAGACTAGAAGCAGATGTACACATACTCTGGTATGCTTGCCAGGCCCAGGTGGCCCTAGATCTGCAACAAAGACTCTGACCATTTAAGAATGATAGGAACACTTAAACGTAGAAGCAAAGCCTGAATTGCCATATCTAAAAACCTATTGAAGTACGCGTACCAGCACCTCTTGTCCGCGGACGCCTCACATGAGACTTTCAGAAGCGAGTTCCCGGGCCAAACTCGTATTGTCAGGCCAGCTTGGTGTTGCTCATCATCATGGTAAACAGGAGTCGGTTTAAAATTTGGGGAATTCCCAGGGTGCCTTTTAGATGGAAATAGGGTCCCAAAATGGGCCCAACTAAGACGGGCCTTTCTGTATCTCTACTGCCCGGCTCAGCGCTTCAGAGTCAAGAGTAGTAATTCATCGTAGCAATTGATACGTCTCTACGTTCTGCTTGCAACTCTGCTACATGCGTTCGGCTTAAGCTTGTAATCTATCTTGATTCATGTCAGCACCAACATATTAGTATAACATTTGCAAATTTCTGACGAGAACATTAGCTTCAAGCTCAACGAATACTAGAAAGTAACAGAGAGATCGATTAGTTCCATTTACACAAGTGAACAAATAGAATTTTCAAGGAAACCGACCATGAATAACGATACTAGACATTAGGTTCTCTGCATTAGGTACCAATTAAGGTAACCGACGTGTTGCCTGCGCTGGTCCACAGGACGAGAGTTAAATGATGGAGCACCGGGTGTATGCATCCGCTCGGCCCCTCCCCCGCATTTTGAGCTTGAATACCGTCCTAGCCCCGGCATAGCCGTGAACCGATCGGCTATGTGATGAGGACACTCTTCATAAGTACATGTAGGCGGCCTCGTATCTACATGTCTGTATAGCTGGAAGTTGAGGCGAGTTCATGGTAATAACATCTTACCCGACTACAAACAGATTCGACGTAAATCGCATGTTTCTTCTTAACACGTACAAGAACATAAAATGGCACAAAATCACAACGTAAGTACCTATGCGAGTAGGTCCCGTTTATTCATGCCACACAAGATTAACATTGTATAGGAACACTGCTTTCCAGGCGCGGAAAATGCGACAGAGAGATTTTGCGACTTCATAGTCCAGACTCAGTTCGAGGATATCCCAGACCAGGCCCTCGCAAAACTCTTCGATCTCGTCATTGATCATATCGGAGTTGGGGCCGGCGGAGGTGCCCATTCGGAGTCGAGTGAGCACATCATCAAGGGCGTCGAGGCTTTCGCCATGGGCTCCATTGGAAAGAGTAAAGTCTACGGCAAAGAGAAAACTTATCCTACCCAAATCGCAGCTTTGCTGAACGGGGCGTTTGCGCATTCTTTCGACTACGATGATACGCTCGCTATTGGTATCATTCACACTGGCGCGAGTGTGATCCCCGCTGCCTTAGCGCAGGCCGAGGTGTCAAATGCTCCTGGAACCTTACTGCTCACGGCGTTATCCGTTGGGTACGAGGTCGCTTCTCGTCTCGGTCGTGCCTTGTCAAATGGTGGATACCCTCGGGGCTTCCACAACACCAGCACGGCCGGTATCTTCGGAGCGGTTGCCGCCATTAGCAAGATCAAGGGCCTGACGTCTGCACAAGTCTACAATGCGTTCGGCCTAGCGGGCTCAAAGACCGCTGGTTCGATGCAGTTTCTCGACAATGGATCTTGGAACAAGCAATTACATCCTGGCTTCGCTGCCCATGATGCCTTCCTCTGTGTTGCTCTCGCGGAGGCTGGCGTGACTGGGGCCTCTCACATCGTTGAGGGCAAATGGGGCTTCTTGCAAGCTCATTCTGCAAACGTCAACGCTGTTGGGTTGACCGAAAGCCTTGGGACGGAATGGATTTACCCAGCGACAGCACTGAAGCCGTTTCCCGCATGTCGGTTTACTCATACCGCCATTGAAATCACAGCAAGACTTGCCGCAAAGTCCGACTCACAGAAACTGCCGGACAGAATAGTCGTAGGGTTGACTCGAGCTGGATATGGCATCGTTGGCGAGCCCAGCCCTAACAAGAAGCACCCCAAAACCATCGTCGATGCTCAGTTCAGCATTTACTACCAAGTCGCTGTTGCGTGGCTGTTCGGTAGCGACATCGGCTGGGGTGCATACGATACCGACAAGATGGAGAGCAAGCAAGTTGCACAGCTGTGCGATAGGATTAAGGTCGAAATCAACGACAAACTTGAGAAGGAATTCGAGGTGCAAATGACATTTTCAGGCATAGGTGGCGTAGGCGATATCGAAGAAGCGATGGTTTATCCCCTGGGAGAGGATGAGCATCCCTTTTCGCACGAGCGAGTTGAGAAGAAGTTCAGAGGCTTGACCGCGTCTATCTATGATAGCGATCGTGCGGGTAGGATACTCCAAGTTGTGCAGGGGCTTCCAGAGAGGCAGACAAAGGATTTGATCGAGTTATTGTGAGTGATTCGTTGTGACGCGGGATCACTGTCGACCGGAATTGGCTGTCTTTTTCTCCCCGGATGATTGGACACGAAAGCAGACGATGGCGGAATAGATTGAACACTTCTCAGACAACCCATGAGGTGCTGCTTCCTATTTCAGCGACTTGGTGTGCTGGAATTGGGAACCGCCTCCAACTCAGTTCAGGCGCGAGCACGGAAGCCCTCTTCCGGGCTGAAGGGGGAATCTCTCCGAAATCATGGAAGTGATCGAGACCAACACCCAGCCGACCGAGGAGTGGCTTTCCTGGGATGTCCGGGCCAAGTTGCTATTTGCGGTTCTCTCTGGTGGTCTAGAACCGGAAATAAACTCACGCAGGCGGCATGCCCGCTGGAGAGGGTCGCGCTTCGGTCTGCTCAATATTGCCAAGGGTCCATAGGCACAGGCGGAAGGGCTGAACGAACCTGACTGTGAATGGGCGCAAGAGCCTTGCAGGAGGTGAAAACGCTGATGCAATATGTAACTGTTTGCTGTTGAAGTGAGGAAATGGTCGTAAATACTGAGATTAAGCCCGAGTCCGACTGGCAGCCTGACGGTGTGCATTAGTGTATCTCATCTGGTCTTCATCTGGCCCCTTCACGCTGGGTTATGGTGCAGAGCACCAACATTTGAGTCAATCACAGCTTCGGATCTTTGTGAGTGGAAGTTGTAAATCTCATCATCAGGCCTGCATGAATGTTCTTGCACTACTGCAACCTCACATATTAAGGTAGGATACTTCGACGAACTCTGGGAGGGTGAGTTGAAAGGAGGAGGTCAAACACTCGCTGAACTGCCCTCCGGAGATCGGTCGGGGCATTGTGTCGAAAGACTCCACTCCGGTGAACTTGAAGCCTCAAAGTTTAAGCAGTAAGGCAACATCACTAGGGTATTGTTCCCGAGTCAGACGACTCGTACGCCTTATGTCTTGGATAGACTGGTCTGTGAACTTCATTTATTTATCAGACTTTGGAGGTCGTGTTCGTGATACTCGTGGCCATGCCAAGCTGTAATCCGGAGGATCGATGAGACATAACCATGGGTAAGCCCCTTGTCCAGGCCCGAGCGTACATATCTGATGGTATGGGAGCACTTTTCAGAGCTCTTCTCCCTCGAAGGGCCTTGGTGGGAAATCCACAGCCATACATGCGAAGCTCGCCACGATGAATTGATTCATCTTTCGTGCCGCCAGTTCCATCGGCTGTCACCCTGCGGGAGAGCCCGATCCGTCCGTGCTCTGACTTTTCGGCCGGGCGGGAGTGCGGGGGATGATACTGTTCGCTGCTACTTCATCTCGCTTCCGGGTCTGACACTCAGGGGCACCCCTTCTTCTCCAATTGCTCGACAGCGGGTGAGGCCACGAGTGATGTCGCATTGCAACCCTTGAAGGGATCGACTCCCTTGGAACCATAAAACTGTCGTGGTAACGTTTGGTCTACCGGCTGAACTCCTTTTTTCGGGTGATGTGCGGAGGGCAAGGGGCGGGAAGGCCACTTGACCGGTTCTTTTATAGCCATGCATCGCCTTCCAGACGGAACCAAGGTCCCTGTTCGGGGATCTCTTCGATCTTTGGGACCATTTTATACCACCTTGCCCCTTGGCAGCTGGGGCGGCATCGAAGAGTTCTGCATGCGATGGTTCTCGACACCACGTCGTGATTGAGCACATCTCGTGGTTATGGACGATACCCCTTGGGACGAACTCCCACACGACGACTATGGCCCGGGGTTGCTCGCCACAGTATGGACTCTTATTGGTATTGCTGGTGCATTTATAGGCCTACGGATATACTGCAAGTTCTCGCGTGGAAGAGGACTGTGGTTAGACGACCATGTGCTGGTTGCATCGTGGGTAAGACACCTCAATTGCGACTGATGACGAATTTGTCAGTACCTAACAATGCCTCAATCAGTGCGCTCTGCTAGCTCTGGGATCGTTCATCTCTATCGACGTGTCGTACGACTTTGGCAAGCATAACTGGGATATCACGCCGGGAAATTGGTCATGGCTATTACTCTATGCCAACCTTTCTGGGTCGTTTTCAATCATCGCAGCAGCTTGGAGCAAGACGTCTTTCGCGCTGACTCTGCTTCGAATTACACGAGAATCATCCGAACGATGGATGAAGTTGCTCGTATGGTTCATCATCATCTCAATCAACACATTCCTCGGCGTCAACGTACTCTTCACCTGGATACAATGTTGGCCGGTTGAGAAGACTTGGAGGACAGCCTCAACACCTGGCACCTGCTGGCCGAAGAGCATCATGATGAACTATAACGTCTTCACGGCATCGTACTCTGGAGGGATGGATATCGTACTGGCCATCTTGCCATGGAAGATTATATGGGGACTTACTATGACCAAAAAAGAGAAATTCGGTGTTCTAATTGCTATGAGCATGGGCGTATTGTGAGTTGTGCTTCAACAATCCGCTTGGGAAGTTGGAGTCCACGTGACTGACGAATACTTCCGCCAGCGCCGGTGCTGTATCTTTCATCAAGATCCGAACAATTGCTGCGATAGGAGCTTTCGACATTATCGATACTGTTGAGTTGGTGATCTGGGGGGCAGCAGAAAGTGTTGTCACTATTATCGCTGCAACCATACCAATACTGCGGGCATTGGTACGGGACCACAAAGCGCCAACGGCTCGATTCGCTAGTGACGAAGAGTCCATGATGCGCCGTCTGGGAGCAGCCTCGATTGCGACAGCTACCGTAGCAAGCCCAGGTTTGAGGAGGTCAAGATCTGATCTGGAGTTAGCAGAGTGGAAGGACCCATTGACGGAGACTCGAACGGGTCAGTATAACCAGATCCCGAGGCCGTGGAAAGTAGGTGACGTGAAGTTTGAGCCAAAAAGAGGAGACGTAATGATACCACCTGGTGCTTTCAAACGAGGACATGATGAGACGGGGTATAGTGGTTCTATGGAGCTATCCAGAAGATTAAAGTAGTTCCAAGCATTTTATGTACAAAAGTTCTCGTTATCCTCTTTGCACAGCAATTATCCAAAGTTTCTTCCAATGACTACTCTAACAATGTTGCAATTGCCAATCCTTCTCCAGGAGGCTTGAAATAGTAGCTTGAGTAGACAGCGTTTCAGTGGAAGGTTCCTCGGTCCCAATTCGTCAGAAGAACACATTCAATCCCATGTCTAGTACCCGAGAGTGATCGTCATGGTGGATCAGCATAAAAATAATTGCTTCCAAAGTTCCCATAGGGTGTCATGGCCGCCAGGCAGCAGAATTACAGATGAGCGCTAAAATCCTCCTGCACGTTATTAGGGGACTTGGGTAAGCTGGACATTGGGAATCCAAAAATGTCACTTAAACGTGCGATATGCCCTCTCGCAGCAACGCGACACAGCAAGGCAAGCTTTCTCTCTATAATACTGGGTGCGACTTCAAGGTCAAGGTAGCATTGGTACGTCCAAAAGGCATTCTTTGTTCCAGACGCACAGTGCTGCTACCCCTCAACGACGCCACCATCTCAACATCTGACACGCAGACTCGCCGAAGATGAAGTTACCACTCTGCACGACAGCCATTCTCTTCTCAAGTAGTTCATATGCCGCAACCATGAGGCGAGCACTCCCAGATTTCACCACTTCGGAAGCCGGCAACCCTTTTGTAGACGGGTGGTACGCCGATCCCGACACATGCGTCTACAAGGGCCAGTATTGGGTATTCCCGACCTCATCCTACGCCTATGACGAGCAGACCTATCTAGATGCCTTCTCTTCGACCGACTTAGTGCACTGGACCAAACATGCGAACATCCTCACCAAAGCCCAGGTATCTTGGGCAAACAGAGCCATGTGGGCGCCCGCCCATATTGAACGCGACGGAAAGTACTATCTGTACTTTGCAGCCAATGATATCCAAGAGGGAGAAACGCAGGTTGGCGGTATTGGTGTTGCCGTAGCAGACCAGCCCGAGGGCCCTTACAAAGATGCGATCGGGAAGCCGCTCATTGGCGAGTACCATAATAGGGCACAGCCCATCGATCAAGATGTCTTCATCGATGATGATGGTCAGGCGTATATCTACTATGGTGGCCACGCGCATGCCAATGTTGCCAAGCTGAACAGCGATATGACCAGCATCGGCAGCTTTTCAGATGGCACGCAATTCAAAGAAATCACACCGGAGAACTATGTGGAGGGTTCTCTGATGTTCAAGCGCAATGGAAAGTACTATCTTATGTGGTCTGAAGGAGGCTGGACAGGCCCAGATTATTCAGTCTCATACGCCATTTCGGATTCACCCATCGGCCCTTTCAACCGAGAAGCCAAGATACTACAGCAGGATACCGCTGTAGCAACTGGTTCTGGCCATAACGGGGTCATCAACGTCCCCGGAACCGACATCTGGTACATCTTCTATCACCGCCGGCCATTGGGCGACAGTGATGGCAACCATCGTCAACTTGCCTATGATAGGATGTACTTCAATGAGGATGGGACAATCAAGCCAGTTACGATGCTGGTCAAGGACAACTTTGAGGACGGGAACCTGATTGGCTGGAAGACTTCTTTTGAAGGGTCCTTCTCAGTCAAGGATGGGAAGCTTAAGGCGGAAAAGGCCATAAGTGGAAAGGCCCTTCAGAACACAGGATTCGAGGATTTGGTATTTGATATCGACATCGCCCTCGTTGATCCAGATGTTGGATCAAATGCTCAAGATTCCGGTGATGCGGGAGTTGTTTTCGGCGTAACGAGCGCTTCAGCAGGAATCGACAGCTTGACTGGGTTCTACGCTGCAATTGACGCATCAGGCGAGGTCGTTCTAGGTCAAATGGACCAGAGTTGGACTCAACTAGCATCTGTCCAGACACCGATCCAGGCGGAAACAAACTACCACCTAAGGGTGACCGTAATCAACAAGGAAGTCAAAGTCTTTGTTGATAATATGAGCGTCCCTAAGCTGACGCACACCGTCTCGAAGAGTACTAAGGGAACCACTGGAGTGCGAGTGTTCCGGACCGGAGCTCTCTATGATAATCTTTCTGTTGCACATCCACAGTAATTAAATGGGACAGTAATCGAGTACGTGCCGATGAACCGTCAAAAGAACGCACCCGCATGTGTACTCAGATGTTGAAGCTAAGCTGGGCCATTAACGGATTATTAGTATTCTGTGGATAATTCAAATCGAACGATCAAACTGGAACCACTTACTTAAAATATCTACTTTAGTTCCTGGCGTGACATTCCTCTTCGTGTGTACAGGTGACGCTCATGACATATTGCCATATCAGACCGCCTACCGGGATTTCAATCAATACTGTACCAAGTGGCAGCGTGGTTAGCTGGAAGCCATACCGATAAGCTCCATGTCGATCAACTATCATTGATTACTATGATAGTCCGACTGATCGAGAAGCGGGGTTTAGCAAAACAAGCTTCCCCGCTCAGAACTCCGTGTGTCCGAGGCATGCCGAGGCACGGGAGATCAAGTCGAGATTCGAGAGACGGAGCACGGAGCGCCCGAATCCGCTCCACCTGGCACGCTGTCAAGGGCTACAATTCGCACCGGAATCCACGGAGTGGAAACCTAAAACACTGCGACAGAAGGGAGAATTGGTAAGCCGTGTCTCCGCCCCAATGGAAATGCGTAGTTGTGTCTTACGTCAGTGAGGGGATGATGAGCGGAGGTATTTATCCCTTTCGGGTCCCGGCGGTCTAGGCTTGAGTCACAAAGATCAATTCAATTCAAAATATCTATCAACAGACTTAGCTCGATTGCCTCATCCGCCAACAACTCAAACGCATCTTCTTCCAGACAGCTAAGCAAAAAATAAGAAACTCGACAAAATGCCTGCCACCGTCTCTGTCCTTTACCCCAACGAGGCTGATGCCAAGTACAACATCGATTACTACGTCGAGAGCCACATGCCCATGGCCGCTGCCACATGGAAGTCCGCCGGCGTCAAGTCCTGGAAGGTCACCAAGTACTCGGCGTCCCCCGACGGAAAGCAGCCCAAGTACGCTTTCGCCGGCATTCTCACCTTCGACAGCGTTGAGAGCATTCATAAGGCGCTCGCCTCACCCGACACGGCCAAGGTCATGCAGGACGTCCCCAACTACAGCAACAAGGAGCCCGTCTTCTTGATCGGCGAGGACGCGAAGGAGGCTACTCTTTAAGTGGCTATTTGTGGCATGACATCTTTGGCCGGAAGGAGCGACTTCATCCAACAGCCATGGACGGAGGAATGAAGTGAACACTACCTCAGTTCGGACTGGAGCTCTATTGAAATAGTAGCAGTAATGAGAAGAATCTTATGACATACGAAACCGGGATTCGCAAAAGACAAAAGGAGAGAGTCATTGATTTATCTAAAATCAAGTGAACAGAGTCAAAATTCATTTATTATGAACATAAAAGTGCTAAGGCCTTGACGGAGATGACGTTTTTTTAGCTTACACTGAGTTCAGGTCTGAAGTAGGAAACAATGTCGTGCTGTTGCGAGTGAGTTGCTTGAAGACCAATGCCTCAACCTAAGTACCACGGACCAAGTGCAACTGCGAGTTGCGAGCATGGGCTTGATTACAAACCGGCACCCCCGTCAACACTCCAAGCGGCTCCATTTACAAAGGTGCTCTTGTCGCTGAGCATGAAGACGGTCACATCGGCTACTTCTTGGGCCTTCCCTACGAGTGTTGGGGCAGGAAAGTCCTTAGGAACTCTGGCCAAATTGGCTTGGTGCATCGGCGTGTCAATAGCACCACTGCCATTTCATCAGCATCGTTCAACCAAAGGGAAGAGTGCGAATAACTCACGGTAACACACAATTGACTCTGGCCCTGTCGCCGACTTCTTTAGCGGCACTGCGAACCATCCCCAGGGACGCATGCTTAGAAGCGGCAAATACCGCACCTTTCAGGAAGCCTTGGAGTGAGAACATGCTTCCAATGTGAACAAAACTCCCGCCGTGAGATAGGAAATCGGGCACCAGGGCTTCAGCGAGTACATGAAACGCCCCCTTGATATTGAGATTGGCGATGAAGTCGAATTCGGCATCGCTGGTTTCCCAGATCGACTGGGTGCCCAATTCATGGCCACCGCAACCGGCAAAGTTGGCGACACCATCGACCTTGCCGAAATGCGACTTTGTGTCTCTTAGGAAGTTGCGGATCGATAAGCGGTCTGTGACATCTGAGGCTCTAAAGAAGACTCTCTCTTGTTGCTCTGAGTCAAGTCCCTTGACCGCATTTTCAAGAGCAGCGCTGTTGACATCAGACATCCCAACCTTGGCACCTTCATCAAGTAGAGTCTTTGCGGTAGCTAAGCCCATTCCAGATGCAGAGCCAATCACAATGATGGTTTTTTCGCTGAATGTGAGAGACATGTCGGTAATGTAAAGTATCGGGTTTAAGATATGGCTTCAATGGGCTTAGGGATGTGGAAAGTAAAGAGTAGCAAACGAACACAACAGTCATTAAGTACGTGAGTATGAGATGAAATAACCACTATAGATAGACGAGACCTTTTATAAATAATTGAGACTTCTCCTGTGTCACGTCATTGCTATGATACTTCTCACTAGATCTCACGATCTCTACTGCCAAACTTGAGGACATGGACAGCTCCACCGTCAGCCACCTTTTGCCGCCAATGCACGCTAATGCAGCCCGCTGACAACCGAAACTTGCGTACCAGGATATTGGTTCAACATGTCCCATAAACACAATGGTGTTACTGGGTTAAGATAGACAAACGTTACTCTAATTTCTTTTGCAAAACGTGGCTCCTGTCTTGCACGTTTCGCAATTACTCGAAGTGATGATAGTACAATCCAGTTGATTGAATCATTAAGTAATGCCACGGCGATGAATGAGGCCCTTTCTCTAGCTGCTCAGGACCCCTAAACAAATGGGTACTTACCAATAGCTGTATGCAAGCATATATATTTACTTGAGTGAACCAATGTTCTCATAACCATGTCTCGAAGAAGCGAACAGCTTGTAGGAAAGCATCCTCTTTCGCAGCCTTTTGCACAGGATTGTTGAGATCAGGATGCGTAGCAAAGCCGTGAGGTGTTCCGCCATAAAGTGCCATCGTGAAAGGTTGACCAGTAGTTCCCATGGCCGTTTCGATCTCCACCCTTCTCTTGGTCAACATACCAGTATCCCCCTCTGTGCGGCGCGGAAGTTAGTCTTGTAAGACACACCGAATTCAAGAGGGAGGGAAATGTTCAATTCCCGCAATTGGGCTTACCGGCCACGGCCAAACTTGCAGGTCCTTTGATAGCCTTGATTTCGTCGTCACTGAGTGCGCTTGGATGTGCAGCAAACCCAACCTGCACTCCCTTGTTGTCGGGCAGCCCGAGTGCTCGGAAAACATATCGCCCACCGAAACAATATCCGGTTGAGGCAATATGACGGACGCCCATTTGCTCTCGCATGTAGGTGATGGCTTTCTCGACTTTGGGGTCTGTCACGCTAGGTCCATGTGACTTGAAAAACTCGCTCGCGTTGAACCCTGACATGGAGCCTTCGGTTCTTGGCTTGCCGTCCATCAAGTCTGGGGCAACGGTGATGTAGCCAGCGCGGGCAAAGCTGTCGGCGAGACTTCGAGGGGGTCAGTTATCACTCGAAGTATGAAGCTAGGCTGATGCAGAATTATACATCCTCAGTCTACTCACAGCATGTTCTCCGTCGACTGGATTCCAAAAACGTCAGGCAGCATGAGAACTCCAAATTGTCGCATTGGATCTGGACCCTTTTCGCTCTTGTTCCGCGGCATTGAGACGTAAAGATCAACTGTTTTTGTCAATTACGACACTTCAGCACAAAATTCAGGGATAGAATAGTCACTTACGGCCATTGAAAGGCACAACTTTCCCAACCGGGGTGCCGGCAAATGCCAAGATGGACAAGTCAGCGACGTACGAGCTCCTACTTTCCGCCAGGGACATCAACCCCAGGAATGCAGAGACAGCGCAGGGGCATCGCATCGTGGCAAGTTCTTGAACCAAATTACTGCTCTAAAAGAGGCAAACATGCTGAAATATGTCACGGGGAAGGTTGAGCATTTTAAAGTGTCAAAATATGCGTACCATGGGATGTAGACTCTCTCCCGAGGCACCGTACCTGCATCGAGACTGCCTCATAGAGGAAGCTTAACTCCAAATTGGCTCGGGACCCGAAGAACATCATGCCGAGAGTGTTGAACTTGGAGGGTGTGGCAAGCTGCCGATACGCAGCAAACTTCCGCCAATTCCGTAGCTAGCGCTATCTACGGGGTGCTCGCTCCAGCCAAATTTGTTGTTTTATCTGATCAAAAGACAAGACGACCGGAGCTAAAGTAAGGTGAGCCAATCATCTTCTCAGCTGTCCATCTCGTACATGGCCGGTGCTGTGCTCTCTGGAGCGTTTCGGGGTCGTCTCAGTCAAAGCTTGATGAGATGAAACGAACATTTCCTCTATCGGCAACGGAGAGAAACCATCGAAAGAGTCATTTCGTCCTTCTCTTTTTGAAATAAGCAATAGATTAGATTGCGTGATAATAAGAGACCATTTTATGCTATTATCTTTATTGCTTTCGATCTCAAAGAAATGCAAACTTCCGTCGCATGCCCCCTTCAACCACATCGATGTTGATGTTCATGTCAATCCGTTAGGGAAGGCCTACCTCGACAATTCAAGTGTGAGATGAGCTTGAGGTTGCGGACTCTTGACCCATACCCTAGTGCACTGCTCCTGATGCTTGACTACAAGTCTCTTCTTAACAAAATGTCCCATGAAAGGACAATAAAAATGACCTGGCATAAGCACCCGCGGCGCCATGGGGTAGGAATACGTGTAGGCTCAAGCGGTTGACCATCCCCGCCCCCACATCCGCTGGATTCTGACAAAGGTTGTCCGCCAACAATGGCTCAATGTGGGGTATTTACGAGTCTCGAACTCGAGCAGCGACTAATTTTGAATCACATTGCATAGATATGACTTGGATCTACGTCTCCTGCCCGATCGATACACGTAGATCACAGCAGCATCACGAGCAATATTATTTTCAACATGTCATCTTCCAATCCTGAGGAAGGCGTCGCTCTTAGACGTGGAACCGCACAATACGAAGAGTCACGGAATTTCTACTTTAATAGAGAAGAGACTGACAGATATCCGACTGAGATACATGTGGCAAAGACCTCTCAGGACGTTGTCGAAGCACTTCGCAGGGCCAGAGAGCTAAAGGTCTCAGTGGGCATTCGATCCGGAGGACACCTCCCTTCCAAACCCTCCTTAGTCGATAACGGAATCCTTATCGACGTCAGCAACATTAATCACCACGTCAAATATGATGAAGTGACTGAGGAGGTCGAGGTGGGCCCCGGCATCCGCGTTTATGAAGCCTGGAAGGCCACAGACGCAGTGGGCAGATTCTTTCCTTTTGGGCATGCGCCTGACGTAGCACTAGGAGGTTTCTGTCTAGCAGGCGGCCAAGGTCTCTTCATGAGAGCATGGGGAGCTACTGTTACAGAATGGATTGTTCGACTGGAGATTGTTGTTCCGGATGGTAGAGTGTTGATAGCAAGCCGGACGGAAAACACAGACCTCTTCTGGGCTGCTCGAGGCGGCGGGCAAGCATTCTTCGGAGTCGTGACCCGGATCTGGAGCCGAACTATACCAAAGAAACGACTATTCTGGCGATCTGCAACATTCACTGTTGGCGATAAGTTCGAAAACTTACTGACATTTGCTTTCGAACGAAATGCCGCTATGCCACGAAAGGTCACCGAGTCGGCCATCTGCGTACTACACCCGGAGTTGTTCAACAGTGAAGCGGGGGAAGTTGTTCCCGAATCATCGCCTTTGGTGATGGCTATCAATGTTTGCGCTTACGCCGATACTTTGGCCGAGGCTGCTGCAATGTTAGAAGTCTGGGACGGAGTCCCTGAGAACATCAAAGGCTGCCTTACCGAGGAAAAGGCCACGGCAGAAGCGAGCTGGGAGGAGTTTTTTGAGCTCCAGCGACAGATCAATCCAGAATCACCGGACCAGAAATGGGGAATCAACAGTATCCTCAATGATCCCTCGGTGTCCCTTCCAAAGGTACGGAAAACCACACTAAGTTTCAAATGGCAGATGCGATCTGATGCTATTTCACCGCTAATTTGCACTTTAGTTAATTGAGGCCATCAAGCCCGCTATGTGCGAGTTGCCAACGAAGTCATCTTTTGGCTGCATATACATCTGCGACACTATCAAACCAGACGAGAGAGATGCTGTCTTCAGTATTCCTCAGCAGTACTATATATCAACTTTCAGTGGCTGGAAGGACCCTACCCTTGTGCCCCGAGTCCGAGAGACCATGCGAGCCTCGTACAAAAAGGCAGAAGCAGTTGCCTGTGGGATCTACAGTGCCGATTTTGACCAATCCAAGAACTCCTTGCATTCACCTAAGGTATGTGTTCTCTCCTGACTGAACCTAGCCGACAACACTGTTGACATCAAGGTGATTACAGATCAAAGTATGGACGGATTCAGCTCGTGCTCGCTTCATGGAGATCCGAAAGCGGTGGGATCCTGATAGTCTGTTTACGGGATACAAGGCTTTCGATATTGACGCACAGGCGAAACCAGCTCTCTGAATATTCAGCTTTACATGTATCAGAATACAATGCTGCAGTATGAAAATAAATGAGACTAGGTGCTTATGTTCAAGAGGATTGAGAGTTTGTCATATCGCTCTCTGATGAAGGAATATCTTCCCTGTGAGCCACATGCTATCATAGGTCCAAGTACCTACCTAGGATACGGCTGGGATTCATCTACCGACATGGGCGCCTTTTACCACTTGGTAAAGTGGGAACGGCGGTGAGCAAACAGAACGTTGAGAGGTAAGGGCTTGTAACATGAAACTATTGAGCAAACAAAGAGTGTGGCGGTAAATTCAATGTTCCACAAACGTCCAGCTCAAGAAGATTGGAGCAACAAGCAATTAAGTAAGTGGATGATAATCCATGAGAATTCTTGCTTCGCCATGCAACAACATTGGCCATTCTGTGCTGCACCACGCCATTCCAACGAAAGTGTTGAAATGAGGGCCTCAAATTGTGGAACAAGGACCCTGGTGGCTTTGTTTACAGGCAGAATGTCACACAAGACAATGCGGGGGAGCTTTGACGTGGAGGTAGCTTGATACATTATTATATGAAGACAGGTCGCATCCGCCCTGGTCGCATGATAGCTCGGGGTAACTACCAAGGAAATTTCGCGGCAAGACATACTCTCATAGAAACAACATGAAGGGCATCAAAACTCTTCCATTCTCGAGTAGTGCTGTCGAATTGACCTTACTTGATGGCGGAGGTCTCACTACAACAGACGACACAAAGATTCACGCAGATGGGCATGACAGGCCATATTTCCTCTACAACTGGTGTTTCTACATCCATCATAGAGCGTCAGGCCGCAAGATCCTTTGGGACCTTGGTATCAGTGATGTAAGTCAAGGAAGTTAGATTGATGTACAATACTCACGCTCTGATGTCCAACAGGACCGGCAATTGTACACCCCGTTCGTATTGAATTACCACTGGACGAGCTGCAATCCAGTTGGGCCACGTCGACGGCTTGCAGACCAGTTGCAGGACATTGGCGTGGAAACCTCGGACATCGATACAGTGCTCTTCAGGTATTTTCATGGGCAAATCAAAGTACGTTTATTCGAATGCCAGAAAAACTGACCGGCCAGCAGTCACGCACATTGGGATCACTGTCGCCCGATCAAAGACGAATTTCCCAACGCCAAGGTCATCTTTGGCCGCGGAACAGCTTTACACTGCTCTCCAGGGCATATCCAGAATGATGAAATCCAGCCGATGGTTCAATGGGACTCTCGAATTTTCGGCGATGACAAAGTTCGAACGGAGAGCTTTCAAGAGCTCGAAGGCTCGTGGCAGTCCTGGGGACCATTCGAATCAGCACTGGATTATTTCGGAGATGGCAGCCTCTGGATCATCGAAGCCCCTGGGCATATGGCAGGAAATCTCGCAGCATGCGCCTATTTAGAATCAGGCGAACGCATCATCATGGCAAGTGACTGCTGTCATTCAAGGTCAGTGCACATCCGTCAAGCAACTCATTTTGAGGGTTTCCACGACGTCCTTGAAAGAGCCTCTTGCAATAGACTCATCTTCCGACCGTCACTGAACAACAGGCTTACTTGCGAGCAGGGATATTTTTCTTGGTCTCCGAGAAATCGCCAACGTCAAAATGGAGGACGGATCCCGTTTTTGCTTGCATGAAGATCTAGACAAAGCACTTGATACGATTTCCAGACTCAGAAAAGCAGCCGAGGAGTATGGGATGCACATTGCGATGGCCCATGATGCCGAGTTCATCAAGGATGGCAGCGATGCTGTGTTGATGTCAATCTTACACCCCATGTTTGATGACACTGTGCGGAACAGAATCAAAGCTCATGGAAGGCCATGAAGCGCCGGGAACAAATCTCTTCCTGGGCAGATAAGTAGTAGCAAAAAAAACGATCCCTCACATCATGCTATTTGAGTAGTCGCTTGTGAGCGTTGGCCCCTGCCACTTCCCCGCAGTCTTCCCCAGCCTTTGCCAATATAAACCTCACTTAGCGGCTTCTGGGGTGCAGAAGGCGCCGTAAAGCTTGCTGGGTCCGCCCTCCCATCACTGCCGACTGTTTGGTGCATGAGATGTGACGCTAGGATGGGGCCCATCGCTGCGGAAGAAGCTGACACAGCCCTGATTCATCAGCCATCAGCGAGTCGCACGCCGTGGATTTCAGACCTCCCAGGACACTAACGGGTCAATACGCATCAGGTGCGGAGAAGAATGTAGGGGATGTCCTGGTCACCCCGCAAGTCAAGCCCGGCCTCTGTCGGCATCTCAGGAATCCGATCTGCCCGCACTGTTCCTTGCCAACACCACATCATGGTAATTGAGGCTACCAATCCACTGCTTGAAGCTATTCGAATCGACAAAAGTAAACAATCGAGACGAGACCACCGCGTTCAGAGAGAGGGAGAATAAAGTCAAAACGTCCATGTCTTCAGGGCCCGAAGGAAGTCCCTCCAGCGCCGCGCGAAGAGGTCGACCACGACGCCAGTACAAGTGCGCGCACTGCTCGAAAGCCTTCAAACGCAGCGAGCACTGCATTCGTCACGAAAGAACCCATACGCACGAGAAGCCTTACGTGTGTCGATACTGTCACAAGTCTTACGCAAGAAAGTACGTATTGGCAAAAGCTTTTTGATCTCGAACTAGCCACAAGACTTCCTGCTAATTGAGAGCTTCTAGGGATCTTGTTACGAGACACGAGCGCACTCTGCATGCGAAGGAGCAAGCAAGAGAAAAGATTGGAGATGTGGTGACAGTAGCATGTGCGCCACTGGCGCAAGCAACAGTGTTCTCGCCTTCGAAAGTCGATGACTTCATGAATATAGACCAAGAGGAGGACGAAAGATCCGGCCAGGAATCTCCAGACTCGCAGTCGCCAGACGATGGCGCCGCTTCTTCCACAACATCACCATGTTCCAGCCAACGGCGCCGAGCCAACTCACGACGGAAGTCATACTCTCGGCAAGCAGCCGATCCCGACATCGAACTTGAACGAATGTTGATGTCGTTTCAGCCATTAGCTGACCAATCCTTCGAGACGCGCAGGGATCCAAGTACCCTCAACCGAGCCACCGAAAGTCGTCCCGCAGACATATTCCAGCATGATGCTCAACACGAAGGAAACTTGCTGCCGCTTCAGTACTTCCACGACGTCGATCCAGTTGAAGAGTTGCCACCGCTAGACCCAGCGTTATTCATGAACATGGATCTTCCCTTTGAAAGTATTGCCATGGAGATGCCCAGTAATTATCCAGCAGAAAACGGACTTGAGACTGGTGCTTTACGAGAACAACCCCCTCGTCAACCACAAAATCCACCGGAGAAAAGCGGTGCTGCTGATCCATCCACGGAAAACGAAGAGCTATTTTCACCGAGAACCCTGGCCCATCTCGGCATGGAAGCGTTTGACCTCTCGCCCATACCAGGTAGCACCGCGGAGCAGAGAGATGATCGAAGACGAATTCCACGACATCCGAATACCGAGGAACCTTCAAGCGAAGCCCCCCCTAGATGGGCTAGCTGCCATGTACCCTCGGCTAGTAGCGATCTCCCTTCTCTACTCGAAGACGGACGTCAACAATATCCGACCGTGACCTTTGACGAAGATACGCACACGTCTCTTCGCAAAGACATGTCTTCGCGGCTGAGATCAGCAGCTGGAGACTTCCAGCTGCCCACCGCCAAAACCTTGCAGGGCTTCCTATCTGCTTACATGACGAGTTTTCATAGCCACTTCCCGATCATTCATATGCAAACTTTTGATTTGGCACACACTCCGGGCCCCTTGGTGCTTTCCATCTGTTCCATCGGCGCTCTCTATCGCCTAGACCGTCGTCGAGCGCGTCATCTCTATGACTTGGCAATCCGCACTGTGGAACAGGTGCCTCAACCAACCAAGGACGATTCCAAATCCATGGTAAAGGACTACTTTCTTTGGTTTGTGCAAGCGAAAATTCTTCTGAGCTTCTACGCAGTCATGAGCGGGGAGAAGGATCTCGTTGACGCAACGATGAAAGACAATGGCTTCTACACCTTGGTGAGTCAACCTGCCCCTTCATGAGCGATAGAAGACTACTTCGAGACAATGATACTGATCAGCGTCGTTTAAAAACCTCTAGGTCTATAACAAAGCTCGAACTGCGGTAGAAAACACTGAAACAGAACCATCCGAGATGACGTGGCACACGTGGATAGAGCTGGAGTCGTGGAAGCGCGCGCTGGGCGGCATATTCATAGAGAGTACCCTCACTATGGTGATCTACGACGTCAATCCTGGATTTCACGCGACTCAAGATCTGGATATCGAAGCGTATCAAGATGAAAAGATGTGGAACGCGAGGTCACCTGCAGAGTGGCGAGAGCTTCGGACAGCTGCCTCGAAAAGCTCGCCAAACAGTCGACGACACACAATCAAAGATGTCCTTGTTGACATTCTACTTGAAGGAAGGTATCATGCCGACACGGTACCGTACCGCGTGTCGACCTTTACTGCCCTCGTCTTGACTCACGCGGTCGTCGTTCACATGTGGCAGAGATTACAAGTCTGCCAGGCCCTCGCTTCAACATGTCCGATTGCAAGGAATGACAATGGCGATGACCAAGACCCTCTGAGAGCTTCGCTTCTCAATGGTGCTATGCAGTCGTTGGCTCGGTGCGATGCTTTTCTCCAAGGCGTCAGGAGCGAGTTACGACAACCACATCCAGAAGAAGACGAGAAGGATAAAGAAATCTCGCTTGTCTTCAACTGTCAGGCAGTCTTGCGCATAGCTTACACAAGACTGTCAAAAATATCCACCACTCACTGTCGGATCAGCTTGTTGAACCTTGAGGATAGGGACATTGGGTCATGCGTGTCATCATTCGTTATGGGCAGGATGGAACGAAGCTCTCACATTCTCAAGATGGTCTCGAAGGCCTTTGAAGGCATGATTGTCCCAGTCAAGATGGGGCATCTTCTGGTCCGGAAGACTGCCGCTTTTCGATGGAGTGTTGAGCATGCTGTGGCAGGGTGGACGGGTGGTAAGTGAATCCGAGACAATCCTCATAGCTGATTGGAAGGATCCGTGCAAGATGCTGACTTCCTTGATTCAAACAGCTCTTCTAGTATCAAAATGGGCTCAGTCCATAGAACAAGACGAGATAGCCGGGGTGCAGCCAATTCAGAGCGAGCTGGAGCTATTAGCCTTGATCAGAGAGACACTAGATGAGGCCGAGTGCGATATCGGGGAGGGCACGACTCTTGCTGCCGGAATCGCCAGGACGTGGGGCTGGTTTCTATCAGATGTAGGTGATAATATTTTGTTTCCATGTATCGTTGCAAAGTGACATACTGATAACTTCCTAGGTCTGGGTGTGGGGCATCACGCCACGGATGGGAGGAATACTGAACCAATTGGCCGATGCGTATCAAGACGGATATGATGCCAGCCGCCGTAAATCTACCGGCGTGACGTACAACGCGGAAAAGACGGGTGGAAGTTTACATCAAATCTCTTTGTTGCAAAACGTGTATTGTTAGTGGTCAACTACCTCAAGCGCTGTAATGATGACTTGGAAATCATACATTAAACTCATCTCACTCACTCCACCAAGGGATCTAGAGGCAGAGATTCTCCACATGTTGCGATGTACAATGTCTTGGCTCCAAGGGTATTGAAGCGGAAAAGAAATTGAGTCGTATTTCAATCGATTTCTGCTGAATGAGCTTCAAGTACGGCGGCATCAGGAAGTGTGCCGTCAGAGTTGACCATCCTCGTGTGGAGATTCGATGGGTTAAGTGTGGGCAGGATATGACAGGCTAGTCGGGTTGGAAAAGGGCGAGTCGAAGTGAATACTTTTGTATCTAGATGCATTCTCAGAAGCTTTGATACAGATCAGTCCCGGAGGTCCTGAATCCCAAATAAGTCTTGAAGTTTGGCACGTAGACGCAGGACTGGGTCACACAGCTACCCCGCAAGTACCGGTCGGTCTATCGCCGCCTGAATTGTCGGCACCCACACGTCTTACCCATACTCTTCACCTACCGGCCCCATCTCAAAATACGCAAGAATTTCAAATCAACATGTCCAAGCTCGATGGGATGGCAGCTGCCCTTAAGGATCTGGAGTCGAAAGCACGAGGAGAGGTCCAAGTCTCCGCTCTCAGGGGCGGCGAATTCACCCTCCCCAAGCGTTTCTTCGTCGCAGGGGTGTCTGAGGACGAGACCTCGCTTGTGCCATCACTCTCTTTCCTCATCTCGCAGAATCTATTCGAAGGGGGTCAACGACGCATCCTTTACGATCTGGGCTTGAGACGGGATATTGAACGCTATTCTGCGCCGATACAAAACCACACAAAGAATCGTCAGCCGATGACCTTATTACCGGACGTCCGACAGAGCTTGATCGATGGAGGTCTTGAAGTGGCAGCTATCGACGAAGTCATACTCAGCCACGTTCACTGGGACCATATTGGGACTCCTTCCGACTTTCCCAACGCTCGCTTTCGAGTTGGTCAAGGATCGCTTGAATTGCTCAGCGAGGGGATGAATGGGCATATGTCTCATTCCAATTTCCAGTCTGATCTTTTCGACGGCCTCACGGTTGAAGAGCTCACGGGCTCAGGGGAACACGTAGACGCAGCAGGGTTCACAAAACGTTGGAAGAACTTGGAGGGACTGAGAATACTGGATATTGGGGGGAGCGACGATGGTTCCTTGTTTGCTGTCGATTTGCCAGGCCACTTGCCTGGACACATTGGACTTCTCGCTAGAGTAAGACCTCAATCCTGGGTGATGCTTATCGGAGATGCTTGTCACGACGCTCGTCTATTGACAGGCGAGATGCAGATAGCTGAGTGGGAAGATGGTGAGGGTCGAGCGTGTTGTATCCATATGAACAAAAGAGAGGCTACGGACACACTCAACAGCATTTCGACGTTGCGAGAAGCCTCAAAGCAAAGCAATCTCGTATTGCAGGTAGTTTTTGCTCATGACGCAGTTTGGGCACAAGATCACCAAGAAGCCTTTTTCCCAGGCAAGATAAACTGAGTCCCAAGACACAAATCAGATAGCGATTATCAAAGGGTTTACCGCGTCAGTCAGATTCCTGAAGAATCAATAGTATCTCCGACTCTCCAAATTTACACTTGTTTCACCTGCCCTCTCGTGCTGTGATTCTGCCAGCTGACGGTCTGATGTTAGTAGCTGCTTATTTCCTTACCCCGCCCCAACGGCCTACCTACCTCAAACTCGCTTGATTACTTGAGCAAGCCTTCACACCTTGGACTGGGGGTCCATATATCTTCTGGAGACATCAACAAGAAAAGAAACACCAACACTCATGCGCACCCAAGAACTTCTCCTTCCCATCATTGCACGCTCTTCTTTTTTGTTATGGATCAGCCACTAAGCCTAGGATTCATTGGCCTTGGGGCTATGGGTTTGCCCATGGCCTCCAACCTCGTCGCCAAGGTGGCGAAGGGTTCTCAAACATACGTCTACGATATCTCAGAGACCTCCATGAAGAAACTCATCGATCAGACAAAGGATGCAGTAATAACAATGTGCAAGTCACCAAGAGAAGTTTCACAAAAGGCTGTAAGTTGACACCGGGTCAACCATATTTCACCACCTCCATCTCGTGTGACTAATATTGAAATATAGGACATAGTGCTCACAATGCTTCCAGAGGGCAGTCATGTGAAGACCGTCTACTTGGACCCAGACACCGGGATATTGGGCCCTGAGCTGAAGTCCCGCTTGCTCATCGATTGCTCAACTATCGACACGGAGACGTCACAGCTGGTATCAACCACTATCAAATCCCAGTTTCCATCCACATTCTTCTGTGATGCACCTGTATCTGGTGGTACCCTCGGTGCGGAAGCCGCTACATTGACTCTGATGATTGGCTGCTCCGAGAAAAGCCCGAACTGGCCAGAAATTCGCGACTTACTGAGCCTCATGGGCAAGAATATCATTGCATGTGGCGGCCTAGGGTTGGGTCTTACGGCAAAGCTTTGCAACAACTACTGCTCAGCGCTCATTTCACTTGCAACATCCGAAGCCATGAACATCGGGATGAGAGCGGGCATGGATCCTCGACTCCTCGCGCGCGTGTTCTCGAACAGTACTGCACAAAGCACGATCTGCGACAAGTGGAATCCTGTGCCTGGCATCTGTCCAAATGCCCCAGCAAGTCACGGATATCAAGGCGGTTTCAAGATTCAGTTGATGGCAAAGGACTTTGGCTTAGCTGTGTCTACGGCGGAGAAGGTTGGCGCCAAGCTGATTCTTGGTGCTGTTGGGCTCAGAGCCTACAAGGAGGCGAGTCAAGATTCCAAATGTCGCGATCTTGACTCTCGCGTACTTTACAGATACATTGGAGGCAACGAAGACTGGCAAGTTGATTGAATCTGGATAAACTTAGAGCATCCTTCTAGAATACTCATGTTGTCTCGTTCCAAATTTTGTGATCTGTTTCCTGGTTGTGATTAATGCGAATAACTCACTACAACTAGATTACTCTACTAGAGAAGACACTGCCCTCATTGATCCAACTCAGTAACTGTTCCAATTTCACAGGAGCTCAACTGCACCAAAACTATCTCTCATTGAATATGCCCAGCAGACTACCAGTAACACCGTTGCACCTTTCTCCTTGCGAGCTACTTTGCTACAGCCAGACCCGAGTCAAGCAAGGACATGCCTAGTTCAGACCTCCCTACGATGCCGATTCCCCACTCCGTTTTACGAAGTGACGGCACGGAAGCAGGACCCCGCCACCATAATGCGGGGTGCATTCGGATCTCCGTTCCGTGGTGATGTGGGGTTATGTGGGGAGAGAGTTCACTCTGATATGGGGTAAGAAAGTCGAAGGAGACCGGAAAATCACATCCGTCATGTAAGCAGCCTCCCTTTGGCAGTTGGGTAGTTGAAATGAGAGCTCCATGTAAACTCGACCAAGGTAGCAGCACTTGTACGATACGTACTAGCAAGCTGGACCCAAATCTCACCAGCACATGTCCAGGTCCCAGACCGTTACAGCGTATCGACTCTCAAACAACCTACACCTCGGCCCATCAGCGCTGAAAATACGAATATGGCCGATAAGCTTGTAGCAAACACTGCGAAAGAGGCGGAAGCCCACAAGACACTTTACGACAAAGGACTGAAGATTCGATATGAGGTCGCAGGGACTTCTTACGTCGACGCAGCTCTGGCTGGTGGGTCGTCCGACTTTGCCAGGCCAATGCAAGAGCTCGTCACAGAAGCTTGCTGGGGCTCGGTCTGGGCTCGGCCAGGCTTGGAGAGAAAGCAGCGATCTCTCTTAAACATTGCAATGCTGTGCGCTCTGAATAGAGCCCCCGAGCTTGCAGCTCATGTCCGTGGAGCACTGAACAACGGGGCGAGTGAAGTAGAGATTCGGGAGACACTCCTGCAAGCGGCTATTTACTGTGGAATGCCAGCTGGTATCGAGGGGTTCAAAGTTGCCGAAAAGGTCATTATTGCTTGGAACGAAGAAATGAAGCAGTAAGGATGTGGTCAAGTCGGTTGCGGGGTGTTATGCATCCACGGAGTCGGATAGTAAGACAGTTTTTGATACATGCAACAAACGCCAATAGACGTGCCGAAGATTGATCTTTTCTTGGGGTTTTATCATGTATTATTCTGTGAAAGTGGCCTATGATAATGATGAACTGGTGACTGCCCACGTACGTTGGGCAGGACCGACAGAATGGTGATGGCAGGTAATGGCTGCGTGAAGTCAACTCAAGTTCGTCTCAACATCACTCTGACTATTCGTAGTTTTCCTTACCCAAAATTTCACTAACTAAGGATGAGGTTTGCAATCCCCAATAACATGGATTCGAACACGAAGCAGCAGAGTTTCAAAGCTCCCCGCATCTACCAGGGACTTGTTGTAGCTCCCCAGACACTACCCCTGCCCCCCACATTATGTAGGTCCATACGGACGGACGGACGGTCTTGTGTGATTCAAAGTCTAGCTAAGTTCTCTTGAGACTGGACAGTGGTATTCAAAGATTCCATAGATGGAATTGTTCATCACTCGTCGATTATCCACATCAAACTAAGTATCCATCCAGCCAAGTTTCACAGCTCAGATTCACTTCCACAAAATGAAATTCGTAAACATTCATCTACCAAATATGCCTATTCTTCCGATAGAAGGCTCAATCCATATCGGGGGTATTGGCCTGACAATCGTTCTGATTCTGCTTGGTTGTTATCTTCGCTATGTTCCAAATCAGTTGACAGTGAGTACATGTTTTTCCATCGAACTGAAACATGCTGATCAAGAGTCTCCTTGACAGGATCCACGAAGGAAGAAGTTACCACCCGGACCTCGAGGGCTCCCCATCATTGGGAATCTCTACGACCTCGCAGACTCAGAACTTGTGCGACAGAAAGTCCGCGAATGGCATCGCACCTATGGCGATATCTTCTACACGAAAGTCGGGGCGACTGACTATATCTGGCTTTCATCACCAAGAGCTGTCAAAGATCTTATGGACAAGAAGTCGGCAATATACTCATCACGGCCGCATCTCCCACTAGCGCAGGATGTTGCAAGTGGGAAGTCCCGACAACTGTTCATGGCATACGGGCAAGACTGGAGGAACCTGAGAAAGCACAGCCATGCCCTTCTCAACTTGAATGCTTCGAAGAGATACATGCCATCGCAAGACCTAGAGTCAAAAGTGGTCCTTCATGATCTGTTAGATCAGCCCGATGAGTTTTACACCATTAATCGGCGCTATTCTACCTCTGTTATCATGCTCGCTACCTATGGGTACCGCATTCCTTCCTTCCAAGACCCGATCATCTCCAAGATATTCAGCGTTCTGGAAAATCTTTCCATCATGATGGCTCCTGGCGCCTTCGCCGTTGAGAGTCTACCCGGCCTCGCTAATCTTCCCGAGTTCCTCTTGGGAAACTGGCGCACCTGGGGCAAGAAAGCATTCGCTCACGACAGCAAGATTTGGCTTGAGCTTTGGGAGGCTTTGAAGAAGACAACGGACGACGGTACTGCCAAGGACTGCTTCTGCAAAGACTTCTACCTCGGCGACCCCAAGAAGAATGGCATCGACGACTTGCTCGCGGCGTATACCTGCGGCGGCCTGGTTGAGGCGGGTTCCGAGACAACAGCTACCACTATCAATAACTGGACCCTGGCTATGACTCTTTTCCCCGAAGCAATGCGGAAGGGTCAAGAAGAGATTGACCGTGTCGTCGGTAGCGACCGAATGCCCACATGGGAAGATGAGAAAGATCTCCCTTACGTTCGGGCGATGATCAAAGAAACCTTGCGATGGCGCCCGGTCAACAAGTTCGGGATGTATCATGCTTCCACCGAGGACGATTGGTACGAAGGACACTTCATCCCGAAGGACTCTGTAGTCGTCCTGAACTGGTGGTGAGTTACTACATGCAATCCACATGTTCCCGAGAACTTCGGCTAACACATAGCGCCAAATTTCCAGGGCTATCCAGCGTGATCCAAGTCGCTACGAAAATGCCGATGAATACGATCCATCTCGGTTCCTCAACAGTCCACTCTCTGCGGCGGAGTACATGAACTCGCAGGATCCCTATGAGCGCGATCACTTTTCCTATGGTGCTGGCCGGTACGTAGTTTCATCCTGAACTCGATTGTCTTGGAATGAAGGTATACGTACATTACTGACACTTTGACAGACGTGCATGTCCTGGAGTTCATCTAGCTGAGAAGTCGCTCTTTATTGCTATCTCTCGCATCATGTGGGCATTCAATATTGAGCGGAAAGAAGATCACAACGGAGGAAAGAAGGTCCCCACAACTCGAATGATGCCAGGCTTTCTGAGTGTTCCTGAGCCTTTCGAATGCTCCATCTCATGCCGCTCTGTCGCACATGAAGAAATCATTCGGAGGGAGTATAGCTCGTTGAAGGAAAACAACTTCGAAGAAGGTCAATGATCAGCTCATGGCCTCATTTGTATAAGATTCTGGCGAACTGCTTAGATGTCAAGCCCGTTACGAATATCAACGTCTCCCTACTAGCAAATAGCGTCTCGTTTTCTGGAGTGGTTGCACTTTACATCGCATCCCTTTGTCAGTACATTGGGTGGGAATTCGAATGTAGCTCTTGAGAAATCGCAACATTGAAGGACACACATTTTGCAGTTTTCTATTCCTACCTAGACTAGACATAGATTCGGTTCCGCAAACATAAGATTGAAGGAATACCAACAATCACAAACAGCCATGTTCTTGCCCTCACTTCGTTATCTAACTAGGGAATCAGTCTACGCTGCCCTTCTCTCATCTGCTTATCGAGCTCGGTTCCTAACCATAGAGGTTGAGTCTCATCAAGCTTGTCCTCCAGGTCACTGATATTCCCGCCGTGAATGAAGAAAGACTTTCCATTCACTTCAGGTCGCATAGCAGGTAGCAGGCTTGCTGTGGCAACGTCTTTTGGCGTATTTGCAGGTAACTCCTTCCAAATACTTCTGATATGATCGGTGACCATCTCCGTATCTACAATGGGTTCAGCTTCGTGTCAATGCATTCGGGAACTGCTCGAGCAATCCACAGGGGGTGAGGGCGCACTCACCCGTCATCCAAGGTGCGATCATATTGACAGTAATGTTCATCTTCGGCAATTGAGTCCGCATAGCGCGCATAAGACCCAGAACAGCCGCCTTGCTGGCACAGTAAGTGTAGCAGGGTGGTGTATCGAAGAAGCTGGCAGCGGACCCGAACAGAACCAGTTGAGATCTCGTTTCCGGGTTCTTGCGAAAGAAGCCAATGGCACATTTGGTCACGTACCAAGTGCCAGCCATGTTGACATTGAGAACCGAAACATCTGGCTTTTGGAGATACCAGTCTGCCCCAGAGCCCGGCTCGTCAAGTGTCTCGATTTTGTTGATTGCTGCATTCGAAATGACGGTATCAATGGGACCAAGCTCTGAATGAACATCTTGAAAGAAGCTGACAAGGTCGTTCCAGTCCGAGATGTCACATTTTTTGAAGAAGACGCTGTTGACGCTTGAGCATGAGCCAAAAACTGTGTCTTGCATGAGGAGCTTCATAAGAAGACCATGGACAATGATGCGACTTACTTGCCGAGCTCTTTCTGAACTTGCTTTCCTCGAGTCTCGTCAACATCACAGAATGCTACTTTTGCCCCATGCCCTACCACGGAACGGTCAGCACAGCGCTACGAGCTCATACTGTGTTGCTTACGATGGGCGAGGTCGACAATGGCTCTTCCAATGCCGGCTGCACCTCCAGTGACCAAGATGACTTTGCCCTCCAACTGCCGGAATTCCGAATCGCTGACAGTGTAGGCAGACATTTTTGCGTTGCGTTGTCGTGTCTGTTGTAGAAGTCTTAGAAGGGTTGATCAGGCCCTTGGGGGGAACCATAGCGGCCGGGGCTGCCTCTGTTATCACGCAGACACGGTACACTTACTGCCTGAACTTCAGTGTACTCCACATCGGTGCGGGCTGTCTCCAACTCGGGGTATAGCGGTCGAGCCCCAAACACAGCAAAAGAGCAACATGGATAGGCACACGAGATCTCCGCATTTACATATCACTGGGCGTATTGGTAAGTACAGTATGTTTCATGCACAGAAAAAGTGATCTCATTCAATTCAATGTCAAATACGATGGAGCGGGGGTGTCATCTGACAAGTCCCCGGTAGCTGTCCAATGCTGCTGCTTGTGCTTTCGAGACTCGACTTCGTCGGAGATGGCTATGGCAAGATCCGCTGCCGAAATTCCCAGCAACTTCCCATCCAGAGGACTGTCGCCATCAGGGCCATCTCTCAGCGGCAAATTGCTTATAGTGATCTCGTATCTGCCTGTACGCCTGCCGGGACGATATAGTGCGCTTGGGGACACATACGTCCAGTCGAAGGATGTATTACCTTCGAAAAACATGAGACTAGCTCGCGCAGCTTTGATGAAGTTGCTCGATGCGTCTTGTTGCGCCTTCAGTTGAGCTTCGTAGGCATTTATCGTTTTATGCGCTGCCTCTTTCTCCTCGGTGCTTCCTCTGGCCTCTTTGAGGAGAAGACGAGCGTTGCGGTATGTTCTCAAGGCATTTCCTATCGGCCCAAGCCTCTCTTCCATGTATGTGACATGAGCATGACTGTCCGCAATTCCACGGCGGTAAGCCAAGAAAAAGTCATTGCTGTCCGCCACGCAAACGCCGTCTTCGTGAGGTACATGCAAGCTGCCAGTTCCACCGACCATCACGAAGTATCCTGTTTTGGCGCGTTTGACGGCAAGGATGATTTTTCTGATCATCTCGATGAATGGCACTGTCATATCACCTGGTCAGACAACTCATTGTTACGGGCCAATTTTAAGCAGCACTGCACTCACTGTACTGCAAGGCTTCGTGACCTGCTGTATGAGGCCCGTATTCGCACACCACAACTGCAAGATCACTGATGGCCGTAGCCAATTCTCCCTCAGTGGAGGTTTCAAGGTTGATAGGTCGCGGCTCGTAGAGCTCATGAGTACCCAGTTTCTGTGGGTTGCGAGACAGTCCGACAACACGATGCCCGCGGTTAATGAGTTCGACAACCAAGTAAGAGCCCCCGAAACCGGCCGGTCCGATGACTCCGACCTTCAGCTTTTCGTCAGTCTTGGCCATGGTGGTTCAGTTGGTGATCAGAAGGTATGTAGTTGTTGGATGTGCGTGCCAAACGAGGAAGAAGGCGGCCTTGACCTCCGATGCTTCTGAGCATCTATAACAGCCATCGATATGGGCTCTTCCCGCACCAACGTTTTCATGTCGCTGCCATTGTGTAGGTCCAGTTGACTGATCACTGTCCGTTAGGCGGATGCGGGGTGATGTGGGGGAAAAGATGGTTGGGCTGATTTGGCCTGCGGCAACCAACTGTGAGGTGCGGTGCGGGGACCCCTCTGAGGATTACTCAATTGATGTACTGGCATCTGGAATTGCATGCCTGAATTTTATTGCCCGTGATTGTTCTCGTCTTTCTGAGTAGTACGATCAGTTCTACAGATCCTAGATACACCATCTACAGATCGTAGATACACCAAATCTCTGCAATACCGGAATGATGGACTTCAACATTGGCTTCATAGGTAAGGTTCAGCCTTGGCTATCGCGGAATGACCGCTGACTCCCATAGGCCTCGGTGCCATCGGCTATCCCATGGCTGCATCGATTCGTCGAAATTTGAGGCGTCAATCTACCGTTCATGTTTTTGACGTCAACAAATCAGCATGTGAGAAGTTTGTTCAGCAATTTTCAAGCTTAGGACAGGTAGAAGTCGCTGCAAACCCACGCGAAGTTGCTGCCGCAGTAGATGTGGTGATTTCCATGGTGCCCGGAGCACCAGAAGTATCGAAGGTCTATCTCGACGTTGAAGATGGCATTATTTCCGCTCCCAAAAACCCACAGAGACTGTTGATTGAGTGCAGTACTATTGATACTACCACCGCACGACGCGTGGAAGATCAGATACGAAAGGCTTCTCAAGGGACATATGTTGATGCCCCTGTTTCCGTGAGTCTTCCTTCCCAACATGGGTGACCCCATAAAGTACATTTGACCCATCAATGGCAACGGCGCTTTCTGACTCCAACTTGCCCCAGGGAGGCGTACCAGCAGCGGAAAAGGCGACTCTCTCATTCATGATCGGATGCAAACCTGATGATAAGGAAGATCACTTATCCCAAAGGCTACATCAGGTAGTTTCAATGATGGGCGACCCTGAAAAGCTCTTCTGGTGCGGTGACGTTGGTTCGGGACTTGCTGCTAAGATCAGCAACAACTACATCTCCTGCTCTGTTCTACTTCTGATATCTGAAGCTATGGCAATCGGAGTGAAGTCTGGAGTGGACCCGAAGATGCTCCAGACAATTATTCACAACTCTACCGGTCAAACATTCATGGGAGATAATGTCTGCCCAGTCCCTGGAGTCATCCCACATGCCCCCAGTAGTAATGATTGGAGGCTGGGATTCAAGACTCAGATGTTTCTCAAGGATCTGTCTCTGGGCATCGATGCTGCAAAACAGGAGAATATCCAGCCGACGATGGCAGAAGCGGCCTACGGGGTATTTGAAAAAGCCTCCAAGGACCCCCGCTGTATCGTAAGTAAAATGTTGCGTATTCCCTAGAAGTGGGCCAATTAACATTCTATCCAGGATCGTGATGGCTCTTCGGTCTACCTTTACGTCACAGACTCAAAGACTTAACTTGGATTAGGATTGGTAATTAGCAGAAAAGGGGGGAGTCAGGCCCATGGCCAAAGTACATGTAGTAAACATATTCACTCAGCCTATGCTGTCTCTGGGGGATTGACCGTTTGATAACCCGAGCTCAGGATTACAGATTTCGTGATGAGAGAGCAATATCTATGATGTCTATCGCAACCGTCATCCCAGGATATGATAACGATCTAGCACAAGATCATACTGGAGTCTTCTTCAATAGCTGAGAAATAGGTGTATTCATCGAGCTCTATGGAAAGCGAAAGGCTAGCATTCTCAAATCTAAAGTTCTCCCAGAAAGTCCATGATCTTTGAAATACAATCCTCTGCAGCCTCAGCGTAAATTTCGTGCCCTTGAGACTCGATGATTGCTAGTTTCGATGAGGCGACCTCCGCATTCAGCTTCTTCATGGACTCAACGCTTACAAGAGCACTATTTGTAGGCGATAAAATCAACATAGGAGCTTTGATACCCCTCAAGTATGGCTGAGCATCCAGCTGGCTCAAGAACTCGGCATATCCTGCCAGCCCCTCTCCGTCACTGACAGCAACCTTGTCCTTCCACCATGCGAGATAGTCGGGATCACTACTCGCCACAGTGCCGCTCGCACCAAGAAGATGTTCTGCCCAACCTCTTGATCCCAGTTGGCGGCATGCCTGGGGCCAAGACTCCAGGCCAAAAGCAAGAAACTCCTGTGCCGAGGCCGGCAAATGGGTCGGTGATGAACATACAATGATAGAGCTCACGCGTTCTGGGTATGTTGCCGCAAATATTTCTGCGAGCATACCACTTGTCGACTCCCCAACAAAGTGTACCTTCTCAATCTTCAACTGATCCAAGGTGTCTTTGATCTCATCCACAATCGTGGTGGTTGTGTATTGGTAGACTTCGTCGTCATCGGGGCCTGGGTAGCTTGAGCCGCCGTGGCCTCGGAGATCGCGACGCAAGACATTGTACTTTCTAGCTAGGGCTGGAACCCAATGATAGAAGTGATCTAAGGTTCGACCGAAACCGTGTTGAAGTAGTATGGTCTCAGCTGGCTTCCAAGGATCAACAAAAGAGTCAAGAATGTATGCAGTCGTTTGTCCATTCGAATGACGGATAAATTTTCGATTGTCAGTGTCCATGATTGATGTGCGAGAACTAAGAGTAGGTTTCGAAAACAGTCAGGTGGTGGTACAGCTCTGAAGTACGTTGTATCATGTGAGTAGGTTTCGAAAACAGTCAGGTGGTGGTACAGCTCTGAAGTACGTTGTATCATGTGCAGACGGACAATGACCAAGAGACTGGCTGCCATGAGCAGAGAGGCATCAATAAGGTATCCCAAAAGCAAATGATATTGACAACCCTTGTTATCTTACTGCCATGGCTTAGCCACATGGCATACCCCGTATGCCTGGTAGTAGTACCATGTGGGGTAACGGGCAGATCAAATGGTCTCCTAGCGCTGCGATGTTGAGATCTTGCGGGGTAAGGTTTCGGGGAGCATGGTCGAAGCTGGGCAGCATGGCTTAGCTACAGAGGTAGTTGAGCGGATGCGATACGGACTCCGGACACAGAACCTAGAGGTCTAGCATACATGTACACAAAATGGGTTAAGTCACTCCAAGTGCGTGACCAGCCTGGAGTTATACTAGCAAATGGCTTGTGGGGTGCGAAGACGACATAAATTTATCTGCCTGCAGCTATTTGCGAAAAGATCAACCTGAATCTCAATCCAGCAAGAATGGTTACATTTCATGCGGCTTTCTTTTGAAAGTTCTTCCAGGTAAGTGTTTTAGTATCGAACCTAGATCTGTACCTTTCCGAATGTACTGACTCTGTCGGCCGAAGACTTACCAAACTCCAGCTGCCACTGAAATCTCATGTATTAGTGTCTTTGGTACTGCCCATGCGAACAATTTCCCATTGAAAATAGGAGTTTTAACATTATACGTAGCCTTGACAGCTGCTTTGGACAGCTATCACGCAACACCATTCACCATCCTTTCTTTTTCTACTTGAAGCTGTCCGGGACGCGGATCAGGCATTCGCAAATCACAATGGATCGAAGTAACTCGGCTTTCACTCTCACATCATGGATCTATGTGCTCCTCCTCTTACTCGTTATCCTCATTTGGGCCTCAGTGGATGTTATCACAGAGACGTTCTCGTCTCTTCGGAAATTACCTGGTCCATTCGAGGCTCGCTTCTCAAGACTCTGGTATTTTCGACATGTGAGAAACGGAAACTTTCATCATCGCAATATTCAACTCCATGAGAAATACGGTATGTTATCTTTCTTCCCGGATGGGACTGTTAAAACCTTCCGCTTACAAGATGATCTACCTGACAGGGGCCATAGTGCGGATTGCTCCCAAGCAGTATAGTATCAATGACCCGGCCGTAATCAAGACGATTTATGGTATTGGAAAGGGCTTTCTCAAGGTACGCATCGTCAAGACCATGGAGCAGTTTTGCCTTACTGACATTGTTCGCTTCTTAGTCCGCATGGTACGAGGCCTCAAGTCCAGTCGGCCTTCCCTGGCAAGACCTCTTCACAGATCGAGATGGTGCACGTCATGCTGCAAATCGGCGTCTCGTGGCAAACCTTTACTCTGTCACCTCCCTTAGAGCAATGGAGTCCGATGTCGAAGACTGTTTGAAAGTCTTTGTGAAGCGACTTGGAGACTTGGGTCAGACTCAAGATCCCATCGACCTTCAGTTTTGGATGCAGTGTTATGCATTCGATGTTGTCAGTCAAATCACAGTAAGTCTCTCCGTAAACTTGTCTCATCTGTATTCTCGTCACACATACTCACCCATTTCAAATAGCTTGGACAAAGATTCGGCTGCCTTGATACAGGAAGCGATCGACTGGGAATTTTCGCTAGTCAACACGTTTACCTCAAGTACTGCGCTATGGTGGGAATAGAACACGAGCTACACGGAACTCTTGACTGGATACTGTCCAAACTTCCACCAGGACAGCTGATGAACGGGGTCAACTTCACCGCTGAGCAGCTGAAAAAGGGCAGAGCCCGGTTTGACATGGAAAAGGGGAGCCCAGACAGGCAAGACTTCATGTCCAAGCTCTTCCGTCTGCACCACGAAAATCCCGACAAGTTCCCAGAAAGCGCCGTCTTTACGACATGTATGATCAATATTGGAGCTGGCTCTGATACAACTTCGATATCACTGTGCGCTGTGATCTATGACCTTGCGTCCCACCCCGTAGTGCTTCAGAGGGTACGTGACCGACTCTCCATGAGCGAAGAGATACGCTCCGCCTAGCTCGAAAGATCTTTCTAATAATCATCACAGCTTCGGGAAGATATCGACGCCAAATTCGCAGAACTAGACAACCCCGAATTCATCCCGTTCAAAGATGCCCAAGCTATGAGTTTTCTCCAGGCTTGCATCAAGGAGTCACTCAGACTGCATCCAGCAACAGGTCTTCCGCTAGCCCGTGTTGTCCCTAAAGGTGGCGTGAATCTTCTTGGCAGAGACTTCAACGAGGGTGTAAGTCCAATTACCACAGTCTTGATGGGCCATGTGGGTACATTCAACTGACCGAAATAATTGTAGTGCGTTGTAGGCGTGAATACTTGGGTCTTGCACCGGAATAAGGATGTTTTCGGTGCAGATGCCGATGACTACCGCCCTGATAGGTGGTTTAGTCAGGACAAAGAACACATTTCTCTCATGGAATCGAATTGGATACCGGTGAGTCGAGTATTCGCTGGATTGCCCCGGATCATTACTGATTGATCGTCTCTAGTTCGGGGTAGGTTCTCGTACCTGCATTGGGAAAAACATCAGCTTGCTAGAAATCAATAAGCTTGTGCCCATCTTGGTCAAGACCTTTGACTTCACGCCCGTGGAGCCGGAAAGAATCCGGCATGAGAACTACTGGTTGGTCAAACAGGTCGATATGTTATGCAAAGTTTCACCGAGAAGTACCTAGCAAGGCACGCGTAGTTTTTGGGAGATGCTGTTCATTGGCAAAGGGGACAAATATCCACATAGGAATCAGGTTTGCAGCAAATTGGTAACATTACTTGAACAGCACATGCTCAAGATAATCATTTATGTGCAAATACTTTGGCCTGAAGAATTGAAGGTATTGGACATCAGGCAAGTCACTGTGGGTATGAATTTCCCAACTGGTCCGAACATCAACTTGCACCGCGAACCTTGCTGGAGCATCTTTCGGGTGCCTGGTCATTGGTCTTGAATTTTCGGTTCATTTTCCTGGTAATACTACAATAGCAGTACAATGATTCCGAAGAGAATTGCAGAAAAGAGCACCCATTGATCTCCAAGAGGTCTGCCATTCCCCCCACTCCCAACACGCTCAATGAGCTTATTCCCAAGATCTGAGATGCTGCTTTGGAAGTCCTCGTAGTTTGATGCAGTCCAATTTGCCCCGCTTGCTCCAGGAACAGCATCATCCCCCGTGAAGGCAATATAAGTCAAACCCCCCACTTCCCGGCACCCCCCTGTTTCTGGCACCCACAAAAACGCGAAAATCCACCACAACGCAATGCCCACCCCCAACCTCCTTTTATCACAACATTTTCAATTCGAGTCCAAATGGGCTCATTTTTTGCACATACCTTCTTCTATATCTAATGCCTCAATATACCGAAGATCAGCTTCGTCAGGCTCTCGAGGACATCTCAAACGGCAAGAGTCAAAAGAGAGCCTCATTGGAGTAAGTCAAACCCCCACTGGCACCCCTGTTTCTGGCACCCACAAAAACGCGAAAATCCACCACAACGCAATGCCCACCCCCAACCTCCTTTTATCACAACATTTTCAATTCGAGTCCAAATGGGCTCATTTTTGCACATACCTTCTTCTATATCTAATGCCTCAATATACCGAAGATCAGCTTCGTCAGGCTCTCGAGGACATCTCAAACGGCAAGAGTCAAAGAGAGCCTCATTGGAGTATGGGATACCACGATCAACCCTCCAACTACGTCTCCAAGGTGGTCAGACTAGGAAAGTGGCTTTTGCTGACTGGCAGAGGCTGTCTCCTGACCAGGAGAGTAAGCTGGCACAATGGGTTCGCATTCAGGCTTCGCTGGGCCTCGCACCGCACCAACAGGTGAAGGAATTCAGAGCGAGTTCTGGCTGCTGCTGGGGATACCAAACCATTAGGAAAAGGCTGGATCTATGCCTTCGTGAGAAGGACCCTATCATTAAGGTTCAGAGAAGTCGTTCCATCGATTCTAGACGCGTTAATGGGGCATCTACTGAGGTCATTAGGAACTGGTTTAAGTTCCTTGCTATCCCTGAGATCAAGGACATCAAACCAGCCAACAGATATAATATGGATGAGACTGGCATCCTCGAGGGTCAGGGAGCTAATGGGTTAGTGCTGGGCATGGCTGAGACGACGTCTGTTCGCAAGAAACAACCTGGGTCGAGGGCATGGGTCTCTATCATTGAGTGTATCTCAGCCTTGGGTAGGGCACTTCGTCCTCTTATCATTTTCAAGGGAAGACGGTCCAACAACAGTGGTTTCCATTACATCTGGTTCCATACGATGGGTGGGAGTTTACAGCAACAGATAATGGCTGGACTACAGACTTAACTGCCATTGAATGGTTAGAGAAGGTGTTTATCCCACAGACTATGCCCGAGGCTGAGGGCGAGGCTCGACTGTTGATTGTGGATGGGCATGGGGTCATACGACGACAGACTTCATGTGGAATTGCTATATTAACAATATCCATTTACTGTTCTTACCACCACACTCCTCTCATGTCCTCCAGCCACTTGACCAGTCTGTCTTCAGCCCTGTTAAGTCAGCCTATCGGAAGGAGCTCGGTTACTTGTCTCAATGGAACGACTCTACCATTATAGGTAAAAGGAACTTCCTGGACTGTTACCAGAAGGCTCGACTTGCTGGTCTATCAGTCTCGAACATCAGAAGTGGTTGGAAGTGGACTGGTCTACACCCTGTAGCGATGGTTAAGCTGATGAACCCTATGGTATTACCTGAGCCTTCTGCTAAGCCCACCACACCCAAACCAACCAGTCGGGGCAAAAGCGATGCCATAATGGTCAACAAACTACCCCTGTTGAGCCATGGGATTCTGCTTCCTCTGCAGTGGTCTGGTCGACACCCAGGAAGCTGGCAGAGCTCAGCGGTCAACTGCACTTATACACCCAACTCGACAATGATACCAGCACTCAACGGCTGCTGTTCAGGAAGGTGAAAAAAGGCTTCACAGAGCAGGCCTGGCAACTGGCAGCTGCCCAGCAGCAGCTGGCTCACCTGAGGCTCAAGTTACCAACGCTGCAGTTAGGAAGAGGAAGACTGTTCAGATCGATCCCAACACGAAGTTTGCGAACATCAGGGATATCCATCGGGCTCAAATCGAAGCGGGTGAAAAGGAGGTTATTACGGCTGAATCCAGCGACTCTGAATGCCCTAGTGAGGCTGGCAGTTGTATTGTAGTGGGTGTGGTTGAGGATCAATAGTTAATAGTAATGAGGAGGTTGGGTTGTGATCCCATCGTTTTTGTGGGTGCCAGAAACAGGGGTGTGCCAGGAAGTGGGGGGTTTGACTTATGGGATACCACGATCAACCCTCCAACTACGTCTCCAAGGTGGTCAGACTAGGAAAGTGGCTTTTGCTGACTGGCAGAGGCTGTCTCCTGACCAGGAGAGTAAGCTGGCACAATGGGTTCGCATTCAGGCTTCGCTGGGCCTCGCACCAACGCACCAACAGGTGAAGGAATTCGCAGAGCGAGTTCTGGCTGCTGCTGGGGATACCAAACCATTAGGAAAAGGCTGGATCTATGCCTTCGTGAGAAGGAACCCTATCATTAAGGTTCAGAGAAGTCGTTCCATCGATTCTAGACGCGTTAATGGGGCATCTACTGAGGTCATTAGGAACTGGTTTAAGTTCCTTGCTATCCCTGAGATCAAGGACATCAAACCAGCCAACAGATATAATATGGATGAGACTGGCATCCTCGAGGGTCAGGAGCTAATGGGTTAGTGCTGGGCATGGCTGAGACGACGTCTGTTCGCAAGAAACAACCTGGGTCGAGGGCATGGGTCTCTATCATTGAGTGTATCTCAGCCTTGGGTAGGGCACTTCGTCCTCTTATCATTTTCAAGGAAGACGGTCCAACAACAGTGGTTTCCATTACATCTGGTTCCATACGATGGGTGGGAGTTTACAGCAACAGATAATGGCTGGACTACAGACTTAACTGCCATTGAATGGTTAGAGAAGGTGTTTATCCCACAGACTATGCCCGAGGCTGAGGGCGAGGCTCGACTGTTGATTGTGGATGGGCATGGGAGTCATACGACGACAGACTTCATGTGGAATTGCTATATTAACAATATCCATTTACTGTTCTTACCACCCTCTCTCTCATGTCCAGCCACTTGACCAGTCTGTCTTCAGCCCTGTTAAGTCAGCCTATCGGAAGGAGCTCGGTTACTTGTCTCAATGGAACGACTCTACCATTATAGGTAAAAGGAACTTCCTGGACTGTTACCAGAAGGCTCGACTTGCTGGTCTATCAGTCTCGAACATCAGAAGTGGTTGGAAGTGGACTGGTCTACACCCTGTAGCGATGGTTAAGCCCCTGATGAACCCTATGGTATTACCTGAGCCTTCTGCTAAGCCCACCACACCCAAACCAACCAGTCGGGGCAAAAGCGATGCCATAATGGTCAACAAACTACCCCTGTTGAGCCATGGGATTCTGCTTCCTCTGCAGTGGTCTGGTCGACACCCAGGAAGCTGGCAGAGCTCAGCGGTCAACTGCACTACACCCAACTCGACAATGATACCAGCACTCAACGGCTGCTGTTCAGGAAGGTGAAAAAGGCTTCACAGAGCAGGCCTGGCAACTGGCAGCTGCCCAGCAGCAGCTGGCTCACCTGAGGGCTCAAGTTACCAACGCTGCAGTTAGGAAAGGAAGACTGTTCAGATCGATCCCAACACGAAGTTTGCGAACATCAGGGATATCCATCGGGCTCAAATCGAAGCGGGTGAAAAGGAGGTTATTACGGCTGAATCCAGCGACTCTGAATGCCCTAGTGAGGCTGGCAGTTGTATTGTAGTGGGTGTGGTTGAGGATCAATAGTTAATAGTAATGAGGAGGTTGGGTTGTGATCCCATCGTTTTTGTGGGTGCCAGAAACAGGGGGGTGCCAGGAAGTGGGGGGTTTGACTTATAGGACATCGTTGTCATCATGTCCTGAGTTTCCGTTGATACTATTGCCGTAGCAAGCAGTGGCGAGTGATATGGAAGCCTCACCTACCATGGCTTGAGGCCCATCGTCACCATTTGTATCTCCCCAGATTCCGTACAGCTACATAAAATGGGTTAGACTAGGGTCTCAAGCAAAATAGAAGTAGACCTACCAATTTGTTATTGCACACGACAGCGATTACGCTGAGTGGTTTGACGCCATGCTTTTCTGGGTTGAATGTAGGCCAGCCGCTTTTAGTACCTTGATTTCCGAATACAACATAGGTGTGTACCGAGGCGTTGAGGTCTCGTCGCCCAGTCCCATAACTCCTCAGCTGGTCGCGGAATGTCGTCTCAGATTGAGTGTCGGTGGATCTGCCGCAACGTCCGTCGCCTCCGGCTTGCTCACCGTCGCAGTCCACGTCCATGTTGGCCAACTCGCCATTTTTCCCTTGGAGATATATGATCTTGTAATCATCCAGGTAATCTCCGCAGTAGCTGAAATCTAGTGAAGAATTCTGTGAGCATTTTTGGAGCATGAGCTGTTGAGGGGATGAAGCACGTACCTCCGCTGTCACCCTCACTGCTGTGAAACCCGCTTGCTAACGTATGATGGCACTTGTTCCGCCCGCGGACGAACCCATAGAAGTCTTTAACATTGTTCGGAATATCGCGTGACAACGATTGTGTCGCTAGAAACATGAAAAGAAGGAAGACGCCGCCTAATGAGACCATGATGACTGTAACAATGGCCGCCGATGAGCCTGAAGAGAAATGAATGAGGTGAGACGGGATGCTCGGTTCGGGGGCAGGGAATCGTGAGCGACGAGTCGCGCTTTGGTCTCCACGTGATCCACGGAGTCCTGCAGCGCCATTCAAAGCACTAGTTGTGCACAGCCCTCATTTTAGACGCTCTGAAATGAACACGAGCACGCCGGGGGCTCTTGGCCAAGTCTCAAGCGTCTTGATCGGGGCTGAGAGAAGCAATGATGGGATGACGCACGATTGACAGCCAGGCATCAACACTCTGTTGAAAATTGAAGGATTCATGTTTCTCTGCCACGTCTGGTCTGTGTGAGACAGGCGTTCAGCCACCCATGGAAATGAGGCGCAATGTGACTGAGACCTAAAATCCGGCCCGCTCCGGATGGCTTTCTGTTGTTGTTCAACTCAGGCCCAACTTAATCGGAGCGCTGACAGTGGAGAAAGACAGCGCTTATTTAAGCCTAAAATTAAGGTGCCCCAATGCCTCAAATGGCTTAGTGTCAACGAAAGAAATGGCATCGATGATTGAGGTCGAATGACATATACAACTCACCATATCTTGAGCTGCCACCCAGGCAAATCGCGTCTCTCACATTTTGGCTCAATCTTCCCGACTCATTATTTTACGAGAATCAGAAACCATCTAACATTGGGGATGAATGTGCTTCGTTGTGTGAAATATGACTCGACAGGGCGATTCGAGGGCGAAAATCCAAGGGTGTCTGAATGTCCTGTGGTCGCAAAATTCAAAGTGTTAATCGTGGTAGCAACCAACGCCATGTATACCCTACGACATCTGTAACACATATGAAATGAAAAGACCTGGATCTCGTCAAAGATCAACTTTTTGCATGAAGTATGGCTGCATGGAGCTGCGTCATGATTCGGCATCGATACGTCGTCCAAGGTGAAACTATGAATCTGCTGGCAATTTTTCCCGGTGAGTCTCGAACAACGAGATCCAGTCAGCTTCCAGACGTTCCATCTTGTGTCATGCCGTCATCAGCCCACATCTGCCTGCTCCAACAAAACGGCCTCTTGGCCTGTGCTGTAAGTCAATGAAATTGGCGTACGTTCGACCGGGTTATAATCGGTTTTGATGCACTTCAGTGCAGACAAGTATGCCCATCCTGTGTTGGTGCTATGGTGGACTTGCTGCTGCTGCTCATACCAGTGCCCGTCATAACTTATGTTGGTTGGAACAAACATCACCAGCAAGCACAATACTCCACTGTCACAGTGCCGCAGACCTGCATTATCCTGCTTGGCCAAGATGAGGGGTAAGTTCACTTGGACACCTGGAGACATAAATGAGCACAGGTTGTTCTTCCACCTGAAAGAATCTTTTGCCAGCTTATGGTTCAATCTTCATACATCATGGCTGACTCTCAGAGAACCACTGGAGCTGAAGAGAGCGCTGTGGGCATTGCTCCTTCACCATCTGCCAACACCCTGGAGCCTACTAGCAGCACCGGCCACGATATTGCGATCAATCACGGCCCCATTCTAGAGGCCGAGGCAGAGAACAGCGCCGTGAGAAATACTATGAAATTTCTTAGATGAAGTCACTGACCCTTCTTCATAGTTGACAGACGACGATGCCTCGGACAGAGCGACAGTAAGCAAGATTTCTCGCTGAACCGTTCTCATATAAGAGTGATCTCCTGACTTGCTGTAGAGTGTGGCATCTTCAAGCACAAGCTTGTCCAGCTCGATTCTTCAGCATCGCTTGGAGAATGGAAGAACTTACCACAAATACAAAGACGGAAGTGAGCAACCATCTTCAAATTGAATCTGCCAGGCATCGAATCCAATTGCAGTGGAAATTACTTACAAACCTAGAATATCTTTTCCCCAACGACGAAAGAGAGAACGACAGGCTTGGTTCGTAGCCCGAGGAACAATTGGCAGTTTGGTCACTAAAGATGTTCGTAGATTTGCAGCATAACCTTTATCTGTTGACGCTGGAATATAAGCTGGGTCTTGCTCCCCCGAACAACGAAAATTCAGGCGTTAAGCGCGTCCTGGACATCGGAACAGGCACGGGACTCTGGGCTATCGAATTCGCCGATGAACATCCCGAAGCTGAGGTGGGCTCAGCTTCTTTCCCTGGCGAGATGATTTTAAACTCAAGTGTTCGCAGGTTCTAGGGGTCGATCTTACTCCGGTACAGACTCAATTGTATGGGTCCGCTGTTTTCTCAAATTATTTCATTCACTAATTGGTTTACAGTGTTCCGCCGAATCTTAAATTTGAAGTTGACGACATTGAACAACCCTGGACATTCAGCCAGCCTTTCGACTACATACACATTCGTGGCATGACCTCTAGTGTCTCTGACTGGCACGCATTCTTCAAGCAAGCATACAAGTATGCGCTTTTCCTGTTTCCCTGTTACCAGTGACTAATCCTCTGCAGCGGCCTTACTCCCGGTGGTTATATCGAACTATTCGAAGGTCATGCGCGCACACAGTCGGACGATGGGTCGTTGACTCCTAATCACGCATTCTGGCAGTGGGCAGACAAGCTGGACGAGTGCTGCAAGATCCTCGGCCGCCCATTTGTCCACGTTCCGAGTCTTGTTCCTATCCTTGAGCAAGCGGGTTTCGTCGATGTGACTATCGTTCCGTTCAAGTGGCCCATTGGCCCGTGGGCAAAAGATCCATATTACAAAGAACTTGGGGTGTGGGCTCTTGAGAATGCCTCCGAGGGCCTCGAAGCTTGGACAATGGCAGCACTGACTAGGGCGCTCGACTGGAGCAATGCAGAGGTGCAAACTTTTCTGGCTCAAGTCAGGAAGGACCTGAAAGACCGAAGCATCCACCATTACTGTCCTTTGTAAGTCGCATTCTCTTCTTCGTCTTTCTATACTCAGGGGACTTTTTGCCATCTTTTTCCTGCAGATCTGAACTCCAACTTGGTCGACGTGCAAGTGAATGGTTTTAACATCGAACAGATGGGTGATTTATGGCAAAAAGCCATTGTAGAAGGCTTAGAAGTGGGAAATGCTGTCAGACTTTCATTTGAGATTTAGGGCTGTTCTTTTAGAGTAAGTATGAATAATCACAATTGATGGTGATTTGGTGCTCGATCCCAACAAGACTCCGTGAATGGTGTACATTGGCTTCACTCTCGTCCTTGAGACCTTCAAGCCTGTTCGCCTCGTCAGTTGCCGTATATCATCGCCAAGACCAAGTTTTCATATGAAATGAACCAGAAGGAAGATGTTAAATTATTGAACATCTATAACTCAAATTGATGGTGTAATTTGAAGCCGGTGAAAATGCTGTTCAGACTAGCGCCAAGCGCGTTGCCCCGATTTCTCAAGGCATCGCGACATCGATTCGGAATCAGGCTACCAATCAGTTATCCGCGATGCAGCGCAGCCCACAGGCCAACAACTCAACCAATGAAGTGAAGCCGCAAGTGCAGGTCTTGAAGTGCGGTATAGGTAGGTAAGACACGACCCATGGGCTTGCAGCTGGATTTGGCAGCTGAGAGCATGGTATCTAAAGATAGAGCCTGATCGAAATTCGACGAGAGCCTTATGCCCTGCTCTCCCCCAACAATCTGCTTTTGTCCCTCTTTTCCCATCAACATCTTGTCGATTCTGCTGTCATGTAGACCTCGAAGCGGTATGGAAGGGATGAGCACTCCTTCAAATCAACGAATATGGCTGTATCCGATGCAGATTCAGAGCTGTGCGCAATCACTCCACTACTTGCTGATTACCGTACATATTTTCCACTGGACTAATTTTTCCTAGAATCGCACCAGTTGTGCAACCAGCTGCTGTGCTCGACGATCAAAATGAAACACCGATCGAGTCATCTACGACGACCGCAACATTGCCTGGAGTAGCTCCGAATGAGACCGTATATGATATCGACCGCCGCGATGCGGACCCTGTAGCCCCAGAGCAAAGAGCCGAAAGTTTTCAAGCCCAGCAATTTGCAGACAAAACCACCTTGTCAGGGTGGTTTCCCCAGATAAGAAGTGACGAAAACAGCAGTTGGCGCATATGGTTTTCACGAAGAAGCCGTGCTCTCATGATTCAGATTGGGATTATCGGCTTCATCCTGATGACGAATCTCGGTGTGACTATCTTTGCTGTCAAAAGCTACGGAAGCCGCAATGGTGTCGGGTTAATCTACGAAGGCGACTGCTCAACCGTGAAAAGGCTTGACCAATGGTTGCATTTGCTCATCAATTTGTTGGGAACAGGCATGCTGTCAGCTTCAAATTATTGCATGCAACTACAGGCTGCGCCAACGCGCGAGAACGTGAATGCTGCTCATGCGAAGCACAAATGGCTGGACATTGGCATTCCTAGCCTTCGGAATCTAAAATATATCAGCATGTGGAGACGATGTTCGTGGGCATTGTTGGCATTGACCTCTATTCCCATTCATCTCATGTAAGAATGCTCCAGCCCCCTTGCTTTTCGAGACATTCAGTCATCCGCTCACACCTGCAACGTGAAGATACAACTCGGCTGTGTTCCAGTCACTTTCATCTCACAATTACACCGTCGTCGTTGTCAAAGATTCCTTTTTGAACAACGCTTCATGGAGCTTGAAGACAGCAGAGGACAATCGAGCCGGCGACTACGGCTGGGAAGACACCCGAGTCAACCCCTCAAATTTAGACTACGAAGAAGTAGTAAGAGCAATACAGAGGAATGCTTCCATTTACGAAGAACGCAACATATCAGCTTGTTTCGACTTGTATGACGACTACTTTAATCCCCAAGGAAATGCAATCGTTCTAGTCAAGAATGAAACTTTACAGAGCCCGCCAGAGGATAGTCTGCTCATGTATGTTTCCATCGTCCCTCGTTCAGACGACTGGTCCAAGAACATGTGGGCTCTAGGTAATGGCACTGGTCACTTTGCGGCTTTGTCACCACCAAAGCCCGTGACCAAATGGTTCCTCGGGCCTCCATACTACGAGGTGTCACGATGTATCGTTCAGCCGCCAGAAGGGCTCAGCGCAAATTGTCGATTTGAGTATTCGCCTCCCATCATGTTCACTATCTGCATCATGAACATGATCAAAGCGGCCATCATGCTGTCAATATGGGCTCTGAGGAGATGGCAGAATCCCAGAAAGGAAAATCAGGCGAAGGAGGTCTTATACACCTTGGGCGATGCCATCGCCTCTTTCATGCGGGAACCATGCAAGCAAACGATCGATATGGGACTTGCGACAAAGTACGACTTTTTGACTACCCGAACCTTGCGCAACCGTTTTATTAGATCTCCTCCAACGATACTCCAAGAAAGACCTCGGCCGCGGGTTTATAAACAGAACCCAAAGCAGTGGAGATCCTCTGCAAGCCTCAGACGTTGGGTCATCATGCTGGCCATGTAGGAACACTGACCTTTTGCTTTCTGATACTGAATTCACTGACTTACTTTTTCTCAGGTGTCTTCTTGTAATCATAATCGCAGCTGTACTTTTAACGATGTCATTCGTAAGCCTAAGACAAAGAGGGTTTGGTGTAAAAATATCACAGTTGTGGAAGTTAGGCTTTGGAGCCTTGACGCCTTACACCTACTTGGTGATTAATATGCCTCGTACGGACCCAAGAGGGTTGATAGCTAATGTGCTACTGGCCAACTTGCCTCAACTCATCCTCTCGATCTTGTACATCGTCTACAATACTATGCTGAGCACCTTTTTAGTTCAAAGGGAGTTCAGTCGCATGTGGGATCCGGGCAATAGGAAGCCGTTGAGAGTTTCCGAACCAATAGGGATCCAACGATCAAGTTACTTCATTTCCTTGCCCTTGAGATATGGGATTCCACTTTACGCTAGCTCGGGCATCATGCATTGGCTGGTGTCACAGAGCCTTTTCTTGGCACGAATTCGAGCCATATCCACAGACGGGGGTGACGATGATGTCAACTCTTTCTCGACATGTGGCTATAGTCCTATAGCTGTATTTGTCAGTAAGTCGACTTCCAATGCCATTGCCCTCGAATGAGCCTGTGATTTCTGACCTAGAGGTTTAGCATTGCTTGCGGGGCTCCTTCTCGTCATCATCATCATCGGTATGGGGCTGCGGCGCTATGATGGCACAATGCCAATGGTGTCGACCAATAGTCTAGCAATAAGTGCCGCTTGTCACGTCCTGCAGAAAGATCAGGATGGCGGCTATTTGCTACCTGTTCAATGGGGAGTTCTCAGTATGACTGGGGGTGTTGGGAAGTGTGCTTTCACTACAGCGGCGGTCGACACGGTCAAGCTCCCAGAGAACGGCCCAGGTCGAGTCTACAGGTGATGGTGTGAGGGTCTTGAGGGCCCTGACTGATCAACTAATAAGCCCCGAATGCGAAGTCAAGGTCCAGGACTTGAACCCAAATCAAGCTTGTTCTCAATGGGCTGGACTTTACATGATGTAAGGTCAAGCTTTGGTGAACACCACACAGACACATCAGTGTCTAACTGTCACACCAGCTAGTTCAGCGTGGGCGAATTGCGGTCCAGGCCAGGGGCAAAAAGACGACATTGATATCCAACCCAAAGTCACTGTTCAGTCCACATGTCGGAAAGCTGCAAATGTAATTTAGAATGTAAGTCAACTAACACGGAGCATTTAACAAGACAATTGGTGCATATAAACAGATGACGACTCCCGAACTTCACTGGAGCATGATTAATGTGGTATTTTGACTAAAGCCACTCAACACGTGTGTAAGCTCCATTACCGACGCACAATTCTTCCTGAAGGCGAGCTCACTTCTTCCTTCATTGCCAAAATGTGACTGATTCCACAATGATTCAGGGGCTCTAAAGGTGATTCGTGATCATACGTCAGGATTCCTCAATCAAGTCACCTACTAATGACTGGCGTGTACATCTTGGACGACGTGTAATTGATATCATCGGATGAACTCAAACTGCCATTCTCGGAGACAAGTTCGGTGAAGCATCAATCTGCGGAACTCAGCATCCGGCCCGTGCTAAGTTATTCAGTCATGTCCATGCCCACCGCATTGCAAGGCGGAGTCTAGCTTCAAGTAGCTCTGCTGACACATCGACACTCAGCACAACGAGACTTTATTTGATGAATGGACGAATGTCTCAACAGATGGAATCCCGCATGAAATATCCGGCAAACTCTCTCCGGTGGGATCGCGAAAGTTTTGGCTGGTGGCGTGCTCACGTGCTTAAATCCCAAGCTGCAAACTCCACACCAGCCGAACGCGATGACTAAAGGATCACGAACTCGACCTGAACTATCGAGGTCTGGATCTAGTGTGGGGCTCCGATGCTGTACGAGCACGAGGCCCGGAAAGCTCATATGGTGAGGTTAAGCAACAGGGACCTTCCGGATAATTCATCGACATGTGCCCAGCTCGTAGGATGCCACCCAGCCGCAACGGGGCTGGGCTGGGCCGAGTTGGTCGCGAGCTCCTTTTTCCCACATTGCCGCCACATGCTGCCCGGTCTCGCTTCCTTCCTCTACTGCGCTGCCTTGGATGATGAGTCCTACATGAACCTCAATCGCGGTGTCGAGTGTATTCTCTCATACGGAAATGGATTCTGGAGTACTGGTAGCGCTTGTTGGCAACCGAAGTTGCCGGTTGATAGAAAGAGTCTTTCGGGTGATGCAGATCATGGTGTTGACGTCTGCCAAGTCAACTCAAAGTTGACATTCTTGCCCTTGTTTATAGGTGTGGAGGGGCTCGGTGACATTTCGCAGAGGAGTTCGGAGGTCCGAGCCAACTCAATTAGACTGTGAACAGTTTACGCGGCTACCAGTTGAGCTTCGGGATATGAAACAAGCGGGTAGGAACCACGATGTATGTTGAGAGGAGAGCCATTCAACTACTGTTTGTTGAGAAAGTTCATGGGTTTATGCCGCCTACCTCATGGTGTGACTAAGACCTACCAAAACAATCATCGACTTACGAAGCTGCCGGAGGGCGGATTTCCGGCCAAAGTTATTTCCCTCACTTGACCTGCTTCAGCCTTTCTTGACAGTAGTAAGCGGCCTGCTCCGCATCTAGACCTGATTAATCGGCATGAAAACGAGATTTAGCTTTCGGATCCTGGAAATTGGATTGCAAGCGGCTCATTGCGAAGGGCCTGGCCTATCGAAACATCATTTGAGCAAATGGATACTGTTGATAGAGAGTATCATTTCATGTATTTGAGGTCTTGCTAGGTTTTGCAGAGCTTTGAACGGACGAGGTGTTTGTTCCGCTTGAGCGGTTCTATTAAAGACACACAGGAAGCTTCGGGTACTAAATCCCCCTGATTGTCTCTCGGACGTTTGCTTTACGAAGCGCTGTCAACCAAACTGTCAAAAAGCACTGATGCAAATCCTACATTTGGTTCTTGCACCACTGTTCATCTGGATGAAAACTGATTCCGCGGGTGTCTCACTCCAAGTTTACCAGCGGCTGCAAACCGTGGACGATAACCTGTCTTCCCCTCACATCCGAATGTTCCCCCTACCATAGATCGGATGGCTGAAGTTGGTGGGCGGCTCTGCTTAGCTATGCACGCAGATAACTCTAATCTTCGGATTCCTTACTCAGAGGCTTTTTCTTTGCGTGATTTAAGCCTTTGCAGATCATAGCTTCCTTCCATGGATGGCCTTGGGTAGGGGTTGAGTTTTGGTACTGAGCGGCTGACTGGACTATCACCACACCTCGCGTTGTCGTCCGCATCTCGCGTTGCCGTATTTGCAACTAACAAAGTGCAAGTTATTACCGAAGCCGAGTTCAGTTGGGCGCAACTCAGCCGCGGATTACTATGGAAAGAAGTAGCTTGGAGACATCGTTCCTATTCTACGCCAATGGCAATTTCATTCATCTCGACTATAAGTACGTTGTCCTCGATTCACCTTGATTTTTTTTTCTTCATCACATCATCACCTTTAGTGGATTAACTCAAGCATCACTTCAACAACTCAACTTGAACCTTCTCTTTCATCTTCAAATCTGCAATAATGCATATTCCGTCTTTCAGCCAAACCGCCACGATCGGCATGGCTTTCTACGCCATCGCTGCCGTAGCTGCACCGGTAGCCCAGCCAATCGCTGAGCCTGGGTTTGAGACAGGTGACCTTATCGAAGTAAGTCTAAAGCTATCCTATTCACTCTTGTTCAGAAAGATTCTGACATTTAGATAGCGTGCTCCTGAGGCAGCTGTAAGTACACGTAACTTCTAGGTGAGCACATAGTCCCACTCGCCTTTAACCCTGATTGCTCTCCCTTCTTGGCCTCATTTCCCCTCATAAGTCACTTACTGACTATTTGCAACAATGGTAGCCTGGTGTTGATTTACCGGTACGACTCCCTCTCAGTGATCAAATTGCCCTACTGACGTGGTAACCCTTAGACCCTACGCGACGCCATCGCGGCTCGCGATGAACCAAGCGAAGGATCACAACTCGAAGCACGCGATGACAAGAAACAGAACAACCAAGATCAATACCATAATAACAGCAAATGCAAGCGCGGTAAGGGAGGCGGCAGAGACGAGGGTTGCGACTACGGCGACTATGGAGGCTACGGCGGTGGCAAGGGAGGCGGTGGATACGGCGGTGGCGGCTACGGAGGTGGTGGGTACGGTGGTGGTGGATACGGCAACGGAGGCGGCTACGGCAATGGCGGTGGCTACGGCCACGGCAAAGGCGGCCACGGTCTTCAGGGCTCCGACGAGGCAAAGAGCGATCAGAAGGACAACGACCTCGGCAAGCGAGATGAGGCCGGTCTTCCCGGTGAAGATAAGAATAAGGAGGGTGGAGTTGATATCCTCAACAACAAGGGCGGCGGCGGTGGCTACGGAGGATACGGCGGCGGAAAGGGTGGCGGATACGGCGGGGGCGGATACGGTGGAGGTGGGTATGGTCACGGGGTCGGCGGCTACGGAGGCGGTGGCTACGGCAACTGCAAGGGTGGATACAAGTGCGGCGGAGGGTACGGTGGTGGAGGGTACGGCGGCGGCGGATACGGCGGCGGAAAGGGAGGCGGATACGGTGGTGGCTATGGTGGCCATGGTCACTAGTAGGGAGATGAGAGGGGTCCAGATGATGGCTGAGGTTCATCGTCGAAGCTCCTTCGAAATCTCTCTGTCGAGGATGCTCGGGCATCGGCCTTACAAACACTAGGTTTTACTATGCCTGATTGCCAGGGTCTGGGTCGGAGGAAATTTGGCTACCAGAAAAGCTTCTGTCAGATTATATTCAGTGTATATACTTTAACAAATCTCAATTCACTTGAATTTCACTCATATCAAATGACATCTTTGCTCATAGTCTCTAGACATTATACATCCCTTGGGTTGGTGACAACTAAGGTCAGACCTAATACTCTGCTTCTTGGGTTTGGATCCACAGCATGTTGGGACTGTCGAAAGTTGCGTTGGGTGTTACCCGAAAGCAAGTTGTAGAACTTACTCGACCAAAATCTCCTCCAACTCCGTTGAGATCTCGTCCCATGCAGACTTCAACATCCTGCCCACGCCAGCTCGTTGAACAACCGGAACAGCCTTTGAATCTTGTCCATTCGTGTCACTGCGATATATCAACATCACGTTGACAGCCTCCCAAGGTTCCTGGCCTGCATGGGGCGAGAGCTCCTCTCCCGAGAAACCGTACGCGTCTGAGAGAACAACAAACTCATAGGACCCTCTCAGCTTCTGCCTATAGCCTTTTGGCATCAAGACAGACCCAAGCCATTCATCCTCACCTCCGTCCTTTGGGGCGGTAGAGTGCGTGATACCAAAGCGAACAGGGTGTGGTTCCTTGACATCCGGCAGCGAGGGTGGCTTCAGGGCTCCGCTCCTATCGTGAAGAGTAAGCCTGAATTTCCCGACCCTGGTTCGTAGTCGTAAGTGAAAGCCGTGCTTTTCTGAATTCTCTTTCTCGCTCAGCTCAAGAGAGACGCCCCAGCCAGCTGGACGAACCCGATCGAACGGACTCTCGAGGGCAGGCAAGCCGTTCCAGTCGTCAAGGTCGTCAAAGCGAACGGCTCCCGTCCAGCCCGCCCACGACCATGACGGATAGAGAATAAGTGGCGGATCGGACTTGTACTTGACTACCCTGCTGAGTTCCTGTCGCGGCTGCCACAACAGAGAAAAAGCAAGCAAATCTTTCGCCCAGGTACCCCATACAAAGACGCCTTTGTACTCGGGCACTTTTTCAATGACGTTCAAGATACCCTTGAAACCATTGACGCGGTCATCGGTGTGACTCATCTCGCGTGATGTGTACTCCGTGACCATACGATAGTAGAATTCGGGCGAGATGCCTAGGCGATACTGGTGCCGCCGGGTCAGAGTCGGCGGCGCCTCCCCGCGAGACAAGGTGATATTCTGTTGGGAGGCGCTCTGGGTGACGTCGTCGCGAAGCATGTTGAAGTCTTCGCTGCAGGTCATCTGGCCGCACTGGAAATAGACCGTGTTGTCGGTGAAGAAGACGAGCCTACGTGAGAGTAGTCGTTCCTGGTACGTCCAACCGCGCGTGTTCCAGTAGATTTGCTGAGCCCCATCCTCGAAGTCGGGGACTAGCGAGAGGAGTGTGAGGTCTGATGAGTACTCGGCGGTATGCTGCTTCTTACTCCTGTCAATTCCACAAATGCCAGATAGTCGAGCATTCGCATCTTCGCCATTGGCGGAAACAATCGTGAAAGAGGCTCTGCTATAGATAACGTCCATGAGCGCAAGCTGTACCTTGTTATCGTCATCATTGCCCTTCTGAATGATGCAGAGTGAGTCGATCCACAGATATCGGTGACCGAGAATGGTAGTCAGCTTGATGGAGTCTTGAATCGTCTTGGGCAGCTTGTCGAAATTGTTGCTCAGTCCGCCAGGCTTGAAGAGTTCATCAATGTTATCAGTTGTGAGTTTGTAGTTCACTGCCCCTCTACCCCAGACGTAACTCAGTGCGACGAATGCAGGAAGATTAGACTTCTGTACGAGGCAATTGTCCTTGAGATCCAAAAGTCGAATGAATGGCTCAATGGGGCCGACGGCGTGCTCATCCTTGCGCCAGCAAACGATGTGGTGTTTCTCTTCGCAAGTCCGCAGCCATGTCTTGAGAAGGTCGCCGTCAATAGACCTTTCGTCGATGAATCTTCCCTTGAACATATCGTCCTCGGACTTGTTCGCCAGAGGAACAATATCAAACGGGGCGAAAGCGTCCTCCCATCCCACCATCTCCGGAGCAATCCGTAACCTCAATGTGTTCATCGTAGTCTTCTCTGTGTCCTTACTGTCGGTCCCCTCAAAGGTCACATCCGGGACCCAACAGCCTAGAACCTCCACGTCGTCTTTGTAGTTGTTTGTAGAGACGGATGAGGCGATCATCTTGCAGAACCTACAGTAATCGCTCCGTTTGATAACGTCTGATAAAGTACCAAAGTGCCAATCGGGCGGCAGCTCCTGCTTTTGAGGCCTAGCTGCGAAATCAGACTGTTTGAGATTCATGACGCGGTGTCTTGAGCAGAGACGCAAGCTTGGGTCCTCGGGCGGGAGCTTCACGTCGCGATCCCATGCCCTTGAGGACGATTCTGGCCCCGCTGTGAAGCCATTGCTTGCTGAGTCTCCCAGGTCGAGTCTCATCGTTGGTGTTGCCTGTGGTCACGCAAGAAAGATTCTGTGCGAGCAGCGTCGTGAATAGCAGCACTAGAAGGAGGAGTTGGGAAAGAGAGAGACATCCGAAAGTGCGGGCGCTGACATTGATGAGCATTTCAAGCTGGGGATAACTGAGACCTACCGATTTAGCGCCGTGTCTGCATCGCGGGGTAATCAACCCATGAGACCGAAACCAGCAGCCCGTAGACCCAAGATGAGGCGCACAAGAACATCAATCATGTCTCTCTACGGGCTCTGGCTTGGATGATCGCCCGAAATAGCTACCTCTACACTAAGCTTCCATCAGACTTATCTTGCTTTCTGGTGGCCAAACCGTCCCCAAGCGCAGCAGCCAGATCGTCGATAGTCGTCCCCCGTTTCCTCCCCCCAACCTTCTCGGCACCTAGGACGGGATCATCCGCCATGGCCTGATACAATTCCGCCATGTCGCGAAACACATCATTCTCAGCCTCAAAGCCGCCCTCAGCGCGGTGGGTATCAGAGATCTCCTCCATCTCCCGCACCCACCGGTACGACTTTGGCGGCACAAGCGGGACAGACTTTTCAGCAAAATCGAGCAGGCCCGGCGCGGCCTCACTCATCTCGTTGCGCAGCTCATCCACGACACCGAGCTTGGATGCTGTGGTGAATGCCTGAATCGCCAAACCCATGAAGCCCTTGGTCGTCGTCGCGAAGCACATCTTCAACCCGCTCGCTGCGCCGACCTCGGGTGAGATGTGGCGCATGTTCAATGCCTCTGCGAGCTCTGGGCATGCTTCGCTGAGGGGATACTGTCCGGATACCGGCATGCTTGGGACGTACCATTGCTCCGCTGCGCCATTGGGCTTGAGCTTTGGCGGCCCGCCGATGATGCAGCCGTCGACGAAGCGGACGGGACTGCTTGCCTCTTTGAACATCAGGCTCATTTGCTTGCAGGTGGCTGGCGAGACGGCATTCAGGTCGGTGAAGTAGAGCGGCCTTTCTAGTTTTGTTGCTGCTGCCGCGTCGATGATGCGTCGGGCGATGCTGAGCGCGTCTCGCGGCGGTGCGACGGAGAGGATGAACGGTCGTGACTCAACAAGGTGAACGTCGGAGCTTAGGACCTCAACGTTGGCGCTGCGGGCTCTGGCGATTGTTGCCGGGCTACCATGATGTAAGTCCATAGCTAACAGAAGAAGGTCCTTCTCAGAATAAGTTCGATTTCATTCTCACCTTCTACCTTCACTATTTGTGGCGACTGAGAAGCCTTTGGAGACAAGCAGTTTGGCGATGCCCATCCCCATGTCTCCGATGGAAAGGATCCCAATCTTCGGGAGTGAGAGCGTCATGGCGAAGAGCGGCACCGACGTCCTACAATTATCGAGTTCAATAATTGATTGATAATGACGCCCTCAAAGATGACTGCGGATTATGCCAAGCTGTTGAGCCCTCGTGAGTTCGGCGATGATGATGAATGAGCAGTGTTGCGAGGCGGGCACCCCGGCAACTCTCGCCGGTCGGAGGACTGTACTTGTACCTAGCTCGGGAATAGTTACCGAGACACCCAGCTTAGCAATCGCCTCACATGCGATCTTCAGCCACATACGGCACTTTAATGTGAGCTTTCTCGCGCCTATTTGTCATTTCTGCTTACAAATGGAGCATCTCGTTATGAGATTTCCAAAGCAATTCTTTTCATCTCAAGGTGCTGCATCAGGGTGCATTGAGTTATTGGCGTCTGTTTTCCAAGATCAGCATCCTCTAGGTAGTCAAGCAACTTCAACTTGCACATAGTACTGACTGAATTGAACAGTCGACCTCAAATTTGTTTAGCAACGAATGCCCAAAATGCTAGGATTACATCTCAGACTCACTACAATCACTTCTTTGGCTCAAACTTCAACCTCAAAAGCCCCTTGGCATTCCTCCACGCAATTCCTTCCCACTCATCCTCACTCACAAGCCCACTGCCCTTCAGCTTATCCATGAACTCCTTTCCAGCACCATTTCCGGCAAACGGATAATCAACACTAAACATGATCCTCTCAACCTTTGTCTCCTGCAACAAACACGCCATCGGTGCCAGCGAGAACATGCCGCTCGTCGTAATCCACACATTCTCATCCCATACCTGTCTCAACCCGCGCTTTCTCTCTCTGGCCCCCGGCGCCGGCCAGCTCGCAGACATACCGATGATGCGATCCAGCATGAACGGGAGCATCTCGCCCATGTGGCCGAGTATGATTTTGAGCTTCGGGAATTTGTCGAATACGCCGGCGGCGAAGAGGCGGAGGAAGTGGAGTCCTGTTCGGGAGTGCCAGCCCCACCCCCAGCTCCCCAGCGCCTTTGCGATCTCGGGGTCGTAGGGACCTTGGAAGTTGACTTTGGATTCCTCCTCGGATGGGAAGGTTGGGTGGAGGTAGAATGGTACGTCTATATCCTGTGCGGTCTCCCAAAGAGGGTAGAAGTCGGGCGTATCGAAGAAGCTGCCGTCGTCGAGGTGGTTTCCCGTGAGTGTGCCTACGAAGCCTAGATCCTGGACGCAGCGCCGGAGCTCAGCGGCGGCCGCGGCAGGTTCGTGCATCGGCAAGATTGCAAAGGCGGCGTACTCGGCCGGACGGCGGATGATCTTGGAATGTAGATCATGATTAATGGCTTTGCAGGTTTCGGGATCGGGATGAACTGGTGAGTGAGAGAGGACCGTCATGGCAACGGAGTTGTCGGCCATATCACGGAGACGCGCCGGGCCAATGTCCCCCAGCTTTTCCACTATGACGGGCCCGAATGTGTCGGGACTTGTGGCCCCGCCTTTCTTGGCCTCGAGGAGGGGAGAAACATAATGTTCTTCGAGCGCGATGAGGTTTGCCATGGTGATCAATGTTTGAAGATTACAGTACGTGTGTCCCCGATGTGTCTGGGTGTGTGGTCGTAAAAGTTATTGCAAGTCTACCGATGCTGCCAGGCGCCACGCCATTTCGTACATGTGCTACACACCCGCTCCTAGTGACGTCTTTCACGAGAGGAGAAATGTCGAAACGCAACAAAGCGCTCGGTGTTAGCTGTTAACTACTCCGGCCGTTCTTGAAGAGCCTCTGCCGTAGTCGACGTAGATCGAACTCAATACAGAGCGATGGAGTGTACGGATAGCAGGCCAGCTTATGGGACGAAAGTGCAATTGCCGAGCAAGCACGCCATCTTTCACACCTAGCTCCAATGTGGTACCTAGTTTCTTGCCCGGCGCGGCCCCAAGCTGGCCGCCGACCCCGTAACTGCTTGAGATCACCAAGCCATGAAAATGATTTGCCTTGGACAGGACTATCGCAGTCCTACACTTTCACTGCAATCTTCACACCAACGGACGCTGTTCAAAGTCAGACGCTTTAGTTAAACAGGACCAATCACAGCCTTGCTGTTTGTGCGTTTGGTTCTCTTCACTGCATTTTTAACTCCTCCAAAGGGAATCTCGCCAGCGATGCCAACGCCACGGTCTCGCTGGGGACCAATGAGAGCATTACTCAGCCCAACCTCGTCTTCACTGCAAATAAGACCGCCCTGAAAGACGTGGATCGCAAAAGTCGAGCGACTAAGCGTAGACATTTACACATGAATTTGGGTCGCTGCCACTCTCGCCAAATCCACACTGCGCTGTTGGTGATCGATAGCGCCCGGTTTTTATCCCGCCTCGGCCGACTCTGCCCGCGATCTGTCATTTGATGCGGCGTGGAAAACACGTGGAAATATAGATTGTCGGACAGCCTCTATGTTGATTCTGCCCAGTGACATGATGCCATTGAAGGCAGACGGAATCATATAACAACAAAGTCAATGCCCTATCACGTCTGGAACGAACGACACAGGACTCATGGACCCCTTGGTTCCAACCGTCCCAGCAGCACTGCATATTTAACCCACCCAGAGGGTGTTCTATTCCCTGCCGGCCAAGCAAACCTTTGTAGCTAGGGATTGATTGCACTGCAATTTTGACCACCGCTAAGGCAACTACCGATACATCCATCCATCAAAAGTGCAAGTTGGAAAGATCGCACAGCTCGGTCAAATCAAGTGAACAACGAAAACTCTTCGCATATGAATATGAGGCAGTAATGTTTAGCAACAATATATGTACATCTCCCCATGTGTAAGGCATGTTGGTTGATCAGACGGGTCGGAAAATCAAACCCGGGTTCGGATCCGGCTCTCGTATGTTCTCTCCGGCATCGAGTGCCGGCAGCGGAAGCAACCTTCGAATTCAGATCAAGTCTGGCGGCCTGCGACAGCCAAAGAGGGAAAAGCGAGCGCCGGGTAAATAAAACTGATCGTAAGCCGACACGGAACCGGAACTGCTGTCTACGAAATTCTCATCTCCGAGCAATGAACGGCAAGCCGGCACCACTTCCCGGATGGCATGCAGGCATGGGATGGGGACCCCCGAACGACGATGGTCGCAAATCGAGCAGAGCAGAAGAACAAGCTACCAAAGCTCGAATCAGAAAGCAGTGACATGCAGTTTGCTCACTGAATTGACACAAGAAAACGCATTATCTCTGAGCTCTCAGCATCAAATCTCAAGTGTCTCGACGGCCCGCTCCGATCGTGAGAAAAATTCTGCAAATGTTTCCACAAAAAGACGTAATGAAAACTAGGGAGAAGAAATTTTCGAGCTTGGGGATGGGATGAGTTGGGATGGGAGCTTGGGGCAAATATCCTCTCGCCTCGCTAGTCGCTAGAACGCCGCGCCCGCGGTCCATCATCAGACTTGTTGGAGCCCGGCGGGAACGCCAAATGAGGTAGATCAAGGAACGAAATCCTGCGAGTCACCTCTCGTTGCTCGACCTAGCGCGGTCTGGTCTGCTGTATTGTCACTCCAAGGCGCGGCGTACAAGGCTTCTTGGGCGTCGTAGGGCTGACAACGACAGCAAAAATTACAGTGTCCTCTTGGTGACGACAATGGCGGTCGGCTGCGGGAGACCGCGGTGCTGCAACGTATCACCCACCGGCCGGGGTACACCGATCGTTTGGGGGGACATGTCCGAGCTGGAGAAACGGGAGAGTCAGACTGCCCAGAGTCGAGACAAACTTGGCAAAGACCGACAAGCTCATCAATAGGATCGGTTGGAAGAAGCTTGGTATCTCTAGCTGAAAATGGACAATGGTGGTGAGAAAAATGTTCGAGAAAAATTCTACCCGTCCAGCAGCTGGGCAGAGCTTGCGGGTGCCGTGACTCTGCAGGAATTGGACCATCATGATTGGCCATGCGGAGAGAAAAATCGGAGATTTTCCAAGGGAAAAAAGAGAAGAAGACGAAGGGAGCTCGGTCCAAGCTCGGTGGGAATCGGGTGGCGCGAGGGCGGCGGCGTGGGAGGACTCGCAGACTTTGATCTCTTTGGTGACTGGGCAGCCAGCCATGGGAATAGACACGCTTATGCCGGCCGATCGGACGAACTGCAGGCGGCGGCGAGGGCGTCGACGTGCCGTGCAGCGGAATGGCATGTCATTGCCTGCTTGCTTGCTACAGCTGCTGATCTCCACGCTCCATTTCCCACATTGCTCTTGGTCGACAGGCAGACCCCCTGGACAACGCCGTTGTTACCCGTGGCCGGCCGACTCCCGAATCGCACTACCAGGGCGTGATGGAGCCTTTGAGCGTGAGACCATCGCGTCTCCATCGGCCAACCCGCAACGAGCGAAGCCAAGGAGAGGGTCTCGAGCGAGGCCTTTGTGTGTGTATGACTGTGTGTACGTGCGAGTCTGTCCAGCCGCCAGCGCGGTCCACTGCTCGAGATTTTTCCAACCATGGCCACCGTTACCGGTCGCGATGAGTCGACGCGGAGTGGAACCTGTTGGGTAAGAGAAGGCCCGTATTGTATTTAATCATGCCATGAGCTTTTCGTTCGGGACCGCACCTCTCCTGTTGTCCCCCCAGGTTTTCGTTTGCACATGCGTCCGGTGATTTCTGGAGAAGCGAATCAACAGGCTTCCTTCGTCCCCTCAATTTTTTGAGTGTGCTCATTGCTTCTGGCCACGGTCGACGAGACTTGTCGCTCTAGTCCGTGAACGAAGCGTACCCCGTGCCGACTTCGAATTACCAAGCCAAACATAGCCATCACCATGTTCGGCTCCAAGGAAAAGACTCCTCAGACGAGTGAGGGCGAGGTTACTCCCACCAATGCCTCCAAGACCGATTTGGAGAATGGCGAGACGGGTGGTCTTCAGCGAGACCTCAACAGTCGTCACCTGCAGTTCATTGCCATCGGTATGTCACTTTAATCGAGTCTCGCCTCGTGCAAGGGTCGCAGTTGTTCTGACACATCGTCGCAGGCGGTACTATCGGTACTGGTCTCTTCCTCGGTAGCGGTAAGGCCATCGCGACATCCGGCCCTGTCGGTTGCCTGATCGCCTTCATCTTCATCGGCTCCATCGTCTACTCCGTCATGACGGCGCTTTGCGAGATGGCCACCTACATTCCCGTCCCCGGTGCCTTCACCTCCTATGCCTCCCGATTCATCGACCCCACTCTCGGCTTCGCCATGGGCTGGATGTACTGGTTCAGCTGGTCCATCACCTTCGCTCTCGAGTTGACTGCTGCTGGTGTCATTATCCAATACTGGAACGACAGCTTGAGCATTGCCATCTTCATCAGTGTCTTCTGGGTCGTCTTCACTGCCCTCAACTTCATGCCCATTCGCATCTTTGGTGAAGTTGAGATGTGGTTCGCCAGTATCAAGGTCGTTACCATTGTCGGCTTCATCATCTTTGCCATTTGCATCAACGCCGGCGTCGGCCAGCAGGGGTACCTGGGCTTCAAGTACTGGGTGAGCCCGGGTGCGTTCAACGAGTCCATTGTTGAGGGTTCCGTTGGCAAGTTCATCGGTTTCTGGTCCGTCCTGATCACCGCCGGCTTCAGTTTCCAGGGCTCCGAGTTGGTTGGTATTGGTGCTGGTGAGACCAAGAACCCCGAGAAGAGCGTCCCCAGTGCCGTCCGCTGGACCTTCTGGGGTATCTTCAGCTTGTTCGTGGCGACCATCTTCTTCGTTGGCATCATTGTGCCGTCCGACAACCCATCGCTTCTGCTCGATTCTCAGGATGCGTCAGCGTCTCCCTTGGTTATCGCTGCCAACTTGGCTGGTGTCAAGGTTCTCCCCGACATCATCAACGCCGTGCTCCTGACCGCCGTTCTCTCCGCCGCCAACTCCAATGTCTACTCTGGCTCCCGCATTCTCGTCTCGCTCGCCAACGAGAGATGCGCTCCTCAGTTCATGACCTACACCAACAGATTTGGAACTCCCTACTTCGCAGTTGCCACTACATCTGCCGTCGGTCTGCTCGCGTACATGAACCTGTCGTCCAACGGCGGTGTTGTCTTCGACTGGCTTTTGAACGTTACGGCCGTCGCTGGCTTTATCAGCTGGTCGTGCATTAACATCTGCCATCTGCGCTTCATGGCCGCCCTCAAGGCCCAGAACATCCCACGTAGCAGCCTGCCTTACCTTGCGCCGCTTCAGCCTTACCTTTCTTGGTACGGTCTCTTCTTCAACGTCCTTATCATTCTGACAAACGGATTCGCCGTCTTCATCGAGTGGAGCACCAGTGACTTCTTCACTGCGTACGTCAGTGTCCTCCTGTTTATCGTCCTTTTGGTCGGTCACAAGATCTTCAACCGCACGATGCCCCTCAAGGCCATCGATGCCGATGTCACGAGTGGCACTCTGCGATCGCAACCATGAAAATGACGGAGGACGATGTGAATGAGCAAGGACGGAGATCAAAAAGTAATCTGATTTAACATTAGTAGAATTGTTGTAATGATGATACCCATGAGTTCAACAAATGCAGCCTAGAGACAATTCCAAGTGACTGATGAGTAGCTCCGTTCCCAGAAGATCACCGACCAAGAGGAAGCCGGCGTGACTTTGGAGGACGCCAGCTAGATCAAGAAACGATGCTGTAGAGACCAACAGCACCGCCAAGGCCGATGGCAATGCCTCTTCCCAGATTGTACAGGCCCCATTGGTCCACGAGAGATTTGGCGCCCTCCTCCTCTTCTTGGGTCAGACCAATGGCCATGATGCCCATATGCTTGGCTTCCTCGGCCTTCTTGAATAGCTTCTTGTTGATGCTGACCATGAATAAGCTGGTCCAGGGGACCATTGAAAAGCAAAGAGCACCGGCAGCGGCCAGTAGCTTCGATTTGCTGGGGAGGTGGCGCACGGCATAGGCCATGTACCAGTAGCTCAATGCGCAGAAGAGGGTCGGTAGCGGGAAGACCCGACTGGTCCGCTTGAACATGTTGGACCACTGTCGTAGCATGAGGGGCGTGGGCGACTCAAGGAGGCGGGGTACGACAAAGAAGGAGAGGCCCAAGTTCAGGCCGGCGAGGGTTGTGTTGAGGAAGACGGTCGACGTCTGGATGTTGCGGAGCGGGTTGGGTTGGGAAGACATGGTGAAATTATTGTCTTTGTATGTAGCTCACTCCGAGTCGGTTCGAGATATTGGCGATAACGATGCTGATGAGGTTGAAGAGGAGAAGATGACATGAGGATGTTGAGGAGGCTGAGAGCGACAAGGATGGCAAGTTACCTATGCTTGAGCTTGAGGTCAGACCTGGAGGCAGGAGCAAAGTCCGGTCCTGCAGCGCGGGACGCGGGAAGCGGCGGGGTTCTTGCCAAGTGGGGGCAAACAGTTCACTGGCTGCAGGTGGCAGGTGCATGTCACTCTGTGGGGAAGACCGAACCTTCCTCCCCACTAATTAGGTACCTTATCCCATAAGGGTACGTACCTCGTCGACGGCACTGCTTAATTGAAGTTCATTCAGCTTGACTTTTCCTCACTGACTTGAAGGAAGATACATGAGGCGGCAAGCCTGGCTCAGCTGGTTGTTCTTTGTGTTCTTATCACATCAAAGATACTTTAAGTGGGCATAATCGCAGAGTCTCTCTTGGTATATGCGTAAGGTAGGTAGACGATTTTACGAAGAGACGCCATGTACAGAGAAGGTCGAACAATGATTACTTGTCTCTTGAACATGGACGGGTTTCATCCAGTGAAAATTTTGCTTTGATTTGAAATGCTATCTTACAAAGGTTGCGAACTTGCAATCTCGAAGGCCTGCTGCTAGAAGAGCAGCCCCACCTGACCTTGCAATCTGTTAGAAGAAGAAAGTAGTACAAATATATATAGAGGCATCCAGAGACTCGATGAGTAAGATCCATCTTTGCCTATCCTGCCATGTCTCATGTAATCATGGCGCTCAGGCTATTTACGACAGAGTTTACCAGTCGTCAAGTTGTAGTCCCACTTGTGACTTCCGACTCCCGACCGGACATAGAGGCTGGCCGTGGGATCGTACTTGTCTTTGATCTCAAGCAAGCGGTCATAGTTGCCACCATAAAAGTCCTGTTGAAAGTTGCCGTTGAATGGATTGGCCTCGTTGATGTACGCGCCCGTCCCTGGCGCCCACTTCCGCCACACGGCTTCCTTGTTCTCTTCTGCCCAGGCCGCAGCAGTGGCCAAAGCATCTTGTGGTGTAGTGTCCGTCGTGTTGATATACGTCCCAGAGCTGATGAGGTGGATGTAGGCGCTTCTCCAAGCAGGAGTCACAGCGCCTCGCATGCTCGCCTCAACCTGACGGGGTCCCAGTCCGCCCTGAAGCCCATACACCAGTGCAGCAGTACCGCCTCTCACCTGAGACTTGGTGATGTCTTGCAAATGGGCTCGAAGTTCTCCCAGGGGAATCTCAGTCAGCTCGCTGCGGCCGAGCAGGCGGCTTGAGATGAGACTGATCTGCGCCACCGGAGTGGCAGGATCGTTGAGGTCATCGACGAACGAGAGGTACGTGGGAAATACTGTCGGCTCGGCGATTACCACCGAGAGAGTGCCATTCCCACTTTGCAACATGCGTGCTCGAATTGGATTCAGAAGGGAAACGAGATCGGTCGCTGTGGTGTTGTAACCGAAGAAAGTAAAGGTTGCTCCGATCCCCTGAATGACGCCGCTGGAAGACTTTGGCGAAACATTCAATGTTGCTGCGTTGCCAAAGCCTGCTACGCCAGCGTCCATCAGATCTGGGAGGGCACTGGAAAGTAATGCCATGGCGTCCCAGGATGCGGCGGCAGAAGATCCAGTGTCGTTTCCACTCATACTCAGGGACAAAGTTGTCTGGACGACGTTGCTAGGGATGGGGTGTGTGCGAAGGACGAACTCCGTGACGATTCCATAGAGACCCGGCCCGCCGCCTCGGATAGCCCACAGCAAGTCCTGGTTCTGAGACTCGTTCGCCACGAGAATGTCTCCGGCTGTCGTGACCACTGTAGCCTGCAGGACCTGGTCAGCGGCGAGGCCATAGTGGCTCGAAAGAGGACCATGACCACCGCCGCCGATGAAACCGCCGAGACCGACTGTCTTGACCTGGCCGCTGACAAGTATCCTTCCGGTTGCGGCCGTTGCCTCCATAGCGAGCCCCCAGTTGTTTCCGCTTCCAAGAATAGCGACGTTTTCTGTCTTGTTGGTCGACGGTCGTGGCCACTGGCTGTCCAGTTTGATGCTTCGAAGCTGGTGGGTCCAAATCGACAGCGAATACGCGCCGCTAGATCTAAAGGTGTGTTAGTTTTCTCAATGATAAGTAAGTAAGTGCTTTACACACACCTTCCGTTCAGGTCATGCCCGGTTCCTTTGGCAATAATGCGGATGTTTCGCGCGCTAGCCCACCTCACAGCCGTTGCGACCTGTTCGGCAGTCGTAGCATTGAGGATGAACTCGGGCAAGCCTCCAAGTGTACATCCATCGTTCCTGTATGCGTAGTCGCTCGGAGGTACACAGGAGTTATTAGCCCAGAATGGATAGTCGATGGACTCCGGAAGCCCTGCATGGAATGCGGAAGAGGACCAGCCGTCGTCAACAGTGTCGCAGGTCAAAGTGGACGAAAAGGGGTTGCCATCGTAGCAAGAAGACGCCACAGGTCGTGTTTTGGTCAAGGCGCCCCCAACAGACTGGTTCAGGGCAGTCCACTCGCTATCTGACGGCCAGGTTGTGTCGTATGGGGTGGTTTTGCAATGCGAGTAAGCCGAGACGATGCCCGACAGGAGTAAGGTTATGGGCAAGTAGCGAATGAACATGGCGGGCGTTCTTCCTTGAGTTGGTTGTCCCTTTGACTTAGCTGAAATGATGATGGTAGCTCCGCTGCATTAAGTATGTTATCAAGCTTGAGGTTTCTGAGGGACTTCGAGAAGAGCAACAGGCTACCGGTCAAGTCTGGAATATTATTTGATGCCTGAGTGAGCCTGATACACGTATAACCATAATTTGTTGTGTAAGTACGTGAGCTAGAAAATGATTACATGCCCTCGGGGTCCCCGATGACCATCTCCTCTGATCAATGAATAATATTACGCGTCGCCTGTGTATCCATTATGGGCGATTGTATTGACCGCGTATCGGCGTCCACGCGGAGTCAAATTTCATCCCAGAGAGGCCAAATTGAACGTCGGATTGATCGCTCTGGCTCTGCCCCTTTTCAGCCCATGAAGTGGCAGCGTGGCTAAGTGAGTCAATGCGAAGTTAGCCTAGCTAGACAAGATGCCGAACCCGCGTTCCCGCAGGCCCATTTTATGCTCCATCAGGGCAGCCCATCTCGTCCAGAACGTCGAGATTCCCGAAATTATAGATCAATCACGAACATGCGACTGATACTTCCATATCACTCTGATGATCGTAATCCAAAAGCTGCTAAATTTCTGACTAGTTTGTCGCATCTCATCACCAAATTTCTCTTGTAAGGATGGTAAACTGATGAATATTGTGTTTGTTATTTGACAACGTACGATATGATTGCCGCCGGATAGAGACATTCTAACGCTCAATTACCAAAAACACCTCACGATTCTCATATACCAGGGTTCATGGCGGTGCGCGAGGTCTTGGACAAGTCATCAAATAGAATACTAGCAAACGTTAAAAGATATTGTGATGTTCCGATATGATCAACTATAACTACAAAAGGCTTTGCGATGAGGAGATTCAACCAATTTTATTTTAGCTCGCGATCTCAATTTAGGCACGGCTACCATTTCCGTGACCATATAGAGGATAGCTATCGGCCCCATTCGATGCAAACTCTTCGTCATCCTTCAAGTTCCCATGGTCGTCCAGTACCCTGCTGGGATGAAAGACGGAGAAGACCATCGAAACCACGGTCATGAGAAGCGCATCCAGCACGTAAACGTAAATCTCCTTCTGAATCAAGCTGCCGTCGTGGCCTTGCGCATATTCTATCATGCGAAAGATAGAGCGGACCATAATGAGCAAACTCGAAAAGTAAAGTACCCATATGAACTTCTGCCACGGAATTTGTGTATGCATAGATTTCGTCGTCGGTTTCAAGGTGATTCGAATGTGGAAGACGGTCGTGACGATCATGAAGAAGCCGAAGAAGACGACTTGTATACCTAGGCCGAGAAGAATGACGTTGTTGCCCATGTTTTGTGATGACTCGGATTTCGCGGTTGCAAGGAGACCACCACCTAAGATTCGAATTCAGTCCTCCTTCAATGAAAGCCTGAGAATGAAGAGGCTCATGGATGGGTATTGCAATGCAAACATAAGACACGTACCTTCTCCTTGCCCGAAGATGGACAGAATGTCACCCATGAGGAAGAATTTCGTCAGCCATTTGACTCGGATGAGGGAGTACGAGTTTGCGTCGAGGTTGGTGATCAGGCGACCAAGCACCATGTAAATTGAGGCGGCATAGCAAGCCGGGCCTAAAAGGATGAGCATGCTTTGTCCGACATATGGCATCAAAGTCCAGTCGGGGGTTTGCTTCGCTGAATAACTCCTCGCGGCGTATCCTAGCGTTTCGACTAGGTTGAATCATATGTCAGTATTGGTCATATAGAGGGCAGGCCTCCGTCTCCAACAACTACTTACAGAGGCATCCCACGAAGAAAGGAATGAAACACCAAGTTCGCGTCTTGATCAAAAGGATCAAGTGACGAATGGAAAACCCGCCAAAAAGAACTGCAAAAAGAACTGCTGCTGCAAATGAGGGATCGTAGTAGTACAGCTTGAAGCCAGAATCGGCCCTTGGCTGAAGAGTGATGGCCATTGTACAACACGACAGCAAAACAGTATGACTCAAAACCAGTAGAGAAATTCAAAATAGTTTTTTTCTATCAAGTAGAGAGATGACTTCGTGGTTGTCTTTAAAGCACGATGTCTACTTTACTCAGCTCGACTGTCAGTGAGCATCCCAGTAGGTAAATGATTCTTGGTGACTTTCGATGATACTCCATGTTCTCTGTTGTCTAATTGGTTGCGCGGGTGGTTTGCAACTTCGCATATGTAAAGAGCTTTATCCGCGGATACGTGCACGCAAGCGTCTTACTGTGGCATGAATCCGCGGGTAAGGCATCTCAGGCAGACACTCCCTTGCCATATGTTCAAGCCGCATCAATCATTCGACATGGCGCTCCTCTAGCCTTCAAAGCCTCTTGTACGACAAGGAAAGAACGGTTCCGCGTGTCAATGGAGTCTACTATGGTATGGCAGAGTGAATCCGCGGTTAACTGTTTCCATTGATTCGTTGAAAGAACATGATGTCATCATGAGGGATGTGTTCCGGGGCTGATGACTTGGCAAAGATCGCGGGCGATGGTCAACATGATCGTTATTGGGGGTTGCTGAGCGAACGCGCGCGGATAGATGGCCGGTACACTACGTATCCTACTTTGATTCTAGCACATAGTTCTACCATGACAAGGTATCACGGCGGAGTTCCCAATTTGCAAGGATGTATCGTAGCGTCCTCCCCGCGTTCGAGTTGTCTGCAAACTCACCCGAGGGCAGATTGATCATGGTACTTATACCGGCAGATGTCCTGTGTATTAATGAGAAACACTCGTTTACCACTCGGATTTTGACATTCCCTTCATTAGGCAAAGTACCAAACAGAGGTAAATCTTTTCCGCATCATGTTCAGTAAAGGCTTGTTCTTTGCGGTCGGCGCCACGTTCCTTGGACCAAGCTCCAGCCAATCACTACCTGCTGGCCATTCACTCTGTAAGGGCTCTCGATATTAATTACTGTATCGTCGGTTGTTCGACAACTACTGACAGCTTGCGCTGCCCCAGCTTGGGATGAGGCTTCCGTAGCAGCCAAGGACTTTGTGTCCCAATTGACGACTGTCGAAAAGATCGGTCTCGTCACAGGAGGTTACTCGAGTCCTAACCTCCCGTGCGTGGGTACGATTGGATCTATCGAGAGGCTGGGATTCGAGGGAGTGTGCTACTCTGATGGACCTAGCGGGTATTCTCGTTCCGACGGTGTCAGTGTCTTCCCTGCCGGGATCTCGACGGCAGCCACTTGGGACAAAGACATGATGTACCGACGCGCTGTCGCTCTTGGAGAAGAGTTCAGAGCTAAGGGAGCCCACGTTCACTTGGGGTAAGCCTGACTTCTATTCTATCATATGGAGCATTGAGCAGCACTGACTGCCTCCCAGACCGTCTTCGGGACCTCTTGGACGCCACGCAGTAGGAGGCCGTAACTGGGAAGGCTTTGGCCCCGATCCTTACCTGGCTGGAGTTGCCATGAATGCTTCGGTCATCGGTATTCAGTCCGTCGGCGTGCAAGCCTGCTCGAAACATTTCATAGCAAACGAGCAAGAGACCCAACGAACTTCGACTATCAGCGACGACGGCACAACTATTGAGGCAATCTCTTCGGATATCGATGACCGCACTCTGCACGAGCTGTATCTATGGCCCTTTGCCAATGCGGTAAAGGCTGGTACAGCGAGCATCATGTGCTCCTACAACCGGGTCAACGGAAACTACTTCTGCGCAAACCCAGAGACGATTTCCATCCTGAAGGATGAGCTGGCATTCCCGGGCTATGTGGTTTCCGACTGGTACGCTACTCATGAGACGCTGAGTTCCGCCAATTCAGGGCTTGACTTGGAGATGCCGGGTAATGTCAGTGCCGCGGCTGGGGCATCTTACTTTGGCGATTCACTCCTCGACGCAGTCAACAGCGACCTCGTTTCGGCAGACAGGCTTGATGACATGGCGACAAGAGTTCTAACGCCGTATTTCTTGCTGGGACAAGACAAGGACTTTCCTTCCATCGATCCGTCTAGTGGAGCTGCATTTTTGCGCTATCAGTATGGTCGTCAAGTCCAGCTCCCTTCGAGCTACTCGGAAGTCACTGCTCGCGATGTCAGAGGCAATCATGCGGAGCTTATCCGAGAGATTGGTGCTGCAGGAACCGTACTCCTGAAGAACATCAACGGCAACCTGCCGTTGACCGACGAACTCAATATCGGAGTTTTCGGCAATGATGCCCCTTTTCCTACCATAGGCTCGGTCTTCCTTGATATCGGGACCCAGCCGGAAGGATTTGAGATGGGCACTGTCGATATCGGCGGAGGTTCTGGAACTGTTCGGCATACAAACTTGGTCAGCCCTTTCGAAGCTATTCGAAAGCATGTAGAGTCTATCGGTGGGCGAGTGCAGGCACTATTCGACAACGACGAGCTAGCGGATGGCTGCTTCAGAACAATCTACCCCGTCCCGGATGTCTGCCTCCTCTTTCTCAAATCCTACGCTACCGAGGGCCAAGACAGACAGTCTGCCGAGCTACAGTGGTCAGCTACGAAGGCTGTAGAGAACACCGCGGCAATGTGCCCCAACACTGTCGTCATCATCCATGGACCAGGAGTGGTTGTCATCCCGTGGGCGGATAACGAGAACGTAACGGCTATCCTGAACGCTCATTACCCGGGAGAACAGACGGGAAACTCCATTGTTGATGTTCTTTGGGGGATGGTCGAGCCTTCTGGCCGTCTTCCCTATTCCATTCCGAAGAACGAGTCGGACTACGGTCCATCGATTGTCAATTTGACAGAACCTATCACCGACCCAGATGCCTGGCACTCCACTTTTGAAGAAGGCCAAATGATTGACTACCGGCACTTGGACGCGAACGACATCGAGCCTCAGTATGAATTTGGCTTTGGACTGTCTTATACGGAATTTGAGATGGAAGCCGCTCTGGAGATTAAGGTCGATGCGAACGTTTCCTCCATCGCGGATGAAGCGAATGGCGTCGAGCCAGGCGGACTGAGCGACCTGTGGAAGGTGGTAGCCTCAACCTCGATCCAGGTCACCAACTCAGGGGGTCTTGCAGGTTCAGCCGTGCCCCAACTCTACGTCTCTTTTCCGATCTCCACAACACCCGAGGGGACGCCAGTCAAGGTTCTGAGAGGTTTCGAAAAGGTGCATATTGAGGTCGGTGAAACCAAGTCTGTGGCTTTTCAGCTCATGAGAAGGGATTTGAGTTTCTGGGATACGAAGAAGAAGCAGTGGACTATTCCAAGTGGTACTTTCCGCTTCATGGCAGGATTCAGCTCGAAGGATATCAGAGCTCAGGCCGAGACCCAGGTGATTTCTTAGGTGAAGAGGGCGTACTGGGCGCTTTCAGGCAGGGTTTGTCACCTTTGAGGTTTTCCTTGCAAATATTTGATCCCCAGTGTATGATACGTGTAGATAATTGAACATAATGTTTTAATCATCGATGAGTGGTTAGGGGTAAGCTACAGCCTGCAGGTTACTACTTTATCAACTGCGATCTTCTACTGGGGAACGGCTGTAACCTGATCGGAGGCGCGAGTCCCGTCCACGCCTTCAATCCTAAGGCCTTTGTTCTCATCGTCTCATGGATGACTCCCTAGTTGCAAAGTAGTGGGAAGTGGATAAAAATATCGATCGGCTCCGACGGCAACGGGGTTTATAGAAAAAGCCCGACACTCCAAACACCGCTAGAGCTTTCGGAAAGGTATCTCATACAAATGAACCTTCAACTCTTGAGGAAAGTAGCTCGGAGCTCCCGTCGATCCAAGTCAGTCAATGGAAAGAATAGTGCGTGATGATCTTTGACTTCAAGGTGCACACAAGACTGGGGAGCCAAGTGAGTATAGGAACGCATTGCTTCCGCACTAGAAGCGCATCACTGCACGGGAAGCGGGGCGCCGTTCGTAATACGCGTGTAAGGCAAAATTTGAAAAGACACTTATCAAGCCAAGCCCCAACGCGCGAAACAAAGCCTCAGCCCCTGAATAAGCTTCTGGATCCGTAGAGAATCTAGAGATTAAATACAGCCTAGCACATGTTCAAAGACCGTTTCCGCGTGTTCTTTCTTTGAATATCCTCTCATAACAACCCGCGTATCTAATGTTCTCTCACATCGTCTTCCGCGGTTCACATATTGTTGTCCTCAAATCATGTCAAAACAACTTCTCGACCGGCTCGCAGGCCGCCGAACACACCGCAAGTCGAGGAACGGCTGCAGCGGCTGTAAGAAACGCCACATCAAATGTGACGAGACTCGACCGGAATGCCGGAACTGCATCATGGCGGAGCGAGTATGCTCCTACTTGAAAACGGAGCCTAACGACGGCTCCTCAGCCGGATCCTCTACAGCAGCCATAATCTGCACTGGCATTGCGCCACCCAGAGAAATCAGCGCTGACCGGTGTTTGGCTATCCCCAAAGACCCTGGAGAGGTGTACTCATGTACCGGGCAGACTTTCACAGCGAGCCACATGGCTTTCCTTCACTATGCCCAGTCAAACATGTCAGAGTTCATGGCTCTGACCGGCAACATACGGCCTCTCATCGACACTGCGATCGAACACTCCCTGACGGCCCCGTATCTTCTGGACCAACTCCTCGGACTATCATCACTTCATCTGTCAACGCAGAATGGGCCCAAGGCGTCCATGTACTTTCACCAAGCCACAGAGTTACAGACAAGAGCTTTGGGTTTCTTCAACCAGACAAAAGAGCACATATCGGACACGACATACATCCCGACTTTCGTATTTGCGTCACTTTTGGGCATACATGTTCTTTACGAAACGCTTCAGTGGCATTGCGGCTCTCTCGCAGACTTCATCGATGCTTTTGTCAATTACTCGCGTCTCCATCGAGGGGTGCGATCCATCACCGGGAAATACTGGGATGAGATACTGCAATCTGACCTGAAGCCTCTCTTGTTCATCGTGGACGTCATGAATAAGGAGCCAGTCCAGACTCCAGGTCCGGAAACGAAGCAGCTGAAAGAATTCTTGGAAAGTATACCAACAGATTCTGCGTCGACAAATGTTTGCATCACGGCACTAGAAAAGCTTCAATGGGTCATCGACCTAACTGGAGGGCAGCCGTCAAAGTTTGAAGTCGGTGTTCACGCGGTTATGGCCTGGCCCCTATGCATCCCGGACGAGTACATCGAAGCACTGCACCAGCATCAACCGGAGGCTTTCGTCGTTCTGGCATATTACGCTGCGATGCTACATAGGTACCGGCGGTTCTGGGCATTCGGTGGTTCTGGCGCACCCATTGTCCATTTGATATCGAATAGTGTCGGGTCCTTCTGGCAAGATGTCCTGGCTTGGCCGTTACAGGTTCTAATTGAAAGTTGAACCCTTGACTGCATGTTTATCGATCCCTTCTATCCAAGACACGATACTCTTGAGAAATGCTCCCTCTCCCACATGTCAATCACCGCCGGCAAGCCGTGATGATCATCATAATGCAACCTGTTAATGAATTCAAGGCAAGTCAGCAACGGACCCCAGGCTATTCGCCCGTCATACCATCCCACCGGGCCGACCACCCGGCGTAAGTTCCGTTCCCGACTCAGGACTCCGCCTCAGACAGCTGATACGAGTCGCTCTCCTGTGAAGAGGCATAGACCCATGATCATCCGGGCTGCGTAAGCCATGCGATCCTGTTATGTGACTTTTTCGGTGTACACTTTGCAGTCCGAAGTGGAAGTCGGAGTTGTGATGCAGCGAGGCTTCCATGTAGTAACTGATAACATTGATCGTGATGTTGTCCCTTGACTTCCTGCTTGGCCTCAGTATTGGTCGGCATCAGCTATGTAGTATTCCTTGCATTCCTCAAGTCTCTTTGTAGGTAGCTACATGCAACAACACCTTAAGTGAAGCATAAGATCGACGTGTCGGTCGATCATGTTCATCCTGTCGATTGGTCCCATCTCACCTGTAGGAGAGTTATCGAGACGGAATCAACCGTCTCGAAGAACTCTGAGCGAAGTCAGTTCGATGCTTCTAGATTCGTCTGAAGTGAACATGGAACCACTGCTCTCCCCTTACGAGCAGCTCGCATCTCACTTGAGATCAATAAGGTTCACGACGAATATCCCCTAGCCATGACTCGGTGATTCCAGAGAGGGTTGCCATTTTCAAGTGCGGCATTATTCCAAGGGAACAAAGTCTATAGCAAGGTTATCTGTCTAAGAACTGAAAATATGGTCTTCATGGGATGAACAAAATCTAATCAATTATGTAGAAATTAATTACTTCCAACTTAGTTCAAGTCTTAGCCCAGGCTGTACGACATCAAGTCTTCCTTCCCAAGGAATGTCAAGTTAATCTAGTATTATTCGGTTCTAGAGTAATCAATTAGTCCACCAATCTCACAGTTGAAAACAGTCGGGGAAGCCATGCGTGTCTCCAGCCAGCAACTGAGTCAAGTCACGTCACTCAAGCACATTAGCACACAATTAGGAGACCCGCAGAGCCCGTTTCTAGAACATCTCTCGTCCACGCGCTTGGATCAAAGATCCCCCAAACCCAGGCGCGAAGCTTAAATATTGGGGATCTCAAAAGGGGGACGATCCTCACCCTTTTCACCCTTTTGGGCCCAAAACGCGGGCAGCGAAAGCTTAGCACGCCCGCATTGGGAAATTCTGGTCCCTCGACCCAAACGACCGGGACCACCATACGAACAACCACCAAAGGGGGAGTCATGTTTCTAAGAGGTGGAACACGCTATCGTCAGCTTCACATTGCGCGAATATGCTGACGAGGCTGTTTCATGTATCCTGAGCACTGTCGTCGGCGGTGCCGTTTTACACAGAAACAGTAGAAACATGCGTAGAAACGAGCTAAACCAACAGCTGATCTATTGCTCGAGATCGTGAGAGCGAGAAGACTACTTAAGCACCACAAGAGTCCAGGTATGAGGTGCTCTTTTCTTCATCAATCGCATCAATCATTGTATACAGTCCTGGTAGACTAAAGCCACTCACTCACTCACTGATCACCACTCTCGCTCTAAAAATCAACCTATTTTCAAGAACACCTCCCACATCCTTCATCATGAAGTTCACAACCACCCTCGCAGCCATCGCCGCAATCGCTCTCTCAGTGTAAGTCCCCTCTCTCTCTCCTGCCCAACATCAACCCATCACTAACATCCCTCCCCCCAACAGCAACGCAGCAGACCGCGTCCAATGCGCCGGCACAATCGACACGGCACCCAACAAAGGCCGCTACGAGCCCTCCGGCTCCCTGACCGCCAACCTCACCCAGGTCGCCTGCAAGAGCGGCACCATTGACGGCGCGCTCAAGGGCAACCAAAAATGCTGCATCTCCAACGATAAAGGCGCCTTCGGGTCGGCGTGTGGCAAGGCCGCCTTCCCGCCCCAGTTCAAGACTGGGTTCAAGGCTACGTTCCAGCCTTGCTGAGCGATGTTGTCTAGTCGTTTTTGGGGTTGCGTGGGAGGTTGGTATTGGGAAGGAATTTTGTGTTTTATGATAGCGTAGCGAATTATGTATTCAAGAGTTGGATAAGGAATAAGAAACCAGCAAGGTGTTGCTTTCATTGCAGCTTGCAACTCCGCGGATGCTCGAGATGGGTGCTTGCCTTTGATATTGGATATCGACAACTATTCGTACTTTCTCCACGAGGCACACGTCTACATGGTACATGAAAGGCCATGGTTTCTGCGATTCGTGGGGTCGGAAAGTCTCAGGCCATACCGTACGCCCATAATTTCGACCAGCACGCTGTGGACGGCATCACGCCAACAGCCAACTCGTGAGCGGAGGTGATTGGATCGAGAATACTAGCACCGCCAAAGGCACATCTTGTTGCCCCTGACGCGCAAAACCTCGCCCACCGAGTATTTAGGTACTAGGTAGGTGGAAGGATACAAGCAAGCAAGCGCCTTCACATTAGAAACTAAATCAAGGTGGGCTTCGTCTCTCATCTCATTCCTTTTGATTGTATTTTTTCCCTATCCCATTTTGATGGGTTCGTCCTCAAGCATGACCCTGCCGGTATATCTAGATCCTGCACCAACCTGCTTTTCCGTCGCATATCCAGTTGAAAAGCGGAATAAGATGGCATGGCGCGAACCTCAATATCAACTCGGTATCTTCATCCATACAATCCCCCATCCGTCCACCCTTTTTTACAAGATACCGGATCTCCTGCGCAGGGAAAGCTGATAGACCACGTATCCAACCTCGTTCGATGTCCTACCCCGGTATTTTACTACATGAAAATTACCAGAAAGGCCCTCCGACTATGTCAACCATCAAGTCGATCGACGATGACATGATCAATAAGGCTGTGCTGGGAACACTAGCCTCAACCGCCGAACACTGCTTCAGCATACCTGAGAAGTGGCAGTGCCGCGGTAGGGACTAGTGAAGCGAATTGCCAATGTGCCACTCAAGCCGGAGGAGGTTGACTGGGAACCAACATTTGGCTTTCAAGTTCGAGTTGGCACATCGCATCCGCAAAAGAAGTGGAAAGAAAAGAACAAACGCCGCCCCAACCCAGTCCAATCCAAGATCACACAACTCCGGTTCAACAGGCTTCTTCCTGCAATGAAGATCCCCTGAGACGTGACTGGCACCAAGTCTCCGAGAGACTTGCTCGATGCAGACTGACCAGCCTGGGTGCGAAGTTGATGACCTTTCGTGTTCATTCGGTGTAGCTTGGGGAACAAGCAAACTTTTTGATGTACAGTATTCATCGCTGCGTCATATTCTGATGAAAGAATGATCGGATCGCTTGGCAGCGTCAACGTAAACAATGGCGGCGTTGTAGTATGCCGTGCTTTGAAATATGCTTCCCAGCCGGGAACACGTCGTAACGTCATTTAGAAACTTTTTTGGCTTTTCCCACAAAAGTGTCGGATATCTTGGTTGTCGGCTCCATGTATCGGGACTTTTCTCGTTCCTCGGCCTCCAGCCCCTTTTTTGCGTCCCGTCGATATCTGCAACCTCGTCCATCAGTGTGCCCTCTAGCAACTGGACGTGGTCGCCGGCAACCTCCAGCTTATCTCTCTCTTCTCCAATGAGAGCAGTCGAACGTTATTGGCATCCCACAAAACCTCGTACATCAACACCCTAGTCGCAAGGGATGACAGACTTCTCGGCCCTGGCTCGCATGTGAGTAGCGTGAGTCTCGAGGCATCGGGCCATCAAGTGAGTGACTGGCCAGACAGCGGCTTTATCGAGCATGTAGGCCGTGACTCTGAGAATTTTGGCGGCGTGGCCTGCGTGATCGTCCATTTGCATCCTTGTATCGACGCCCGCGATGTTTCCTTGTACAAGCTCAAAATTCATCTTCATCTCGGCAGAGGCCAACACCTCCTGGACCTTGCCGAGCAATTTAACATCTTCCTCCTCCAGCAGCATAATTGCAGGGACTTGCGATAGGTCGACATCATCCTGACCGAGAACTCCCAGGTAACGGCCTACTCGATCTTGCAAAGTTGCAACCCATTCAGCCAGTACTTGAGCACAATCAAATGCGCACATGGCTGACTGTAGAGGCAACTCTCTGCTGGAGAAATCAGCAAATGTGACACCTAGCTTGTCGGACATGGCGAGCGAGTCTGCTGCGTAAAAAGCGGCCTTGCGAAGATGCTTCTCTCTACGAGAAGTGGACCGGTTTGGGGCAGCCTGGGCCTGCTGGAATTTGACGGCAGAAAACTCTGGAGATGACGATGACTGGGTCGCCGGGGACTCGACGAATACAGAGCTTGAGACCGAATTATCAGAATGATCTGTGCCTGTCGATTCCGGGTTGGAGGCGGGTGAATGCTCGGCGTGCTGGACAATCTCGCTGCCCCGGGACAGCTCGTCAGCCATGGCATCCCAATCACGTTGCCAAAACTTCTCCTTCGACCGAGCGAGGTTTACGAAAAGTCGTACGTAGGCCAAGTCGAGAAGCGGAATGGCATCGGCAGACAGCGGTCCAAGCCCGAAAGGGTTCGGTCTCTCGAGGCTATGGTTCGGATTGCTTGCCCAGGCTGCCTGCCAGGCCTTCAGGGCTGGCTCAATGTGGCGATGCATCTTTTCGGTTTCCTCGTTGGTCCATACCTTGTTGTGATGGCGCTGACGGGTCTCCCAGATGTAGTTGTGAAGTGCGTTGATCAAGATGAGACAGCCAAACGTCGATGGCTTGAGATCGCTCTTAAAGTCGTTCATGCCACCTTGCCCGATTACTTGTTGGCCATTCTGGAAGGCAAGCTGCTTCTGTTGCTTCTCGTTAGACCTGAGGAGGTCGCCCAAGGCTTCGTGGAATGTCATCCGGTTGTGGTTTGCGGCGCGGATACCGCCCTTGGCCGCGAAGGCCGTGGCACTCTCGGCAGCGAAGAAGTCCTCATCACAAGGCAGGTCGAGCAGGATCTCCGAGTTGGTCAAAGCCGGAGTGTGGTTGTATGCGGCAACCAAAAGGCTTGAGAGGATGAAGACGACGTAGAGGGTACGCTTGCGTTCCTCCATCACCTTCCATTGGAGCCACTCCGCATGCTCCTCGGAGTCCGACCGAAGGCCGCTCCACGTATCGTCATGCATGTGGGTATCATGAGCTTCTGTGGATTCCACGCGAATGGGGCGGAGCAAGTCGGCAGCTTGGGCCAAGCTGACAAGAGCAGCACAGTGAGTGGAGGCGATATCGCTGGCCGTCTTGTCCCCGCAGTTGTGGCCGTAGACGACATTCAGGAGCATGGCTTGCACCAACCATACCGGGGTGTGAACAGATGATTCCTGGTTGTGAGACGTCGGGTCAGATGCTGGAGCTCTCCGTAAGTCGGCCTTTCTCACGTCGGCTTTCCGCCTTTCCTCAAGGTACAGTTGAATCATTTTCTTGGCCATCTCGAAAAGTTCTCGAGACTGGACGTGGTCCATTTCGTACAAGGCGCCAATGGCAGACATGGAAAGAATGAGACACCCGCTCCCACCAACGGTGTTGGATCGGTTGGCAGCGGTGGGTGGCATCTCAAAAGTCAAAGTGGGAATGTGCAAAAACGGCAGATGAGGGTGGAAGTAACGAAGGTAAGCGCCAACATATCGTTGTAAGTCTTGAGTGCTAGGTAAATTCTTTACATGGTCTGGAACACTGTTGGCTGTGTTCTGAAAGCCCGGCGACATTGGCGAGCTTGGAGTCGCAAATGAGTATCTCCGTCCACCAAAGGGAGAGCATTGCGAAAGAGCACCAACGATGGCACCTCGGGTCGTTTCCGTAATGGTGGAGACGGGCGACACACCGTGGTTACCGCCATTCAAGGACGAGGGGGTCTCTGGCCCTCCGTTGAAGTTGAGCGCTTGGTTGAGGTTTTGCGTGTTGAGTCCGGAAACCATCGACGGACTGAGGGAGCTAAGAGAGGGAGGCGGCGTCGAGAAATAGGCATCGTTCATTTTCTGCGCAGCAGGTTGTGGTGAGACGGGTGCTCCGTTTAAGAGATCTGGGAAGACCGAACCATTTAGATCCATGGCAAACGGGTTCGGGACCTGAGGAGGACCCATAACGGCCGGTTGCCACATTGAACTTGTTCCTGCCGGAGCAGGATGATGATTGGAGCCGTCCACCATTACATCGCTAATGCCACTTTGGCTGGTGGTGCTAATTGCCGAGGGACTCGACCCGTCTACAGCGTTATCGGCGCCCTGAAAAGACATCTGGTGCTCGAAGCCGGTCAGCCAGTCAAAGCTGTCGTCCAATTGCGTCGCCGACATATCGCCGGCCAGGCCGTGGGGAAACGGCGAAGCTTGGTCCATGGCCATGGATTGCGGCGAATCATTGTAGTGGAGCGCGTTAGGGTTGATGGTGGAGCCCGGGCCGAACAGCAGACCCTCGAAGTCAAAGTCGGGATTGAATACGGCCATGGGAGGCGCGGTCCGCAAGCCGCTAAAGTCCATATTGTTGATGCCGTGCGTCTCGAGCTTTGGCAAGCCGTGAGACATGCCTCTGTGACCCATCGCAGCCGACATGCCGGCAAAGTCCATGTTATGCACGGGCAACCCCGCGAGGCTGGGGTGACGGCTGTGTGTGCCAGGAGGCATGCCTCGAGCTACCTGTGCGTTGGCCGCAGCAATCATCTGCATAGCGTTGCCGTCGACATGGCTGATGGTGTTTGCCCTGGGTCGCATCGAGGCAGCAGCGGCATTTGCGGCGGCGGCAGCATTGGGACCAGCGACACTATTCTTACGTGCGCGGGCTCCAGGTGCAGCACTGCTAGCGCTCTCACGACGATTGCGAGGACGTGACGAGGGTGTGGTGGTCTGATGAAGCTTCTGCTGGTGTCTCAGCAGCAGATCGCGACGGGCAAAGCATCTTGTGCACTCGGGACACTCGAAGGGCTTTTCCTTTGTGTGGGAACGCTCGTGACGTTTCAGATGCTCCAATCGGGCAAAAGAGCGCTGACAAGTCGCGCACACATGGGGGCGGGGTTTATCGGTCTTGGGAGGAGGGAAATTGGCAGGTGTCTTCGTGTTGACAGTAATGGTAGAAGCTACTAAATTGATTGCGAGGACATTGTCAGCTACGATCAGGATCATTCAAACAAATTGGAAGGGTCGATTGCATTGCATTGCATTCCTCGGAAAGCCATGGGCGGTGGACGGGTGGTGGTGGGATTGAATTGAATAGCGGGACAAGCGGGTGGGAACAGGAGGGGCAGTTTTTGGAGGGGTGAGCAAGGTGAGGTGCGACTCATACCACTGTCTTCGGTGGTTGCGGCGGCAGCGGCAGCGGTGTTGGCGGCAGCTGGGGCCGGAGCTGAAGCGGGCGTAGTCATGCTGGAGTTCTTTTCGACCTTGACCTCGCTATCGTTCATGGCCATACTTTTGGGGTTCGTAATCGTCGTTCGTCGTGATCGTAAAGGCAAGGAGGTGGAGGGGGAGTTTGGTTGGGTTGAAGAAGGGTCGGGTTGCTTTTTGGGGGGGTGCTTGGACGCAGCTCGGCGGTCGGGAGAGTGCGTGATAGCAACAAGCGAGGGAAAGAGGTGGGTTTAGATAAGAAGAAAGTGTACGAGAGGAAGTGAAAGAGAGAAAGATTGATTGTGTGCGTTCGAGTTATTGGATGTTTGTGGTGTGCGTGGTGTGTGTGTGAGAGAGAGACTTGGGTTGAGGAAGAGGGATGGCGGGGTGGATTGGAGACGGGGGGTGATGGAAAGTGCCCAGGTTGTTTCGGGGTGCGGCGTTTAGTTGGAGGGAGAGGAAGACAAGAGGGAGAAGTCGCTGTTGGAAGCCGAAGTTGGCATGCTAAGTCCAACCCAGAGTATCCGCAGAGGAAGAGAGTAGGTAGGTAAAAAGAGTAAGAGTCGGAGAGCAGGTAGGTAGTTGGCAAGGAAGAAGAGGAAGAGAGAGAGAGGAAACAGGCCAGCAAATGGTTCCCTCGGTCTTGTCTTGCTAGTGTCCTTTGTTAGGTGCTCTCGTGTCTTGGTTCCTCGTACGGATGGAGGAGAGAGCTATTGAAGCTTTCGTTGAACGAACAATTCCCACCGGTCGAAGCAGTTGCTTGGAGAAAGAAAGGAAGAAGGGGAAGGGAAGAGGAAGCAAGTGGTCAATGGTGGGAAGGGGGAGTTGAGGTACTTGTTAGGGAAACGCTCGTTGCAGCCCAGCCCAGCCTGATGTGCATCTGTGGGCAAAATGAGAAGAGTGGAAGGAGCGAGGACCACGGGAGTTGGTGTGGACTGCCTGCCACCAAAAAGCAGAGAGCAGCGGGAGAGAGAGAGAGAGAGAGAGAGAGAAAGAGCAAGAGAGATGCCCGTCAAGTCAAGCAAGAGCGAGTGTGTGTGTGTGTGCGTTGTGGGTGTGTGGGCGGGTACCTAGTGCGAGGTACTGTACCTTTGGCGATGGGACGTGAAGGGTAAGGTAGGTACCTTACCATCGAACGTCAGGCAAAGTACCTCGGTCAGTCTGGAGATACTGTGTGTGTTGACCGGGGATAGGACTGGTACAAGGTCGCAGATGCCCCACAAAACGCGAAAGCAGGGTCCGTCGGTGGGATGGGAGATTTGATGGATGGGAAAGAGAGCGACCGCCGCAGTCACGACTCACCATACCTTAGCACCTTAGCACCTTAGGTCCCTAAGTCCCGTCGCAGCCTTCCCCATTACTCAAGGTACTTTTAGTATGGAGTCCAAGGCACCTATCCCAAAGAATCTTCCTTTCTCATGCGCTGGCTCAATACAATCACCTGCGAATTACAATTTGAGAAAGGTCGCTTCAGTACCTACCTACTCTTCTCATGAACATAAGAAGACATGTGGCATAATTCCGCACAGCTAAAAGTATATGGTTCTAGTATTCCACGCAGCTGTGGGCACCTGCTTCTTCATTACCTTTCACTAAGGTAAGGTGCCTTACCTTCCTTACGGGTTAAGGTACCTTACCTTGCTCCGATACGTACCCGAACTTTCCTCGATCCAATAAATCCCTGGTACGTACACAGTAGCCCGAGATGGCAAGGTCAATTTTACATGGCAAACATGGCCCGGACACAGTGCGGCGGCATCACTTGACCGAATGGGAACAAAGTACCTCCAGGGGTCGTCGTCCCTCTCTCTCTCTCTTTCTCTTTCTCTTTCTCTCTTGGCTGGCTTGAGGTGGTCCACCATTCCTTCCTGTTTCCTTTCTCTCCTCCTTGCCCTTCATCCAATGGCTACCTTAATTAGGTACATGCCTCTCGAGAGCTCCAGTCCGTCACCAATCACTGCAGCCTCTTGAACATCCCCGTCCGGGCTGTAGTGGGGGACGGGGGGGCATCACCTTGCCTTCTTCCATGGAGACTCCAAGAGGCTCCATGAAACTTGCTGGACTAACGGATACTGATTTCCATCCGCCTTCCTCTGATTGCCAACTTGTTGTTACTTGTTAGAAAAATGGCAAGTGGTACATAAGGCAGTGAGGTAAGGTGATGTAATGAGACCTCGTGCGGAAAAGCGGTGGACAGACTGAGTGAGGCTGAGGCACTTTGACACATTTCATGTCCGTACGGAAACTTCCCACACCGAACCGAGTTATGCTAAGGTACCAAAAGACGGAAGCCTCACCGCGGACGAATGGGCGGACGGAATTAGGACCAAGAATAAATGACTTGGCGCGAGCACATGACTTGACCTCCAGCCCAGGGAAGTAGAAGTATCCGTACCAGCAAGCAGGCTGTGCCTACCTTACCTGTGTACGGCTTCCGGATAGACTGACTTGGTCAAGATAAGTACGCACCTCACTCAACGGACAGTGTAAAACACGGAACTTGAATGTAGTATTCATATCCAGCTTCCACAAGTTCCGCAAGTCACTCACTCGGCTTCCGCTAGCCCTTTCCTGCCAGCTATCCATCCGTACAAAGTAAACGCGAAAAGGCAATAATGGTCCTGCGTTCCATCTTGTCTGGAAATCCCATATATACTTTCTGCTCGCTGTCCTGCATTCCCCTGCCAAAAGCAAAAGAATTAGCGCCTGCTTACGCTACGGTCCCCTTCTCACCTGTAGCCTACAAATCCTGAACCGCTAATCACCTGCCTTTCAACTTTCCGCCAACAGCTTCATTCCCGCTTTCAGGTTACATGGCTACACTCCCGCCCAGGCTAGCCCCCAGAACAGACTGGTCAGGGGGGACACCAGTTGAGGGTGAACAAGGGGAGGCTGGTATGGGGGAACCGTTGCAGGCTGAAAGCAGCACGCCGCCGTGCCCTCCAGTGCACAAAGTACGGACGGAGTACCACTGTCCTGTGTAGACCTTGGACCACCTCGCCAAAAAGAAGATGACCCGATCCACCGCGGAGTCGGGAACCTCGAGCCTGGAGCCTTGAGCCCGAAGCCTGAAGCCTGAAGCCTGAATCACTTTGGATAAAAGGGGGCAGGGCTGTGAATATGGACATGGACATGGGCTCGGCCATGTTTCCTACGTAATCGGGTCTGGAGACCACGTCCCGTGCGCCAAAAGGTCTGTTCTCTCTTCTTGGACAGCCTGCTTAATGCCGGGGTTTGACGTGCGTGTTGGTGGACTGGGCGATTTCAAGATGCGATACCGATTCAACAACAGGACCATCCTATCCTTCAGCAAACAAGGCTCCTCAGTCTGTGCCGTAAGAATACTATGTGTATGAATGCCCATGCTTATCGCACGGGACACTGTCCGGTGGCGAAATAGACATGCGACACCTGTATCGGAGGGTCGGACAGCTCGGCAAGGCGACGAGACTTGGGCCCGACGCGTGAGCCTCTGTGAGCTTATTCGACTGATGCCAACGACAACGCCAGAGGTAAAAGGAAAGGCTGGCCGTGGCAGAAATAATCAGACGGTCAGACTGAGTTTTGCCCATTGTCGATGTACAAGGGGAATCGGCACGAAGCCGTTACCGCTGGTATTCAACCAGCACATCCCGGGCTCTCGCGTACAGAGCTTGCCTCAATGCTGAACAATACCATGCGGCTCCGCGATGCTGTATCGCCGCGTCGTGATCCGGGGCATTCGTTGCCGGCCGTTCACCGGGGGCGCTCTCTCGGTACGTTGTCATGTTGTCCATCGTCCGCCGGCGCTGTTGTGGTTAGCTGTCCGCGCGCCTCTGCCAATGTCGCCGCACGACAGCTGCCGTGGCGTGCCATGGCTTTCTCTCACATTTCATCTGCATAAGATACAGGGAAGCCAGGGCAGATGTTCGGAAATAGAGCAACTGCCCAGTACCTCAAAGCCTCGGGCTCCATGGCTCTTCTTCGCACGGAGCGCAAAGTATCTGTACCCAAAGGTCTCGTCGAGGCAGGGCAGTCCGCGTCCAGTCGCATCACTCGACATGCCAGGCCTGTCGTTGGCTGGCTCAGCGGCAAAGTGGATTGGATGGAGGATCCCGCGCTGGATATCTCATGGCCCGGGGTTCTTCCAGAGGCAGGCCAAGCCTGGCCCGGGCGAGTGTCCGCTGCGAAATTGAGTTTCCCACTGGTGCTCAGCTAGGATATGATCCGAAGCAAAGACGGTGTGTGACGCCCGGTGAGGTGTGAGTGCTAAGCTAGGTTGACTAGTTGAGTGGTGTCGCACACCTACGCATACACCGGCCTGGCGTGGCACGGCGGATACGTACGACCAAAGCAACACACCCTTTTTTGGGGGTTCTTTTCTCTCGACGTCTCTGGTGTATTTTCCTTCTGTGCCTGGCTGATCCGGTTTGTGCGGCATTGACAATCAAACGGATTTGGCTGGAGAACAAGCTGCTGCGGCAGCTTGGTGCGTATATGGACTGACCGAATTCATCCCGTTTTTGCCCTACCTGACAAGAGCCATTGCGATGAAATGCGAAACATACGCGACCAGGTCAGGCCGCTGTCGCTCACTCAAATCGACGTGCTGACAATTGCGGCCGTCAGCTCCAGCCAATGGCAAAGAACTCCGAGGTAGATCGAGACCGATAGCCGGAGAACGAAGTGGCCGTGCTGCTGATGGGCCCTGTACCCTTTTTGGAGGGGCAGCTCTAGCCTCCAGCCTCTGGTTGCACTGAAGAAAGCAGCATCCTCAACAGTCCACGGCAGGAAAAAGGAAGGAAACAGTCCAATGCCGGTGGCTGCAATTGACACACGTCTGGAAGGGAGCTAGGTAGGTATTGATGCAGAGCGGACGAGAGATGGGAGACACTTGGATACATCGGTACGAAAAGGCGCTGATCAGGGTTCTCCGTATCCAACACGGTGCCTCGTGGTCAGCCGGGTTTGGTAGGTACATCGTCCGCCGTAGCCCATGGCGGGACTCTTCTGTACCTCGGGCCACTCGAAGAAAGCCGGGTAGAGCAGGTACCGAAGTTTCTCGTCTTTTGTGGATGCAGATGAGTTGTATTGATCTGTAGGTGGCACCAAGACAGCAAGGCGTCCAGACTCCAGTGTGTGTACTTGCATATGTGGGAGGTAGGGGTTTCCACGTCGTAGCCAATCCAGCGCAAGTTAAGCAGCCCGTAGTGCAATGGAAATGGTGAACGAGGTATCATCGAAGCGGCAAGATGAGGTCAGTCCAGCTGTGGTTCATCGTCAGTCTGCGGTTGGTATCTCTGGATGGACGCTGAAGTAAACCGATTTGAAAATTGACGAGACCTTAACGCTTGGGTTGCTTGAGTTGCTTGGATCGGCTGGCGCATGGTGAGAATGTACGTATGGTCTGGTGATGGACGGAGTTCCCTCGCCGTGCCGTTGAGAATCCGAAGGCAGGCCACAAGTCGGAATAGGCACGGAGGCCGTCGTGAAAGCTAAGGCAAGGTAAAATGAAGGGTTTTGGAGGCTGAAGCACCGGCTCATTCCAACCATTGCTGCGTCGGTGGCCGATGGGGCCATGGCCGAATGGCATGCATCTTCTTCTTGTTTCTGCTGCATCAGGCCCGTTTCTGTTCGCATGTTGCAGGTTGCAGACAACTCTGCATCAGCATCAGCGCGTCGGGTATCTGATGGGCCAGCCGACGTCCAATGGCGAGCTTCCGTGCTCAATTGTTGCTCATCTCTGATTCGACATGCGGCAGCGATTTATTGTCCAACATACGTTTCTCGTCCAGCGTCGAAACCTAGGGTAAAGCACCGTGGAATAAGAGACTCATAGTATGTGGAGAGCCACGGGATCGAGGTGTTCATTGTTGTTCGATATAGTGCCTGGGATGGTGCAAGTACAGAAGCGGCTGGATCCCGACAGGTCGAGGGGCACTGACCAGCAGAACTGGAATGGCAGATGGGGAGTTGTATTGAAAGAACATGTCGTCAGGTAAGCAGAAT